AAATGATCTTTTCTAGTTGCACGATTTAATTTTCTATAATCTATACACATTCTCCAACCTGTAATGAGTCCTAGTAGGTATTAATTCATTTTTATCATTATAAATTACGAGTCATACCTCCTTTTTTGGGACCACTTGAGCTCGGACTAACCCAAGCACTATCGGAGATAGGATAGATCATACACGCATCAAGTAGTTTTAATACTTCTTTCTTTACCACCTCTTTCATAGTTGGATTAAGACGTCTTTGAGGTTGTGCAACGAGGCTTAAAACCATTCTCCATATGAATCTTATGCATGCAATAAGAAGGGCTGATTCCTTTGAGATCGGATAACGTCCACCCTATAGCCTTCTCATTCTCTTTCAAAGCTGCGATCAATTTTTCTTCTTCAGAATTTGTTAAGGCATTCGTTGATCACCAGCTGGCTTGCTTGCATTTATCTCTAAGAAAAACATATTTTAAATGGGAGGTAATACCTTTAATTCCGGTTTCGACTCTCGAGCTTCATGTTCTTGCTTGTAATATTTCGGATTGTTGTTCTTTTGCAGTAACTTCTTTTCTTGAATCAAGAAATTTTACATAATTCTCAATTTCTTTTTCCTCCTCTTCATCAAATTCATCATTAATTCCTGCCAAAGCTTTTTCTAATGGGCTTACTTTAACTAGTTGTTTTCTTCTTTGCTTGAAAGATATCATCTACCACATCTATTTTAAGACAATGTTGATTATCTGTAGGATGCTTCATTGATTCAAACACATTAAACTTAACTTCCTCATCCTCTACTCTGACTTTTAGCTTATCATCATCAACATCAATAATAACTTTTGTTGTCTTCATGAAAGGTCTTCCCAGTATAAGCGGAACTTCAGTGTCTTCCTCCATATACATCACAACAAAATCAACTGGAAATATAAATTTATTAACTCTGACTAAAACGTCTTCCGCCACACCATACGAAAATTTTAGAGATCTGTCAGCTAGCTGTAATGTCATTCTTGTAGACTTTACTTCCAAGTCTCCTATTCTTTTAAGCATAGACAAAGGCATTAGATTTATACTAGCACCCAAATCCAGTAATGCATTACCTACTTGTAATGTCCCAATTGTGACTGGAATAGTTAAACTATCAGGATCCTTGGACTTTTGAGGTAAAGATTTCTGAATTATAGCGCTACATCCTGCTTCTAGCTCCACTGTTTCTGTAGTAAATCTCCTTTTCTTAGTTAACAACTCTTTCATGAACTTTGCATAAGTTGGCATCTGCTCCATAGCTTCCATAAGTGGAATATTAATCTGTAAATGCTTGAAAATATCCATGAATCTTGCAAACTGTCTTTCTTTATTTTTTTTGGAAGGATGACGAGGATATGGTAAATCCTTTAATTGTGGTATTTGACTATCATCTTTCTCCCTCTTTTTCTCACTTTTTTTATTTTTCTCTTCTTTTTTAGTATTTTTTTCTTTTTCTTTACTCTCACTTTTATTTTTCTCTTTTTCTCTTTCACACTCATCTTCTTTTTCTTTTAGGATTTCCTTCTCTACATCCAAATTGTCACCAATACCTTCTCCTATAACCTTACCACTCCTTGTAGTTATTGACTTACACTGTTCCTTTGGATTGGTTTGTGTGATAGCTGAAAATTGTCCTTCTTGTTGTTGCTTAGATAGTTTCTTAGTCAGTTGGTCTATCTGGATCTGTATATTTCTAAATGAAGCCTCAGTATTTTTCTAATTAGCCATAGTACCTTGCATGAATTTTTCTATAATATCCTCCAATTTACTTATTGAAGGATAATGTTGTTGATGTTGTTGAAATGCAGATTGTCTAGTAAATGAGCTAACACCTTTTTTCCACCCAAAATTCTTATTCTGATTCTGATTCCCTCTCCATCCTTGTGTAGTATTATTCTGATAATTGTTAGGATTAGGAAAATTACCTTGGGCACCCATATAATTAACTTCTTCTTGTTGAATGTTGTCTTGATAAGAACATTGTTCATTTGCATGATCACCTCCACACACGTCACAACTCATCTGTTGATTAAGAATAGATTGTACTGTGTGTATTTCTTGAGGTAATTTCACTATTTTCTGGTGCAATGCTTCAATTTGTTGCGTTATAAGTTTATTCTGGGCTAAGATAGCATCTAAGCTATTAAGTTCAAGAACTCCCTTCTTTTGAATTGGATGTCTATCATGTTGGGCCTGTTGGTCTGTAAAGGCTAGTGCATCAATAATTCTGGTGGCATGATCAATTTCTACATTCAACATAGATCCTCCTGCTGCAGCCTCTAATAACATCTTTGCATCATGTCGCAAGCCAGTATAGAAAATATTCAACTGAGAAACGTCATCAAATCCATGATTTGGGCAACTTCTTAACAGTGATTTAAATTTCTCCTATGCTTCACAAAATTGTTCATATGCTCCTTGTCTGAAAGAAGTGATGTCAAATTTTGTTTTGATGTAACGTGATGGTGGGAAAAATCTATTCAGAAACTTCTTTTCTACACTACTCCAATTAGTCAAACTATGATTAGGATGTGCTTTCAGCCACTCCTTTGCCCTACCTGCCAAAGAAAAAGGAAATAATCTCAAATATGCAGATTCAAGATTTGCTGCTCTAAATCCCATGATACCAATCAACTCATAAAAAGTAGACAAATGACTATAAGGGTCTTCATGATCCAATCCAGTGAATTGATGAGCACTAATCAAGCTTAAGAAAGTTGGATTCATCTGCAATGTATGATCATCCGGAATGACAATGCTGGAAAAATATCTTGGACTTTGCTGCATAACACAATTTCTAAGAGTTCTTCTAGGTGGATTTGCATTTGGGTTTTGATTTGGATTTGAATCTGGATTCAGATTTGCTCCTTCTTCCGCCATATCTCTATAATTGGGTTTGGTAAATCAAGTGTGAAAGAAGAATTAGCAGATTCTCTTGTAGTTTGTTCTTGAGTTTTCCTTCTTCTGAAGATACATGTCCTCTTAAACGCATAAATCAAAAGAGTAACTCAAACAAATATTAGCACAAACTAAAAACTAAATAATAATAATAATAATAATAATAATAATAATGATAATAATAATAATGATAATGATAATAATGATAATAATGATGATAATAATAATGATAATAATGATAATGATAATAATGATAATAATAATGATAATAATGATGACGATAATAATGATAATGATAATAATGATAATAATAATAATGATGATAATAATGATAATGCTAATAAAAAAATAGAAATAAAAATAAAATACTCAATAAGCTAAACAAAGAATTCTCAAAGAACATCGTTCTCAAGAATCGGCGCTTGAAATACTTGTTGAATTATTGGCAAGCGTACCAAATTATCAATCGCAGATATAGTATTTCGATTAAATAAAAGTCGATCCCACGAGAACAGTTTCAATGGAAATTCCCAATTATGTTTACTAAGTAGATTAAAACAGATTAGGTTTTGCAAATAAGAGTTGAATTGAAATTAAATGACAAAGAACTGTAAATTGTTGAGAAAATATCAATTAAAGGTACTTAGGATTGGTTTCCTTCCTTATCCCTCTTTTGTAATGACTATGTCAATTAAGAACGTCAATTAACCTAACAATGTTAATGCCACCTACTCAAATCATCCATGTTGATTCCTCACACATGAAATTCATAAGAAAATCTAATAAATGTTGATTCCTCACACAATTAACAGATTTTCCAGCATTAGGGTTAGGGTATTAAGCAATTGATACATTTATTCCATTCCTAGCAATTAACGTAACAAATATTTTTACCGTGATCTAGGGTTCAAGATATATTTTTTAATCATACCTCAAACAATCAAGAATAAATCATTCCAAAGCATAAAGGATAAGAATAACAACATCAAAACATAAATTAATATATCAAAATATCACCATGATATAAAAGAGTTCAAAGGAAATGCACCGAATCCTAAGAGAATGAAGTTAGTCACTCATGTTGACCATTACAATGCTCCAATTGATGAAGTAGAATTGATGAAGATTGGACAAAACCCTAACAGTAGTCGTGCCTCCTCTTCTCCAATACTGTTTGTTTTTCTCAAAACACAACTTATCTTTTTATAAGAAAATTTAGGTCGAATCTCACATCATTTATTCGCTTAAACGCTCTTCTTTCTTTCAATTTTACTCTAATTATACTGACAATTATACTCCTTATCAAAATATTCTCGAATTCATCCTATATTAGGAAAAAATAATATTATAATTAACATAAATTAACATAATTATATCAATTTTTTACCTATTAACACATCATTCCACGACAACCTCGCGTCAGCAAGTACTAAACCTCCTTAAACGAATAATCTAGTCAATGATTGAAACAAAAGACAGCCCCTCAAATCTGACCATAAATTGAGCTTTGTTGCTTCCTAAGATCCCCCTTAAACCAATAATTATTTTCCCCATGTCTCTCTCTTTAAAGAACCAAATCATGGATATGCACTAATGGAGAGAGAATTGCGTTGAACAGACAACTTCTCTTCCAGATAAACATAATATCATATCAAATATTAATAACTAAAACTAATGTACAAAAATTCCACAACACTTTTTTTCCTCAATTTCCTCCAAATTACAATTACAACGGAGGACCCGAGTGACACACACACATAACAAAATTGTAAGACTCTACGAACCTAACAAGATAGTTGCCCCTTTTTTTCCCCTCCAATGTCCTTTTTTATTGATCACAAGGCAAGACCACACAAAGAAAACCCTCACCATCTTAAATTTTACATGACACCAAACTCAGAAAAACAAACTGCCACTGATCACTTATATATACAGAGTACTCTGACAACATAATTAGCTCCTCTTTCCAAAAAAAAAAAAAAAGTCATCTGCTATTTGACCTTGATTGACTTTTAGTCCTCTACCATCTTTTCTCTTCTTCTGTATTAGTTTTCTCTCTTCTCTTATTATTTTTGTTCAAAAATGGATTATGCCACGGCAGATATGCTGCAGCTGCTCCGATCTCTGTTAAGACAGTCAAAACCTTCTATCCTCACAGCAGCTGGAGAGTGACCAAATTTCATTGGGGCACAGCCACGAGCTGAAGTAGAGGATGCCTCGGTATATGGACTAAAACTCCCATTACCAAATTGCTCATCTTGAATTACAGGGTTTGAGGCCCTGCTTGGAGGAGATCCACAGAAAAACGGTGGTGATGATGCTTCCACCTGCCCTCCGGATCTTCCCAGGTAGCAGCTTTCCTGCCAAAAACAATCATGGTTCAGCAAAATGACCATGAATGGTTGGTTGCCACTGAACATTGATTGAATGCCTATTTACCATCAATTCCCCACACTTGTTCATATTCCAATGAAAAGTCAGTGGCTCAGATTAATTTGTATAACCATCCCAAATTACATTTAATAGGTCAAATTAACAATTAATTCTATTCAAAATCAATTTTATTCATCTGTAAAATAAATGGTTCTTTGAGGTATTACAAGAAGTCAACTTTAATAATATAAGTTTTTTGTTTGTTTGAATTGAAAATTTAGTTCAACAAAAAAACAAAACGGATGCATAACCTTTGCTAATAAATAGTCTCCAAAAATATTTTCTTTATCCCACAGTTGCTTGTTTCTCAGGTAAAAGGAAAAATCATGAAGATTATCTTTTTCTTCCTCCAGCAGACTCACGACGAGTTTTCAAATGGGGGGGGGGGGGGTAAGAGAAAAAGTACACATTATTCAAAGTAAATTCAAGTGCGCTTCCTAGTACTGAACAAATGATTAACAGGGAAAGAACCTTGGGGAGGATGATGTCCAAAAGCTCTGCCCCAACTCCTGAATCTTCCACCTCAGATTGGCAGCTGCTTTTTTTTTGTTGTTAAGGACAATTGACAAAAAAAAAAAAAAAAACATCATAATCTTTATAACAAAATTTGTTGGAAAACCACAAACAAAAATAGCTAAAAAGGAAAAAGAAGAGAAAATTACCTGATGGGGTGCCTCAAAGGTCTGATGTGTGTGATAATGGAAGAGTGGTTTATGAGACCTAATCGGCGAGGTTTGGGGCAAATCACTGTTTCCATCCTCATCTCCTCACAGCTTGTCAAGCTGTTCTTCTCTTGGTACCTACAGTAGCTGTAGCTATTCATCTTTCCACAGATCTTGACAAGGAACACCTGCAACCACATACAACAGAAGAAAAAAAAACACTTTATTTCCTAATCAAGCGGTTGTTTTCGTTTGAGAAGCCAGGGATAAATTAAACTAAACCCAATTAAACTATACAAAACATGAAAGAAAGAAAGAAACCCATTTTCACAATTTTGTAAAATCACAGGGGCTTAAAAAAAAGTGAGACTTGATTGAAAGCAAACATTGAAACCCACAGTCTTCTCCAGGCTTTTTTCTTTCTTTTTTCTCAGCAGATGAACAAACTCAAAAGGCTTTAAAATTTCAGACTTCACACACACAAAGAGGGGTGTGTGTATATAGAGGGAGAGAGAGAGAGAGAGAGAGAGAGAGAGAGAGAGAGAGAGAGAGAGAGAGAGAGAGAGAGAGAAAGAGTGCCTGAGCTGCCTTGCACAGAGTCAGTGGGGCAGTCTGCGAGGAGGAGAGGAAGGAGGAGGAGCAGAAGAGGAGCAACAGAGGCAAGGTAGAAGGATAAGAAGAGGGTAAGGATTTTATACAATGGGGGAAGGTGCAGTGGAAGTGAGGTAAGACCGCACCTGTAGAACATTGATGGATGATTGAGATCTGGGATTCTGTCCAATGTGATATGTCGGTTTGTGAGTGGTGACGCGATGCCATCCACACGTGGCCATGACTCTCTTTTACTTTTCTTTTCTTGTTTTCTCTTTTTTACCCTTGTGCACAAAAACGTGTATGCATTTATTGTTATTCGGTCGGAAACGGTATTGTTATTATTTTTATTTTTATTTTGGTAAAATCTTAATGTGATATTTTAATTTCTGTACAAAAATAATGATTTTAATTTTTAATTAATTAATGTTGACTTTTGATGCTAATCTATTGAATGAATTATAAGCAAAATTACTCCCTCCCTTCGTCTTGGTTTTAATCATGTCAAAATAATTCATATTGATTATTATTATGAATTGCTAATTAAGTATTTGTTTTTTTCAAATTCACGTATTTAATGAAAGAATAAGAGTATTTCATTGAACTTATTTTAAAAAATAGTAATTATTCATTGTTAACTTTAATGTTAAGTACAAAAAAATATTAAAACACATTTTTTGTAAGGCAAAGTAGTACTAACTTTTTTCCTACTAATCCTGAGTTATTTAAAAAAAAAAGTTAATTAATATTTTGACCTTCTAAAACATCAATTTTTCTTTATAAACTAACTTCAAACTAATTATAATTTTGGTCTTCATCATAATATTATACTTGTAAAAACTACTTCAATAGAAATATTTTATAAAATAATATATTTATTATTCTTAATATATATATATATATATATATATATATAATTTACTGTGAAATAAGACGTACTAAAATTTATTTTTTTATTCATATAATTTTGTGAATATGCAATTTCCATTCTTTTAGAATTTGAATTAAAATTTCGTACCAAATTTTATTTCTGCTAATATGTTGTTTGATTATTAAAAAAATTAATATAATCAAATTTAACAACAAAATTGTATAATGATTTTAGATTGAGAAATTTGCGTGACAACCTCAATTTATATATTATTAATGAATAAGAATAATATAGCATCAAATTAACAAGATTATTATTTAAAAATATTTCATCTAGCCGTTTATATAAATATATCTTGACTTCATAATTTTTTTATATATTTATATTTAAAATCAATGATATTATATATATATATATATATATATATATATATATATATATTCTTTTGTAACTTTTATTCATTTTAAGGATAAATTTATTTATGTGAGAAGGATAGATGAAAAAAAAATACATAAAACCTTATCTCTTTATTTCCTTAATTATATCTTGGTGACATTGTGATTGCAATTGAAAAAAATAAATCAAACAGTGATTTATCTATTAAAAATGGGGTAATTTAAAGGTGACATGAAAAAGGGAGCGAATGAAGAAAAGATAGATGTAATTAAAGATAATGATTTCTTATTTATGAGGATACAATATTGTTAAAGGAATATACATGATGAAGTTTTGACAAATTTGTAAAACTAAGAAATCAAATAGGAATAGTTATTTTTCAAAACTTGGATTAAGGAAAATGGTGTAGCTGAGGTGCAACACTGAGAGTTACAGAACCTAGTGCATGGTATAAGAAATTTCAGTGACAAAGACAACAGCAAATAGTATCTCACAAAAACATCGACAACGACAAAGAGATATCGAATATGAAACAAAACAGAGAGAAAATGTTAATAGTTGTGTGTTTATAAAAACATTCATAAATATATTTAATCAAATTATACAAAATCTCTAAAAGGTTCAATACTAAGTATTTAGAGAAATGAACACAACTATTTTGTAAAGGAAAAATGATATATGATTAAGCCGAATATAGTTGCATCATAGAACAATAAATACGACACAAATAATCGGTGAATTAAGATAAGGAATATCTGAGAAGCGGTGGTGGGTGTGAATTGAGATAAGATAAATATCAGTGTATGTCCAACATGTTATGCAATGCAGATTACAGATCACAAATCGTAACCGTTCAATATAAAATATTAATAGTATCGGACGGTGCACCGATGAAGCGGTGTATCTTAGATGCTACCAATATTTGTGGGCATAGAAAACAAGGAGAATGGACCAGACAAAGCTTTGGCATCTCCTATGACTTCACTCAGGATGTCTTCTTACTCTGGTCTATGTTTGTCCACCCCACCAAATGAAGTCAATGATGCCAAAAGAATATTACATTTTTAATAAAAAAAATTATGACCAATTTATAATATTTTTATCTAAAAATCGTTAAAAAGTCATGATTGATATTATTAATCATCTAATATTGAGGTAGATTTTGATTTTAGTACCATCTAATATAAAACAATTTATGTATTGTTCAACTTAATTTTTTTAATTATATATTGTTAAGATAAAACACTTGCCCACAAAATTGTCAAATATCATTAAAATATAAATAAAATTCTCGTAACAATTCGATAGTTTCTATTACTTGTTCATCACTTGACACACAAGTTAAATTTATCAGGGTGTGTTATATATTATTAAATAATTTCTATAACATTTAAAATAAATTAATATTTTTTTCATACTCTTGTCTGCATGAATATTTCTGTGTACGATATTTATTTTTAGGACATCCAGATTGAATCATGGCATAACAATTAACATTGACGAAATTAATTAGTAACTCAACACTCTGTGTCTTCCAAAAATGTTTTTCTTATCAATGTCAGTGAATTAGATTGTTAACCTACTAATTAATTTTATTAACTTAGTTCAAGAACTAAACATGCGTACATTTATATATAAATTAATTGATATTACAAAATTAAGCATAGTACTGTAGACATTTTTCACATTATATTTTAATTTAATTAAATTTCATTTTGAAAATTGGTATTAATTACCTTTTTTATTGTTATGGACAAATTTATAAATATATTAAAGAGAATAATTCAATAAATATAGAAATGGTAGAATGAAACAAAGATAATGAAAGAGAATAATTTAACAAGTATTGGACATGTAGAAGAAAATAAAGTTATTCAGAATTAAAATATCAAGATAGAAAGAATTAAATTAGAAGTAAATTGTGAACTTAAAACAATAAGTTGAATGTATGGATTTGAAATTATAAGTTTTAATGCTTAAAAAATGTTTGAAAGTATGTATAATTGAAAATGAAATTGAGTTAAATAAATGAAAAGTTGAAAAAGGTGCAAGTATGACACTCAAACTTAAAAATTCAAAGGGTTGAAAATATCAAATTTAGAGTTGTAAATAAAAAAGAAAGAGACAAAACATTGGAAGAAAGTTATGAGATCGAGAAATATGTAGAAATATTTATTGTCTTATTACGTGATATGTGCGTCTATAGATATTAAGTCGCGATAAAGTGAGTTAAGAAAAAGAGAAACGATTATAGAGAAGTAACTGTTGGAGAATTTTTATTTATATTTTGTGTTGTTTGACTTCATTTTAATTTTATTTTAGTTTTTATATTTAAGTGTTTGAGCGGTTATATAAGAAAAATATAAATAAGGTGAAATAAATGTAAAATGTATAAAGAAACACACATTCTGAAAAATTGCTAGGAAGAATCAAGATAGAAAGAATTAAATTAGAAGTAAAATGTGAACTTAAAACGATAAGTTGAAATGTATGGATTCAAAAATACAAGTTTCAATGCTTAAAAAAATGTTTGAAGATATGTATCATTGAAAATGAAATTGAGTTAAACAAATGAAAAGTTGAAAAAAGGTGCAAGTGTGACACTCAAACGTCAAAAATCAAAGTGTTGAAAATACCAAATTTAGAGTTGCAAATAAAAAAGAAAGAGACAAAATATTGAAAGAAAGTTATGAGATCGAGAAATATGTAAAAATATTTATTGTCCTATCGCGTGATATGCGCGTCTATAAATATTAGGTTGCGATAAAGTGGGTCGAGGAAAAGAGAAACGATTATAGAAAAGTAATTGTTGGAGAATTTTTATTTATATTTTGTATTATTTGATTTCATTTTAATTTTATTTCTTAGTTTTTATATTTAAGTGTTTTAGCGGTTATACAAGAAAAATATAAATAGGGTGAAATAAATGTAAAATGGGTGATTGTGACATTGTATAGAGAAACTTGCATGGTGAAAAATTGTTAGGAAGAATCAAGATAGAAAGAATTAAATTAAAAGGAAAATATGAACTTAAAACGATAAGTTGAAATGTATGGATACGAAAATACAAGTTTCAATGCTTAAAAAATGATTGAAGATATGTATCATTGAAAATAAAATTGAGTTAAACAAATGTAAAGTTGAAAAAGGTGCAAGTGTGACACTCAAACATCAAAAATCAAATAGTTGAAAATATCAAATTTAGAGTTGCAAATAAAAAAGAAAGAGACAAAACATTGAAAAAAAGTTATGAGATCGAGAAATATGTAGAAATATTTACTGTCTTATCACATGATATGCGCGTCTATAGATATTAGGTCGCAATAAAGTGAGTTGAGAAAAAGAGAGACGATTATAGAGAAGTAACGGTTGGAAAATTTTTATTTATATTTTGTGTTATTTGACTTCATTTTAATTTTATTTCTTAGTTTTTATATTTAAGTGTTTTAGCGGTTATACAAGAAAAATATAAATATGGTGAAATAAATGTAAAATGGGTGATTGTGACATTGTATAAAGAAACTCGCATTCTGAAAAATTGCTAGAAAGAATCAAGATAGAAAAAATTAAATTAGAAGTAAAATGTGAACTTAAAACGATAAGTTGAAATGTATGAATTCAAAAATACAAGTTTCAATGCTTAAAAAATGTTTGAAGATATGTATCATTGAAAATGAAATTGAGTTAAACAAATGAAAAGTTGAAAAAAGGTGCAAGTGTGACATTCAATCGTCAAAAATCAAAGAGTTGAAAATATGAAATTTAGAGTTGTAAATCAAAAAGAAAAAGACAAAACATTGAAAGAAAGTTATGAGATCGAGAAATATGTAGAAATATTTACTCTCCTATCACGTGATATGCGCGTCTATAAATATTAGGTTGTGATAAAGTGGGTGAAGGAAAAGAGAAACGATTATATAATAGTAACAGTTGGAGAATTTTTATTTATATTTTGTGTTATTTGACTTCGTTTTAATTTTATTTCTTAGTTTTTATATTTAAGTGTTTTAACGGTTATACAAGAAAAATATAAATAGGGAGAAATAGATGTAAAATGGGTGATTATGACATTGTATAAAGAAACTCGCATTTTGAAAAATTGCTAGGAAGAATCAAGATAGAAAGAATTAAATTAGAAGTAAAATGTGAACTTAAAACGATAAGTTGAAATGTATGAATTCAAAAATACAAGTTTCAATGCTTAAAAAATGTTTAAAGATATGTATCATTGAAAATGAAATTGAGTTAAACAAATGAAAAGTTGAAAAAAGGTGCACGTGTGCCACTAAAACGTCAAAAATCAAAGAGTTGAAAATATCAAATTTAGAGTTGCAAATAAAAAAGAAAAAGACATAACATTGAAAGAAAGTTATGAGATTGAGAAATATGTAGAAATATTTACTCGTCTCGTCACATAATATGCGCGTCTATAGATATTAGGTTGCGATAAAGTGAGTCAAGGAAAAGAGAAACGATTATAGAAAAGTAAGCTGTTGGAGAAATTTTATTTATATTTTGTGTTATTTGACTTCATTTTAATTTTATTTCTTAGTTTTTATATTTAAGTATTTTAGCGGTTATACAAGTAAAATATAAATAGGGTGAAATAAATGTAAAATGGGTGATTGTAACATTATATAAAGAAACTTACATTTTGAAAAATTGTTAGAAAAAAATGACAAATATTTTTTAATGGAGTTCTTTATCATTTAGATCGTCATCTTTATTAATTTCTTTTATCAATTTATGTTTTATTCATAATAATAGGTTAAATTTATTTTTATACAATTTATTTTTTTGCATATTTATCTTTTATTATATATTTACTTTTCAACAATTTAATTAATTGTACTTTTATTTCTTCTTGAATTTACTTTAAATATTTTAAATTAGATTAAAAATTCAAATTATATATTAATGATCGAAATATATTATATTTTGATTATCGAATTATTGATGTAATTCATTAAAATATCTATTTAATATTTAAATGATTAATCATGTACTTAAATAAATATTTATTTAATTGAATAACAATAATTTAGATAATATACTTAAATAAACATTTATTTAATCGAATAGTGATCATTTAGATTAAAAACAATGATACAAGTTATTGAAGAATAAGTTTGATTTTTGTTAAATATTAATTTTAAGATTAGGGGCATCATAGTTTAGTTGTTAGTGTAATTTGAATAAATATATAAAGATAAGATATATTTGTTAGAATCGTAGGTTTAAGGTTCACGTTATCTTATAAATACTATTTGGTTTGGAATTTTAAAAGAAATTATGTGAATAAAATCTAAAATATTAAGTACGAAATAATTAGATTAAAGTGCCAAGTAAGTCTATAAATTAAAAAAAGATTTTTAAAAATTAAAATAATTATATAAATATTTTTAAAACAAGAACGAACATTTTAAGATTAAAAAACATGATTTTAAGATTTAAAGATTCAATTAGAGATTAATTAGAGTATAACTAAATTTAATAAAAGAATATTTTTTTAATATAATAAATATATAATAAATTTATTATTAATAATTTTTTAAAAATTAACATGATCATAATAATTATAATAAAAATTATATATATAAAATATATTATTAAATAATATTTTTTAATATAATAAATATATAATAAACTTATTAGTAATAATTTAAAAAAGAAAATTAACATGATCATAATAAATTATAATAAAAATTATATATATAAAATATATTAAAGAAGATAAGATGGATAATAATTAAAATAAAATAAAAATATAATAAAATATATATTATTTAAAATTGGTAAAAATATGAAAAAATAAAGAAAAAATATATTTGTTATAAAAAAACTCTATTAAAAAGAATTTAATCTCTAATTTTTTTCATCCATTCAATCCGGAAATTTAATCAATTTTCTCAATTGTTTTGGTTTTATCTTAATTTATGTTTAAAAACTCAATTATTTAATAGTAATAGAAAATCTTTTACACCACTTTTCAATTAAATTAAATTGATTGAACCCACCAATTCAATCCCATTTTCAAAATAGTAATAAGTAGTAGAGTAAATGTGTACGGAAAAGAAGAATATTGGGTTGTTAGGACAACCGTAAGCCCATTTTCATCCTGGCCCATCAACTACTTTCATAATACGGTTTAATTTTTCTTAGTTTGATAATTATTGGATATAATTTTTTTCTTCTTCTTTTTTTCATTTGCTCTAGAGGTTTATTTATAATAAAGCAGCAATAAAAAAAATGTAAACATATTAAAAAATATATGTATTGAAAGTATGAAGTTTTTTTATGCTATTTAAACACAACTCGCACATTCCCAGTTAACCGAGTCAGATTTTCTTAATTTTTGTTTATCAGTTACTTATTATTTTTTCTTTGTATTTTAAAAAAAATACCATCACATATAATATTTATTATTTTGTAGTAAAGAAAAAATAGAGGACATTTATACATCTTCTAATCACAAAGTATTATACAAAATATGTTTATTGACTAATAATGTATTCAAATCATATTAACAATAATTTCTGATTAATTAGTTAATTAATTATTTTTTTGGTATGCAACTTTTAAACTCTTCAATAAAATACTAAATATAATTATTTAAGTTTTTTTTTTGTTATCACAGAGAGAGAAATATATGATCATATTATTTTGCTGCTAGTTACATGAGGACAAGTTTTTGAAAGAAGACATATTTTATTGTGTGATTTGGAGTCAAACCTGTATATATGTCAATATACAATGTTGAATATATCTTTCTAAAAATTCTTATTGTTAATTTCTTACAACTTAATGCATGCTGCTGTAAATTCAATCTAACAAGTGTTCTCTGTATTATTTTCTCTATTTATTTCTCTCTAAGACTATATATGTATGACTTTATTCATCTTCATTCTCCTTTTGATTTCAACACTAATCAAACCTAAATACTTGATTTAGCTCTGAGCTTCTACCTTCAAAATGCATAAACAACATGAACAGTCTCTCTGAATTTCAGGCTCCACAATCCATGTTTCCACATGTTTGTTATGTTTTTGTAGGGTGTGGCTCCATTTTCATATTCCTTTTCTGCAATTAAGTATACTAACAATCCAATCACCAAACATACCCTCTGGTGGGTCAATGTGAGGGAAAGAAAAGTGGGGTGGAATAATCTCTCTGAAGTTTTCCTTCCATGATTCTCACTCTGCTCATCTTCTCCTCACACCAGTGCAACTGCTCTTCACTCATGTCACTCATTCTTAAAACCCTTGACACCACTTTTAGGTCTATGAGAGCCATCAAAATATCCATATCCTTTTCCACCTTCAACTTTCTCTTCCTCAAGCATTTCCCTGCATGGTTAAGATCCTTAACCTTCACCCTCTTCTGTGGATTAGGTGGACACAAAAAATGTGTCAGCAAAGTTAATTAAAAACAAAATAAAAAAGCATGAAAGAAAAATTGATTTGTAATTTAGATCTTGCCTTTTGATTAACCTTCTTCATCAGTCTGAGTAGTGTTGGATCAACTGTTCCTCTTTGGTTTCTCCTAAAGTAGGCTGCAAGGATCTGACAGGGTTTCTCTTTATCATTCTTCAGAAAATTCATGAATGTTTTTATCCCATCCTCCATTATCTTTAGAAATGAAGCTGATGATATTTTGCATTGAAAACCACCATCCTTCTGATCCTCCTCTAAATCTTTTTAAAAATCAAGAAAAATAATTATTCATAATAACAATGCTACTCAACTGATAGTGATTTTTGTGCACTTTTTTCTTTGTTACACTGCAATAATACATTTTTTTTCCCTCTTTCTATCATATCATCACCTACAATACTGTTCTCTCTCATATATTCCTAGAATAATGGCTATAAGAATTGTGGAAGTGCAATATTTACACTAAAAACAGTGTACTTCTACTTGAGGGAGAAAAAATAATTTGCATACCTTGATATTCTGGCACCAGGAGCAATTTTGGTGCCAAAAGCCTCATTCTAGCATAGATTTCAGGTCTCCTACCATGCTCATAAGTCTCATTCTCAATGTACCTTTGTAACAAAACCTGAAACTGCTGGAATTGCTGAGCAACCGTAGCAGAACAACCGGTATCATGGTCCTGGCGTGAGGCATGTTTGGAACGAAAATTTTTGTAGTTCCAGCTAAGGGCCTCCCATGTTAAGCAAATTTGTGCTACATATGCAGCCTCTAGTTCACGATATGGGTTGTGACCAACATCAGCGGGTTTTTTATTTATAGTTTGAAACTTGTACACAATACGCTCTGACATTGATCTTGGAGACATTTGGATGGACCTTAATGACTCTGAAAATTGAATTACCAATATGTAAGAAAATATGTATCTGTCATAATAATTTATGCTTATAAATAATGAACTTGGAATAAGAAAAGGGTGGTTACCGGTTTCATGAAGTTTTTGTGCACTAATTCTGTCCAAGATTGCCATTTCTTCATCATATTTTTGGAACAATGTGTATGATTCCCACTTGGGGCAACTTCTTCTGGATGAAGAAGAAAATGCATCTTCAGTCTCGGAATCCCTGCAATTGACAGAGCTCTTCCATTTAGAGGACTCATCATCCTTCTCTTCCACCATCAACTTCTTACTCTGCAACTGGGTAGAAGCAAAAACGAAAAATTTCTCATCTCTTGCAAGGTTTGGCTCTTGCACCTTCTTGTTTTTAATAATTTCAACGCTAACATGATTGTCTGCATAAAGTAATTAACATCAGAAAGTTGAACTAGTAGAAATGGGGCATATAAAAAATTCACCACCGCTATAATCTTGAATTTTGGATTTATGCTTAACTCAAAAACAAAAACTAGCTCATAAGGTTAATACTTTAAAGTTTGCAAGATTAATAACTAGTCATCTGATAAGCTTAAGAATGATTGTTAGGATACGTTCCTTAAAATTTTTAGAATGGGAGTTTAAGTAAATCCAAAAATTTAACTAGAGAAATATGATGTTCCTTCCTACTTTCAACTTTCCACATATAATATAAAATAGTCATATCGTGAGATACCATCATGGGTTTTATTTCTTTTGTAAGAGTTGAGATTGAGGGGAGAGGCGGTCCTGCTTTCAACTTTGGCAGAATTTGGAACAGAATCAGAATCTCTTGCTGGAAAGTCTTCTTCAACCGTTTCTGCCTCTACATTTTCGAAGTCAGAAACTTGTGGTGAGTTATGGAGAGACAAGGTTTCATCAGAATAATGTTTTTCTTCTGACTCTTCATTCAAGCTCTCCCTGGGGCTTATGAATTCTTCCAAATAAGAATGAGACCTTTGATGCCTCTCATTGTGCCCAAACACGAGAATTTCCTTCCCACAAGTAATGTTTTTTCCCTCAGTAGAATCAACACAAGAATACCCTTCTTGAGTTTCTTCTTCTTCTTCTTCTTCTTCATCCTCGGTATACACATATTCATATTCTTGATCCCTGCAACATACACAGAAAAAGTTAAGTTAGACTCTGAAGGCAAAAGAAAATGTGTAGTGAGGAAGTTATAGAGATAGAAAAGACCTTTGGATAAAGGGATATCTGCCTGTGAAGGTTAAGAAGGTGAGAAGGAAAATGGCAGAGGAGAAGAGAACGAGGAAGAGAAGGTGGAAAGGGCTTGAGACATTGTAGAATAGTTTAAGAAGTGCATCTTCTTTGGGACATAGCAGCATTTTCTTTGTGGTGGCTCCAAAGTGAGCTTCAGAGGACTCCACCACTAAGCAAAGCAACTCCTTTAAGTGACCTTCAGTTGCTTTCGTAATGTGTATCCTTCTTGGTCAACATCAACAACAACAACATCTGAAATGTCAAAATCTCTAATATCATGTCCCTGGTTATAAGCCCTAAGCACAAAGGACAAACCTGTCGTGAAGTTCACAGAGTTTAGAATATTGGACAATCGTGTCTTCTTTCTTACAACAAGATCTACAAACCTTGTAGTAGAACCATGCAATCTGTAATATTATTTTATCAGACAAGGACACTAGCCATCATTTTCTATAATTCAGAAATGAACTTTCAGTTGTATTTTTTTTTTCTTTCTAATGTGAATTAAATAACGCAAGGGGTGTAATTTCTACTCTACTTTGCATGAATAAAGTACCAAGTAATATTTTGTAGTGTGTATTTGAAGCAGAAATTCTGAGTCCCATAAGAACAAAAAGCAGAAAAGAAGAGACCAAAACCGAGGAACACGCATAGGTAGACAAACATGAAGTGCACTTTATTAAAGAATTACATTACAAGACATTCTTCGAGGAGAAGTACTTGGAATTCATATACATTGTTTAACTAAGGGTGCTCGTTTAACAAGGCTTTGTTTCTGAGTTCTGATTCTTCCGATTCCAAAACAGGAGAGATTTTTTTTTTTTTTTTTTTTGTATTTTTTATATTTGCATGCTTGAGTGTATTCCTTACCAATTGATGGAATAAAGATCCAATGGGAAAAGATGGTGGTGTTGGGTGTGTCAATTGCGAATTCTTGTGGCAATACTCTCTTTATTGATCCTTGTCTTTAACGTGGTTACTAAGATTGCAGGTTGTAGAAAGAAAAAGTGATATTAATTATATCATTATAATTTAGGGTTTAGCCAACTTATTTCTTGATCTCCACCGTGCACAACTTCATCTTTACATTCAATTGAAGAAAAAGAAAAAAACTCAGTTGAACAAATCTCCCATTCACTTTAGACAAATTATTAGGCACTACTTATTTATGATTCGACTAAATATTATTAATGATTTTATTTTAAATTAAAAAAAAATAGAGATTGATCTAGACCATATGATTGTAACTTGTGATGATGAAGCTTAAAAAAAATGCCATAGTATAGCAATTGAGACATCATACTATGTTAATTTAGACACCTTTATTCGTTATAAAAAAATGTTATATTTATATATCTAGAAGTTAGACTATTAGCATCTTAATGAGATTTGGGTTGAAGAGTGTTAGTCCCTCATAATATTATTTTACTTTAACCATTAAATTTTAAGAAAATAAATAGTAAAAATTAAAAATAAATCTCTTAAAATTATTCTTAACATAAATATATTCACTAAATATGATGATTTACATTCGACTATAATTTTTAATTAAAATATATAAGTAGGTTGTATAACTTATTAACATTATCCAACTAAGCAAGTAAGGATACAATAACAAATTTCACACGCACATGAGTTCGTTTTTTAAGCACATGTACATTATTAATAAATCTTAAAAAAAATAGCGTACATGAATTTGTTGTTTATAAGTTTAGTTACATTATAACTATATTTTAAAACAATCTTGAATTATGGTAGTTTATTAACAAATTTCAACAAAACAAATAAAAAAAGAATGAACATTAACGAAAAATTTGGGTTCGCCAGTGGAAGTTACGCGTAGCAAAATTACGCTGAAGTCTTGCATTTATTTTGTTGTTTAAATTTCTCACAAATATTAAGAACAATTAATGTATTGTCGGTTGATTTTAAAGTTAATCAATTTTCTAATGACAATATAGATCACATTTTCGTTTACCTATATTCTTTCTCGATATGTAAAAGTTAAAAAAAATATATAAAGAAATATGTATTTATATAGGGAATTTAAATTATTTAAAAACTGATATATTTATTATTTTTATAATTTATTTAAAAAATATTAAACCGTAATTTAGAAAAACAATCATCAGAAAACTAGAGTTATGAGCGGGGAATTCATAGTTGCTATATTGCCGTTTTTGTAATTTGAATGTATGATGGTTCAAGTATTGGCAAATTACTTTTATATAATTTAATTAATAATTTTTGTTGAAAATATTATTTTGTTATTTTTATTTATTATCTTTAGTTAAATTAGATATTAATTATTTTTTATTATTATTTAAAATAATAATAAAATATTATTTTAATTTAAATAATAATAATTGAAGATATTATTAATATTTAATATTTTATTATATTTTTATTTTATAAATACAGAGAGTACATGATATATTTTTAATTTGTTCCTAAATTAATTATTTATCTAATAAAGTTATTTTAGTAAAACCATTTAAAAAGTTATATATTTACTGTATGATTCTTAATTTGTGTTAAAACTATTATCATTGTACATAAAGTGTTATATATATGCGACAATTATTAATGGTTTAACGCTCAATAATTTTAATCAAAGAAAAAAAAATATATATATATATTATTACATTTTTCTAATTAACTTACATAAATTATTACATTAATAACTTATCATAATTTATCAATTAAATTGAATTATAATTACTAGTATACCGTTTTTTTATTGTTTTCTATCAAATTTCGTTAAAATTAAGCAACTATAATAAACGTGTTCTTTTATTTTAAAATATTATATATATATATATATATATATATATATATATTAAAAAATTGGATTGCTATAATTTTTTTAGATATTGAGTTTGTTTAAACGTTTTTTCGTCAAATAATTTATTCTTAAAAAAAAAAACAGTTTCTATTTTTTAATGTGTTGTCAATTTTTTTTTAAATAATCAGAAGCTAAAAGTAATAAGAATTCTGATTATAATTTGAAGTTATTTAAAATAAATTTTCATAAAATCAATATCTACTTTTTAAAAATGTGTTTTTTTTTTCTATTAAACACTTATCTTGAAACTATAAAGCTCATAAAACAAGTGGTGTTCTTATATAAATTTAAAGCTTATTTGTCGTCAAATTAAAAAAAAAAATTGTTAAGCCTCCAAATTTAAAATTTATGTTTTTAATCTCTTTTTTTAGTGAATCGTTTTTATTATTATTATTATTTTGTTTTTGGTATATATACACACTATTTGGTCTAGTGTCAAATATATAAGGTTCTAAATTTGGAGGAGGGCATTTTTTTGCATGAAAAAATGGTGTCTAGTTTATCCAAAAGTGACATATTTTTAAAGCTCAACATTTTAACTTTTTCAAAAGCTCTACTTAAAGCTTATAACTATTTAAAAAAAAAGTGTCCAAATTGTAATAGAACTTATATAAGTAAAGAAGTTCTAACTAATACTTTGAAAATTTATCCAAACACAGTTTTAATCACTTCTCCATACATGACCTTACCAATGCAAGGCAATATTGTACCCTAATTGAGCAATTATCTAGGGTAGATAATTTTTGAAGTTAGAAGAAAACACAATTAGTTAAAAAAGTGAAACACTTGTGCATTTTAAATTGAAATTTAAGATGAGCACAATATCTATTAATATTAATAAGATAAACTATGTTACTATGTATTATATAACCAGTGTCCCAAAAATAATTATAATTTGGTTTTAGTTTTAATTACATTATATAATTAAATGTTGATATGGACATTATAAATTTTGCAACAATGGTTGTAGAAAAATGTTGTGGTATTAAGTTATCGACTTTAAAGTTCATTAATGGCGCGAACCCTAACATCAAATCAAGATGGCGGTCTTCTCTATCTTGCAATAAGTAATTAACACAGTTTTATAGAAATCTCATATCACTGGATAAATTATTAGTCATTGCCACCAAATATTGACGTATAATATGTAGGTCACTTTTCCTTGAGATAAGAAAAAAATGGTATGATGGTAATTAGTTATAAGTTAATTTTATTATCATAAACTTATAATTTAAGAGAAAAATAAATAATTACATGTTTATGGAGAGAACAAAAAAAGAGAGTGAAAGTGTAGATGAGTGTGTGTGCTTCTAGAATGGTGATGTTCCTAAAAAAATGAAGAAAATGGGGGATTTGGGAAAGTTTTGGGTAGGATTGAAATTTGGGATGCTTTGAAGATGAGGCATGAAATACAGTCTTGTGGGTTGGTGACCATTTTAACCACTCGGAGTAATCTTAGTCGATGTAAACACTAACCAAAATAAATAATAATTAATTATATATCATTACTCTAAGTAACCCAAAAACAAGTATTATAAATTAATAGTACATGAAAATACTACGTATTCCACACTCTTCACATTCTAACAATGTAACAAAACCAATCTAAGGAACTACTTTTTTTTATTATTATTATTAAGAATGTTTTAATAACATAAATATTATTCTTGTGATTTTTTTATACTTTTTTAGTTATTTAATTCCTATCGTATAAACTTTGAGTTTTTAGTGAAGATCATCATAATAACCTATTAATTTACTCTTTGAATTTTATCTTTCATTCTTGAGATCTAAAAAAAATAATCAAGTAAATTTATGAAAATATTTATTTAAGTCCTTAAAATAATTATTTTTTGTTTGCTTTTTATCCCTTAAACATATGTTATTATTATCCCTTAAAATTATGGATTTGAAAAATATAAATAATTTTAGGGACTTAAATAAACTAAAGCATTTCTAAAAATTATTTACGTATTTATTTCTATTACGAAAACATTATTAAAGAATTATTAAGTTTTCGTTCTAAAACTCTAATTATATATATATATATATAATTACTATTAATCAATATAAGAGTTTGAATTATGCATATTAAAGTAGGTTTTGATGAAACAATACGAAGTAATAGTATTTATCTTACAAATTGAGGGATAGGAGTGGTGTTGGGAAGTGTTTGGGAAGTAATGAAAGAGAATGTGGTTTGAATTAGTACACGTTGATGTGACTGTAGAGGAAGGTTGGCAAAGGTTTTGGTGGGTAGAAATGGGTGAAGGTAGTTGGAGAGGATCATAGAAGATGGAAATCTACATCCCAAACATAGACTCAACCCCCTCGTGCACAAATTATTGCAACTAGCCTTCCTAATAAATACTACACATTTTCCCATCCTTATATACACGTTAAATGATTATGACCCTTCTGTTTTTTGGTGGATTATTGACTATAACACACACAGTATTGGAATATTCACCTTCGTATTTACTCTTGGTTTGGGTTAGTAAATACATGTAAAATAAAGTGGTTGTTTTGGAAAGCATCATGTATGGATGCAAGTTGTGAAAAGTGGAGAAGCCATATATAAGACCTCTTCTTGGTGATGTAAAAGAGCTTATAAATTTTTATCATTGTTCTTGTCCGTACTCTTCTGATGTTGTTCTTCACAAAAAGTTGATTCTTGAAGAAGGGCTTGATTAGAAGGTGTTTAATTAATCAAGCATGGAAGAAAGCCTACCTCCTGGGTTCAGGTTCCATCCTACAGATGAAGAACTCATCACATATTATTTGTTAAGGAAAGTGTCTGATATTAGCTTCACATCCAAGGTTGTAGCAGTTGTTGATCTCAATAAATCTGAACCTTGGGACCTCCCAGGTAGTTTTATACTTCCTCATGGTTTCCATTTATTTTATGTCTTCACCGTCGTACTTTTGAAGATGTTGTACAAGTTAAAGTAAAAAGAAGCAGAAAAATATTGAGGAATCGCCTTAACTGATGATCCCTTTTCTGTCTATAAATTTTCATTGAATATGCAAATGAAACTTTGAATATCGTATTTCTTCAGACCAACTTCATCCATGCATGTAAATAAAGATAGTGTTGAAGTGCATGCATAAATGAATATAATGTTTGTGATGTATATATATATATATAAATAATAGGGAAGGCTTCGATGGGGGAGAAGGAATGGTATTTCTTCAGCTTGAAAGATCGGAAATACCCAACAGGGCTGCGAACGAACCGAGCGACAGAATCAGGGTACTGGAAAACGACAGGAAAAGATAAGGAAATATTTGGAGGTGGAGTTTTGATTGGGATGAAGAAAACTTTAGTCTTTTACATGGGTAGAGCTCCCAGGGGGGAGAAAAGTAACTGGGTTATGCATGAATACAGGCTTCAACACAATCAACCCTTTAGATCTTCTAAGGTTCGTTATTCATTAACTGATATATGTGATACCAGAAATGTTTCATTCATAACAAAATATAATGCCAAACATATGATTATAGGTGTTGAAAGCTTTTCATAGTTTAATTAATAAATATCATTGTACCAATAATGTTCAAATGTCTGATTAAACTTAATGTTTAGAGAAAAATAATTATTCATTGACAGTGTTTTTTAGGATTATTTTCTCACTCAATTTTTTACTAGAGCAAAATCTAAAATTATTTTATGCTGTGAATGCATAGGTGTTTATCGTTCAAATGCAGTTTGGACTTCTTAATTCTTATAGTTGTTTATTTTTGCAGGAAGAATGGGTGATTTGCAGAGTCTTCCAAAAGAGCTCAGCACCAAAGAAACCACAGCAGACATCATCCTCCCAACCATCTCAAGAGTCCCCTACCTCAATGGTCAATGAATTTGGTGATGTTGACCTACCAAATCTTAATACCATTGCAAATTCATCTAGTAGCTACACCAACATTGCAGGACAAACTTACAACAATGCTGCAGACCCCAGCAATGTTTGCACAAACATGAACTTGGCCATGAATTGGCCTTCTGCAACTGAGGTTCCATCTCTCCCATGGCCTTCTGGATTATTGCTGAATCCCAACCTATCTGTCAATTCGTTGCTTCTCAGGGCATTGCAGCTTAGGAGTACTTTTCCTCAAAGAGAACCTGCAACTAGTGATCACTTTGCAACATATGTTCCTCAAACACTTCATAATATTGGAACTGATAATCTCACTCCAAATCTCAGTGTCTCAGCTTCTTCCAAAGCTTTAGAGTCTTGTGTGCCGCAGCAGGAGCAACCATTCAATATGGACTCCATTTGGTGAAGTGCCTGTGTAAATCATGTAAACCTAGCTTGTGAATTATTGTGCAAAGTCCAAACTCTACAACCGCTGTAGCAAAAAATGGTTCCATTTCTAAGTAGAATAATAGCTCACTTTCTTAAACGTTGTTACGACCTTTTCAAGAGAAAACTAAACTCAACTCTTGATGTCCATTGTTGTAATCAGGGTTCAAAATAGGGAACTTGTGGATTTCTGTCAAAGTTTATTCGTTATTACTTTGTGATTTGCCATGATATTTTTCTCAAATGTTTGCATTCTTTCTTCCATTATTACCTTTTGAAAAACATTCTGAAACGTTCACCGTTTAATCAACTCATTCATTCTGGGTTCAATGATACAAACACTCTGATTCTGATTTTCCAAACCCTATTAAATAATAACCAAGCATGCCTTCAAATTTCCCTATTAACATTTATATGTATATATATTAATGCTGTTATGCAAAATGGTAACGCGTTTTTATTGATAGTTTAAAGTAAATACAAAGGAATTTATGCCTTCAGATTTATTTATTTTTTCAAAACTTGAATTTGTATTCTTGAAAAAAAAAAAAATTTTGTTAAATGCTTGAACTTTAATGTCTACCATAGAAAGATGTGACTGTGAATTAATACTGCGTTTGGAGTGGGGGCGAGTGGGATCGGGTGAAGCGCGTGGCACCGTTGGAAGAGCCGCAACGCTTTGGACACGTGGAAGATATAAGGGAACATGATGACGCATTTGAAAAAAAAAAAAAAAAAAACATATACCCTATTTTAAATTAATGAAATTAGTTTTAACTGTTCTATATTAAAAAAAAAATCGAAGAAAAATATAATTTTTACCTCTATTACTTTAATCTTTGACTTTGATTTCTATGGTTTCAAATGAATGAATTTGGTTTCCAATATTGTGAAAATATTTGAAATTAGTTTTCAAAATTTTGAAAATATGGAGAATATCAGTTACGAGAATAAAAAGATACGAGATATCGTTGTTATTGTTGATTCTTATTATTTTTTAAGAATCATAAATCTTAACAAATTATGATTATGGAGAATGATAACATAATATTTGATTTTTCTTAAAATTTAATAATAACATGATAATTTTTATAAAATCTTGTAATTATTTATTATATTAATTAGATACACAATAAGGAAAATAAATATACGAAACTCTTATAATTTTAGAATATATATATATATATATAATTCTAAACTTTAAACGGATAAAATTGATAATAAATATTTCTAAATATGTAAGTTATATTACAATTAAAATCTGTGTAATAAATAAATATTTTTATTGTTGATAATTATTTTAAAATACTAAAATTCAAATTAAAACTAGAAATGTTTAAAAATATTTTTATTCAGTATTAAAAATGTTAAAAAATAGATGGAAAAAGATAAAAAAATATTAAATGATTAATTCAATATTAAAACATAAGATTTAGTTACTGTGTTTAAATTTCCAAAGAAAAAAAGCAACTTATTTTTTAAAATCAATTTATGATATGCAAATAAAGTTTATAAACTGAAAATTAAAACATTATCACAAACAAACAGTTACATTTTCAAAGTTTAAAACAAATAAATATGGTATTTTGTATTATTATTATTATTATTATTATTATTATTATTATTATTATATCATCGTATCTTAAGTTATCTTATATTATCTTGTTTTCACAAGGGATTATCGGTATCAGTATAACACAAAAGACTAAAAGGTCTATAACCAGGTGCATAGATTCCTCTGCATGGTTTCAAAGCTTTTCTCAACCATCCTTTTGCATATCAGTGGAAGAAGAAGAAAAAGTTGAGATGAAGACGAAGAGACAGAAGGGGAGTAGAAGAATAATCAAAGAAGAAGAAGAAGACAGAATCAGTGACTTACCAGACTCTCTTCTGCTCCACATAATGGAGTTTATGCCCACAAGAGAAGCTATTCAAACCTGCGTGTTATCGAAAAGATGGAAGAACGTCTGGAAAAGCCTCGACACTTTCTCTCTCAAACCCTTGAATGGAATCCGCAAGTATAACCAATTCGTTTCTAAAGTTCTCTCTAACAGAGATGATTCTGTTTCCCTGCGTGGGTTTCAAATGCCCGTGTTCAGTTCCACTGCACCAAAGCTCCTCAAGGCCATAGAATATGGTGCAAGGCACAATCTTCAGAAGTTGACACTCGCCATGGATTTCAGATTCAAAGAAATACCTGTTTCTTTAGTTCCCCTCATTTTCAATTGTCAATCTTTAACATTTCTTGACCTATATATCAACTCCTCTTGCTCTAACTTGAAACTACCACCATCTATTCTGTTACCATCTTTGGAAACCTTGTATCTCTCCAATGTCACTTTCACAGCAACTGACAACCACTGCATTGACCCTTTTTCAACATGCACTTCCTTGACCACTTTGGTCCTTCAACATGATTTGCGTTACGAGTCAACACAGACTCTACTTATTTCTAACCCTAATCTGTCCGTTTTGAAACTGGAAAGCGTAGTTAGTCGGCACACCTTCAATCCTAAACTTGTGCTTTCTACTCCTAATCTCAGTTTGATCACACTTGGCATTCAAATTTGTTATGAACTTTCTTGCACCTGCGATCTTCCACTGCTTGAAGAGGTATATGTCAACCAAGGTGTTCATACAGTTTCTTCTGTCATCATAAATTGGTTACAACTTTTCCCTCAAGTAAAAACATTGAGACTCTCTTCTTATGCCCTCGAAATGTTACTGAAGGTAAAGTTTTTATAATTTTTTTTTTCAAATATTCAATCTTACTTTTTTAAAATATATTTATTAAAATACGTCTAATGTTCATTTCAATCACACAGGATGTAGTTATGACTGGAATAGAAATTCAACCTCCAAGCTTTTTTAGATTGAAGTCAATGAAAATGGAAATAGGACGACACATGATATCTGATGATCATGTAGACATTATATTGGATTACTTACTCAGGAACTGTCAAACAATAGATGTTGAAGTTGATGCTATCACAGAGGACTAAGTCATATTTGTGTTCTAGATTGATACACATTCTTATAGAATTTTTAGTTTTCAATTTCTTAAATGTTTCACATTCACCCTCATGCTCTCTTCTTAGTGTTATTTTGTAATTGTTGGGCTTCAACAGTTGATAAATTTAAAGAAACTATCACTGTAGAGCATGTGTTCGAAACATGATGTTTGTCGTGGTTAATTAGTAAAATCCATACTTATTTTTTGCTGGAGAGATCTGATTAGTTATTCAAACTTTTGTTATATAGTGGCTTCTGCTTATTTTTTGGAACATTCTTATAACAATTATTGTTATAGATTGGTTACGGCGTATTAGAAAGTTTTTTTAATCCTGACATGCGAAAATTTTACCAAAATCCAGTTAATATAAAAAAATATGTTATGCAGAATGCAGACAAAAAATAAAAAATTGAAATAGAAATGTAAAAATAGATTTAGTTGGATAGTAAATTTGTAAGGTTGGAAAAATAGATGATATTAGAAAAAAAAAATTATGGCGTCACCAAATTTTTAGGTCATTTAGTCCATAGTCTAAAAATTTATCTCAGTTCATAGTCTATAGATTTAGATCTAGTTCATGAGTTTATAAATTAATATATTTTATAAAATAAGAATTATTTTTTAAATAAAAATTAAAATAATATTATTTTATTAAAATTATATATTATATATTAATTTGATAAAAATTCATTTATTTTAAAAATAAATATTTAATAATCAATAATATCTAATAATTAAAATTAATTATTATTTTATATTAATAAATTATTAAAAAATAAATAAACATATTAAAAAATAAACTTTTAGTCTTTATTTTGTGAATAAATACATTCTCTTATAATTTATATATTAAATAATTATATCTTAAATAAAAATTAATTTCATTAATATAATTTAAATTTTAAAATATATTTTTTTAATAATTAATTTAGTATAAATATATTAATATTTTTCTAAAAAAATTTTAATCAAACTAAATTTAGGACAAAACTATCAAATTTTTAACTTGACAAATCAACTGAGTTGGACTATCACAACTCTAAATATAATATTGGCTAAATATAATATTGGAGATGTATAATATTGGAAATGTTTAATAGATTGTTTTAACAACAGCCTAATTAATTGAAAAAGTTAGTATTAGGGAAGAATGTTACAGAGGAATAGATTAAATATGAGTTGACAAAATTTTAAGCACTATAATATAATATAAATGAGTGATTCTTTTAGACTTTATATAAAGTAAACAAGTAGATGGTAATTGTTTCTCTCAAAAAAAAATTATTTCTTTACCTTACTAACAGAATTTAAGCAGCAACAACAACTAAGAAATAAAAACATATCATTAAATGACTAAAAATAGTTACTTCTAATATGAACAAAAAAGATCGTGATTTGAAATTCGGAAGTAATCCTTAGTTTGTAAATTTAATAAAAAAGTAATGTATGGTATAAAATTACAGAGTTTCAATTAGTGCATCTTTAATGAATCAATGTGCGGAGATGTTACACTTTTGTAATTTATAATATTTTATATTTATAAGCAAGGTTAGATTTTTCTTTATTTATAGTAATTTAATTAATATTTTCTTTATATCCTTCTAAACTTGAACATTCTTATTATTATTTTTTTAATCTTAATGTATGACAATAGCTAATTATTTATTTATTGAACCAAAAATCTAATGATTCTAAATAACATAACATTTTGATATAATATTCACACTTCAAACAAAAATTATAAAATAAATATTAATGATTAAAATTAATTGTTTAAATTTTTGAAAGATAAAAATCATAAGTAAAAAAGTCAATTTCATACATAAATTAGTATAAAATATAATGTTATTTATAAAAGTATTCTTAGAATAGGAATGAAATTATTGATTCTGAAAATGATAACTTACTTTACAGATAATAAATATATTTGTCTTATTGCTAATTAGTACATATAGAATGTTGGTTAAGAAACTAATAATATATTTTTATCAAAAATAACCTTAAACGTGCATTGAGAGTCACCTTTATTCATAATATCTTTAATAAAATATTTTTATTTTTAATTTCTTCACTAATATCCAGAACTCCTTATTCATGAGTTAGCAATATCAAACTGAACAACAAAATTATTTACAAATATATAAGCTTATCTAGTTATATTTGGGAGTACACTTATCAGAGGAAGAATGAAGGGGCACAGGCACACAAATACAAGAAAGTATATTAATCGGCGATCCACTGTAGGCACCACATGTCAAAGGGTCAAATTCCAGAACTTGGAACAAATAGAACTTCACATTTTCAACTCGTGTTCAAACAGAAGATTCGTTCAATATGCTGTCAGTAAACCGGTCTCGTGATAATCCTAGATGCAATGTTGTTAATTAAACGAAAAAATAGAAAAAAAAAGAGAGAGAATATGTTGACTTCATAAAATAAAAAAAATGCCTAATAAGAAAATTTGAGATCACATTATAATTTATATATACCTTAGCTGGATGCAAGCAATGGCAGATGTTATTCAGGAGCTTCATTGCAAAATGTAAACCTATCTTCATACAGATGAAGACATCATTTTCAAAAATTCTAAAATTCAGAATCCTCATCATTGCAATCACTGTATTCCTCGCTATTGAAATCCCCACCATTGTCATCTCTGTCAGAGTATTCATCCTCATTCTGCAGAACAACCGCCTGCAGATAATTAATTTTTACTCCGAATCAAAATTATTGTTGCATTTTAGTTTCTATTTTCCGTCCATCTCATTCTAACCCTCTTCCATTATGTTAATAAATTTTATTATAAAAATTCAATTGCATATTAGGCGTTTCCCCGTACAAGATCCCAAAGTTGGTATTAAGTCTTTATAGGAAAATGAATTACAATTCCGATGATGAAACATAATACCCAGGTGTTATTATTTCATATTAAATGAAATTATAAAGAATTATTTGATAACTTTTCCAAGTAGAGGAAAAATAGATTAGGGTGTCTTACTGGGGCGAATTCTGATATATGGTCTATTTGGTTGTCGTCCTCAATGTTCCACCTATCTTCAGGCCCCAAATCTTGCGAGAAAACCTATGAATAATTCAAATTAAGATTATTTGTTATACAGACCTCAAACCTTAAGCTGGGTTAGTATGCCAACAGTAGGTATAACAATCGCATTTGCATGAGCACACTGAAATTGTATAAATATTTAAATGCTAATAGGAAAAAGTCAAAGTCAATACTGAGCTTGTAATAAATAAAAATATAGGTTATTTAAGTTATTATATCACCAAAATTAACTCATACTGAGATTGGTACCCCCAAAGTTTTTCAGTGTTTTTATACTCAATATTTATAATAATAAATATGTTAATGTGGTCCTCGTAATTATTCTATTACTTTTGACTTAACAGAGTGCTAATTTCATATCGGTATATCTACAAATATCTTACTACAATTATTAAAAGTTAACACTGTTAAAAGTAATATAATTACTGTGAAGACCAAATAACATATTATTAAATATTGAGTATCCAAATTGGAGATAATGATACCAATTTAACTAAGATCAATATTGGAGATACCAAAAACTTAATTTATCCAATCAATTTTAATACAGGCCAATTTTAGAGGTATAAAAAAATTATTTCACCCTAAAAATATTAACCAGCCAAAGTACTTATTTGGTATTAGTGGACGATTTCAGTAAATACCAGCCCCACACCACTCGTGGAATAACTAGAGAAGCGCTAGTGCCACATCGCATTGGAACTGCTTAAAACCTTTTGGTATCTCAGCATAATGTGAAACAGTATGGCTAATAATGGTACGTATTGGGTGCAATACTTCTTTTAATTTAAAAAAAAAAAAGAAAAAGAATCACATAAATGTTAGTACCCACAAATGTAGGGTTAGAGCTTCACTAACAGTGAAATATGATGTCTGTATTTGAAAAAATTACACAAGCTCAATAAAATATGCACTTGACAGGGGATACATAAGTTGGTCGGTTGGGCAGTCACACAGGGCAGAATGGTGAATATCAATAATACTGACAGAAAATTCTGTAATCTAGAACGTAACAAGCAAATTAGGAATGAGAATTGTCACACTCTCCACTAGACATGCACCAATTAATCCATTTTAGGAAAATACAACTATAGAAATTATGATAAGTGAATACTTACAAGTTCTTTTTTCATTTTTTCTATTTTTTCCCCCAATTCAGTTACATGCTGACTCAGAGCCTGCACAAGTTATACAAGATCAAATGATAAACCATAGATACAGAAAGAGAAAAATAGATTAGTAATTTTCAAGAAAAAATTGGAACCTCATGCCGTTGCATGGCTATTGAACGCTGCAATGCCTTTGCCTTTGTTAGAAGGTTTCTAGGCCTTAGAGTCATAGGTCGCCGATAATTCTTTCCACGATAGTAAATAAGAGAAAATCCTTTAGGAACTTTATCTATTGCTACTAGTATTCCACCACTCTCATATTCCAGTAACCTAGCTGTGTCTTCAACAAAAGCAAGAGTCTTTTGTTTTGTTATTAACTTAACAAGTTCTCGATGTTTCCAATGTAAATGCATATTCTCAATGACACCATCAAAAACACCGCGTATACCTGCAGATTATCATAAACAGCTGTTACTACTGCATCATTGCAATAAAGAAACTATATTACAGCCAAATGTTACCCACCAAGTGGCAAGTATGCCTTCATTCTTAAACCAACTGAACGGAACATAACACATTCTTCATCTGTGACTGTTTCCTTGTCATAATCAGGACCAACTGGAACCAAAGATGCTTCTATTTTTGCCAACAGCTTTTCTGCTCTAAGCCTTTTGGCCTGGGCCTGTTCATGCATTTAGAGTCATAAATATTAATAAAGCAAACTAAAACTAAATTTGAACTTTATAAAACTGCAAGAAGACAAGCTTGTATCCCAAGTGCCAACTAAGGAAAAAGATAAGTTGAAACTTGAAGGATTCATATTATCACATGTCCAGAATTGCAATATTTATGCCCTTTTTAGTACCACTTGTCATGTCATGGCTCCTATTAATGGATCAGATGCTGAGTTTTACTAAGGATTAATGCACGCAATGTAGTTGCCACATTTCTAAAAGATTCAAAAGGCCCTTGACATCAAAGCTGAACTTTGTAGACTAAATCACAAGGGTTGTTAAATTTTTTCTGCACCAAATTGTTGAAAGGTACTATACCAATTTCAAAGCTTTCATCAATAAAAATAACCCGTAAAAGGCTAAATCATAACATCCTAAGTTTTGGAAACCTAAAATAGGTTACAGTATATAACTCCAAGACCTTGCGTTAAAATGAGATCCAAAATAAATTATTACATCTTAACAGCTTCACTGATAATTACCCAACAACAATCTAATGGTAATCTGTAGACTATTCCAACAAGCCTCTTCCCCGTGAAAGTGTGAAACAAACTAATCCAGATTGATTCCATCAAGCAAGGACTCTAGATATAACACAACACAACTACTTTTCCAAGCATATAACCTTCACAAAACAAGTAGATACTTACAACAGCTAGTTTACGATCAATTTTTTTTACAAGCTTAGCATGCTTAGATTTGGCCGCATCTTGCATCATCCTATCCTTTTCTTCAGTAGATATATCCCTTCCCCAGCATTCCTGAGCCTCATAGAACTCCGCCAATGATCCTGCTTGTGCTGTTGATTCATCTTCCCTTGATGGAGCTACGTCATGAACTTTGCACCGGACCTTCTCCTCAACATCCTGCATGTGTTTTGTCATTTCCTGTCTTTCAGCAATAACAGCAGCTACACTGGTGGGAACAAAGTCCTTCCCACGAAATATTACAATGTAATATTTGTTCCGTAGAAGTAAGGTACCTCCTGTTAATTTCTGCACCATGAAAGAAAAACAACTAGTTGGTCACACGAATTAGCAGCAAAAGAATGCACTATTTCACCATGTAAATAAAATTTAGCATTTACAACACACAGATTCAATGCAGGAAAACAGATTAGCATCTTCAATATAATGTTATATTTGTATGGTACCATAAAAAAAGTTCAACTATACTTAGTGAATGATGTTTTTGACAACAATTGGAGAAAATGTATTAGTCATTCAAGTAAATTTTGTTGGTGACTCTTGAGTATTATATCGCCATGAACTAAAACTATAGCCAACAGCTTAAAAAAACAGGATCAAGGATACCTGAATTGTAACAAATATAAATTTTGGTATGCACCATAATTACAATGAAGACTTAAGGGGACCTTTAACCTATTAATTGCACTAGTAATTCTAATAATTCAATCAAATCATTCACCGTTTTCAATTTTATCGGCACAGCAACCCAGCACACATTTTTTAATTCAACAATCTGTACTTCGTCCACAATATATATTCTGCTTTACACATTCTCAATTGAACAAGCAACACCAAATAGGAAATTACAGAGCACAAACCTTCAGCTCCTGAGCCATCAGTTCATTATTTGTATTCACAAGACCACGCTTGACTCCAATCTTTGCAACTAAACTTTTCTCCCAAAGCCTGAGAATAGCAGATGCCAGACCTTGAAGATTTCTATTCCTCCCTTCATAAAGATCAGCAAAAAATATATATTAGTGAAAGAAAACAGAATCAACAAAACAACCTAGCAGCCAAACATTACCCAAGGCAAAGTGACAAGGAAGTGATTTGGCAAGTTTCCGCATATTGGTGAGTTCATCATTGGTCAGTCGTGGACGCATTCCAGCAGGAAGAAGCCTAAGAGGCGTCTTGTAACCAGGAACTGTAGGGGGAAGCAAATCAGCATCAATTGGAAGTATTCCAGTGCCCCACCATTCAACGAAACGAGTACCAAAGCCATCAAGCATCCTGTTAAACTCCACTTCCTCTGGTGTCATGTTCTCCTTCCAGAAAACTGGATCACCATTTGCGGGCACATAAATTTGATCATCTCCTTCCTTTTCATTTGGTTGCATCGGCCCTTGGTAATTCCTACCACGGTACACCCACATATATCTTCCCGACTTCCATATAACTAAACCTCTAGTTCTACCCTGCACAAGGCCACAATTATTCGGTTCACACAACTTAATCAACACTAAACACAAAACATGATAATACATTTCCAACAGCAACCCTACGTAGGTGTTGGATTCACATTGAATCATTCAAAATCATACTGAAATACTCGCTAAATTAATTTTAACTAAATGGTCTTATGTTTGGTCCCATGTGGAAAATTGATTTTGAATCTAAAATTAATTTTAAGTTAAAACAACTAATAAAAAATCTTTTGCAGAATGTTGAATTTTACCACTAACTTGCTATTACAATAAAATATCAAAATGTAAATCACCTCGCTTCAGAATCAATTTTAAACAAACTCAATCTCGCAATCAATTCCATTTAAAATCAATTTTGCAAATGCTTATCACTAAAACACTCACGTACATAAGTTATTATAACACAAATAGGGATTGTATTATGAACGAACAAAACCTCAACAATTTGATGAGCCAACTTCATGTTCTGGGCAAGATGCTCGTGAAACTTGAGCCTCACCAACTCGCAGTTGCTCCATTGACGGTGAATTTTGTCGAGCACGGCTCGCGTGAGGCCAGCTTTGGGGATAGTGATCTTCTCTTTAAGACTTATTCCCAGCGTTCGTAACCGCCGCAGCTCCTCCTCCTCCAGCGATTGCTCCGCCAGTGTCGCTGCATTAACGCTCTTTTTCTTTAGTTTCCCCTTCTCCTGTTCCTCGTGCTCCTCCTCCTCTTTTTCTTCTTGCTTGTTCCACGGCAAAAGCGCCTCGTCGGGACGAAGCCATTCGCGTCGCAGGAAATCGTCGTCAGCAGCGTGGTCGGCGGAGGCTAACTCTAAGTTGCGCAAGCGCAGGGCGATTCTCTCGATGGCGTTGGTGGCTTTGTCGACGTGACGGGGAGTGGGAAGAGGGGCGAACAAATCGTCGTGGTCGTCGTGGCGAGTAGTTAGGAGAGAGGAGAAGGCGTTGAGAGCGCGAACGCGAATGCAATTTCCGGGTGGGAACGTGAATTTGAATTTGGAAGTGGGCGAAGCGTGTGGGAGTGATGATAGTAAAGCATTTGTGATATTCAATCGCATTTTCAGTAACAACAATCACTTCTCATTTTTCACTTTTTGTTTTCAATGAAAAGAATGAAACCAGCAAGAGAAAGATAAGGTTGCAAGGTTGCAGCAATTCTTGTAGGTCATGTTTGGTTCCGCAGAACGAGTGGGAACTGGAACACTACATCATCCAAGATATTATGATACTGTCAATAATATCACCCTTTCCGCGGTCCATAATACACCCTTAACACTATTAAATTAATAATTTGGTTGAATTAATATACAAATTTCTCATTCTTTCTAAATCTCTAGAGTATAGAAAGGATGAAGTAGATATTTCACCTTTATTGTAAAATTTTGAATTAAACAACACACGAGTTTAATAAATATATATATTTTTTGGTATAAATATATTTACATTATCAACTAATAAAAAATAATAAATTTTGGTAGTATAAAAATTTACACTAGTATTTATATATATGTATATATAACCTGTAACATACTTTACGGGAGAGGGGATAAGAAAATAAAATGGGTTGATATATATTGCAAGAGATAGACAGACTTATGCATTCAGAATTTATGTTTTCTAATTTAGCAAACTCCAGAGAAACATAAACTTATTGCAAATTATTGATCAATTACACACACATGTGTAGCGTTGGTAGCGGGGAACTACACAAGAATTATTAGATAAACATGTAGAAAGTTAGTACGTGATGTTTCCCATAAGCAATATTTTACATGAGAAAAATCGAAGTCTCTACTGTTAATCATGAAGCTTTAGATTGATCATGCTGATGAGGATCACCTAGTTCCACTTTGAGAAGCACTAGAAGTGAGAGACGAAGAATTGAGGATCTCCTGACCCAGTTCATTTATTTTGCTGAGAAGAAGCATTTGCTCGGTCTCCAACCGTGCTATGTACCCTTCCTGTGTATCCTCTAGACTTTCTATTTCACTTAAAGTTGTAGTCAGTCCTTCAAGATTTCCATCCTCTATTAATGATCGAAACTTTTTCAACATCTCCCTCATCTGATAAAATGTTCAATTTCAACAGTTTGTTAGAATAACTGAGTAAATTGAAAATTAGAATGACCGTAGTCCATACACAAAAACAAATGAATAGAAATTCATTTTTGTCCAATTTTTTTTTTTTTTTTTTTTGTGTGTGTGTGTACAATTGCACTAAGGAGATTTGAACTCAAGACCTCATGCAAACTGTTCATAAATTGGCGGCAATGATGATCAATTAGGAGTGAGCCAAGCAATAACATATACATCAACCAACAACAGTTCTTAATCTAGCTTAAAATTCTTGGAAGCAAATGTGTAGGATACCTACATATGTGGAAAACTGAAAAAAAAAAAACAATTGAAACTCAACAACAAACGTGTCTACTCTATTAAAAATGGACAAAGAGTTAGATTGTGAAATGGTAATCGATATGCATTGCCTGTCAAGGCAACCATTTTCATTGAGAGCAGAAAAGTAATATCACAAGTTGTAAGGTAAAAATAAGTGTTTTCTGGCATGCAGGATGGTCTCACCTGGGTAGGAATTTGGCGTGATTTACTTGACGAAGATTGTTGAGAATCTAGAGAACTTCTTGTTTGCATGTCCGGAACTTTTCTTGTTATTTGGATGTGTATCTCGCCACTTTTCACCCCTTGGAGAGGTATCCATTTGTCAGACATCTGGTTTGGAGGCAACCCTTGATATTCTACAACACATTCCCCTATACTTGATGTGGGTAGTAAGGCATTGTGGTCCCTAACATGCAGTGTCAGGGGACTACCATCGTCAAGGAACTCTAAGGTTTGGTTCCAACGAGGGTTGAGAGTTTTGTGTATAACCTGCCAGATAGTGCCACACACGCAGTAAGTAATCAAGCCTTGTAAAAGTGAAAAGACCAGATATTCCCCTCCGCAGGGTTTTTAAAAAAAATAAATGAGATGGTATATGTTTGCACTTATTATTAGTCTATTACTACAAATATAATCATCAACTAATAGCAGCCCAACGAAAATGCAAAGACAAGATTAGCAATATATAATCATAATTGTGCCATAACCATCATCAGTATTCACTTCATGCAAAAGATATTACAGTCATTACCTTTGTCCTTCGCTTCAAGTTTCCGTAGTTCACCCTCACATAAGGATCACTTGTCCCACGAAGATCTGCAGCAATAAGATCTCTTGCTTCAATCACAACAAGTTCTATCCAACCATTAGCTGAACCCTGTGTATATCAAACGATCAGTACATGTTAGCACTTGCAAAGGAAACACCAGAGAAAATTCAGCATGGGTAAATAACTGAAGGGATAATAGACTAAGTATTAGCTTTGTACATGTTTTACTTTTATAATTTGTTCAAAAGAATCGTTAATTTCCTGTTGAAGAAACTTACCCTTGATCCTTCTTGGTCCTCCACCCTAACTACTTCGATTTTAAGTCTTAATTCACCAGAACTCACTCCTTCAAGAGGGATCCATTCATCCTTCATTGATCCGTCCCCCAGTCCTTCCAAATTTACATTTGCACTACCAATATTTTCATCTCCAAAAATTTCTTCACTAAAGCATTTTACATTTAGGTATTCATCACCATCGTTCTCATCAAAATCAAATGATTCATTCCATACAGGATTTGAAGTAGTAGTAGTAGTAGAAGGAGCAACCTTTGTTCTCTTACGAACCTAAAAAGATTATCAACAATAAAATTAGATTGTGTTGTTATGAACATACATTGCGTAGGTTATCTTTTCCAATACTAAGTATTCAGAATCCAATAGAAAATCAGTGTCACTGACCTTTCCATATTGCAATTTAATGTATGGGTTGACTTTTCCAGATTTGTCTTTTGTAGCGAGATCCTTTGCTTCTAAAATTGTTATCTTAAGTTTCCTTCCAGTTTTTGACTGAAGAGTAGATGATCCAATAAGTGATTGCTGAGAATTAGTAGGGAGGTTGTTCAAACTATGTGAACCATCAGAAAACTGCCACTCTTTTACTACAATCTTCACCTTTAACTAGAAAATGGATTGAAATGTTAACATGAATAAAACTTTCATTTACTAATAATTTTATTGTCATTCAGAAATGTAAAACAACTTTCACTTTAAGTGCAACAATAGTTGTAAGGACATTTTGATGGAAGCTCTTTCATGTTGAATCAGTCAGATAATAACATGAGCTTGATACAATAAACCCAATCAACATAAGATGTAAAGAATGCCAAAGGCAACTGCAAAAGACTATCAATGTGAAACTTTACCCCTTCGTACATATTAAATGATCTAGACTATAGATAATTGCAAGATATAAACCATTTGATGAGCTTTTTAACCTATTATTAGCTTGAGCTTTTAAGAAATTGACAATCGACATGATACCAGAGTCTCTATGGCCAAGAGTTTAATCATGTTCTTTCACTACTAAAAATTCTCATTTTTCATGGGAATATTTTTGCAAAATTTTGGTAAAAATTGTAAGAAATAAGTTTTCTATAAATTTAAACAATTTTTTGCAAGAAAATTGGCAGAAAAAAACTAGTTTTTTAGTAGTGTTTGTACATAATTAGATTATTGTTTTAGTACTTAAGTAGCACAAAGATAATTTAATCAGGAAAGAAGAATGGCTCTGTAAGCTTTGGCTAGATGGCTAGATGAAAATCAAACACTGCTAATGTAAGATAACCAAATTAAGTATGTCATAAAGCAAAGAGCTTGACAGAAGAGAAGGATCCAATTATTATATGGGCCATAAATATTGTACCTCCGCTAAGTTGGTCCCCTCAAATGGGACAACCATTTCAACTTCATCTCCACAAATCTTTGTATGCCTTGCTATTGCACTAGAATCAGGTCCTATTGCCCACATTATTGTTGAATCATCTTCAATATACCTCATCTTAAAGACGAAAAAAAAGTCAGCCTAGAATAGCAGATGATAAGGGGTTGACAAAAAGAGATTAAAGAAAAGGATAGTAATAAATAAATAAATAATATATGGCTATCTCAAAAAGGAGAACATACAAGTACCTTGATTTCACAACTTGCTAGGTGGTCACACTTTACACCGCTAGAGGGATGATCATAAAGATTGAAGCGAACAATTCCTGTATTATCATGTAAAACCATATTAAATGTTGTATCCCACGTTGGATTTGAACCACGGCTCAGACCCGTCCTCCTTGTCAATTCCTCCACTTCTACCTCAACAAATGTCTGCAGGTCCTTGTCATCCAGGTTGCTTTCTGAACGTCCATTGACTGTGCTATTCTGTTGCCTCAAAGATCGGCTACTCTTGAAGCAACTCCAAGAAAGTTTGTGTGCTGAAATCACTGACACATATATAATGCCTCCAACAGCAGTTTTCCTCAAATTAACCACAGGCAAACTGAAACAACGGCGTCTAGGTTCCACCAAGGTTTTAACCAACGTATCAGTAAAAAGTTTATCCTGTGTAGTGTTAGAAAAAGAGACTTAAATTCTCCCAGAATGTTCAGAAGACGCTTAGCATATGAGGCAAACCATGAGATTTCATTTCCTAATTCACTTGTTTCAAATAGCTATAGAAAACAGATATAATAAGCTTTTACTAAAACTTTTGACAAATCAGATTCACTGAAACACACCAGCCATGGAGAAACCCCAGGCAACTCAGTGGCTGATTGGCTTGCTCCGCTTCCAAAGGCAATTCCTATTCTCACCTCAGGTGTGGATGAAAATGAATACAGAAGTGCATTTCCATCTAGAATTGGAGTCACCAGAAGCTGTCAAAAAATATATATATATAATTGATTATTATAATATGAAAAGAAACGTATTCTAACCTCCTAGTCCTAATTCATTTTCATATCCAGTGTTTAATTTTCTACAGTTTTGTTTCATTTCATGTCAGAGAAGCATAAATCCAAAGTTATTGTCTCATACCTCACCCTTGATATGAAGATTGTTAATCACAATTCTGGCTGTTCCAACGGAAAGCTTAGCAAGCATCAAAATGCTCATTTCGCTTGTGTCCCACTCAAAACTCATTTTCAGGACTCTCTGTCAAAATCAAATACCAACAGAATTCGATGGTGATATCTCACATGTGGACGTACATCAACATTTAGTCATAGTAAAGCAGGAATCATAAACTGGAACTTAAATTAACAAAGCAAGTGTAATAGAAAATACAAATTTAAAAACAATACTTTGACAATACATTTGAGATAGACAACCAATAGACAATTCATGAATAAAAGAGTTATAGAGAGAAAAAAATGTGAATGTAGGTACTTTGATTATTATTATTTTATTAATAGATGAAGTTGTCGAATGGTTGTATTTTATTTTTTTGGTTTCCCAGGAATTTCACAATTAGTTACGTAGTTGGCCTTTTGCTCTGCTACATTTTCAAAGATTTATAGAGTCAACTTCTTAGACAATATGACGTGCTATAATAGAGGTTCCAGTTTTAACACGAAATCTAGGTCCAAAGTCCTAGTACTATGATAATTTAATCTTTTAATTGTACATTCATTTAAGCATCATTTTCCAAAAGATATATATCAGAAAATGGGATCACCTATTGTTGGTAAATTAGAGATCACACAACAGAAGCAGTTCAACAAGAAGACTACCAAGAGTAACAAAGATTGAAGCGAAAGTAGAGGTGGTGATGCAAGGAGTAAAGTCATATGAACAAGAAAAAAGATATTTCCAGGAATCTATTTAATTAAATGTCAAAAAAACTGAATAGAAGTGATATCAGAAATCTGAGGCAAACTAAAACCTGATCACCAGAGGTTGACCATCGCATCCCTTGAAGACCCAAACTTGGGGGGCATGATCCAAGTGAAAACTCTAGCACCTCAACTTTTTCCTGCACAAAGGATTATTTTAGTTCAGTACACATCTTCCAAGTTGAAACTGTTCCACAGATGAAAATGATTGTTACTCACTATAAATCTTGGTTTTCGGAGCTTTAAACGTTTCTGAGACACAAAAGAAAGACAAACAATAATAAATTAGTTCAAATACAACAGTAACATTTCAGATCTCCGATATCGTAATTCTGTAAGAAAAATTGCAGATCTTCTTATGGTGCAGATTCCAATACTACAGACTTCTACATGCAGAATTACAGATCTTATGGATAATAAAACAATATACGCATGTACCAAAAAATCAAAATGAAGCAGAATATAACTATTTAAGTAATCAAATTTATAAATGATTGGAAGAAAATATATGCAGTCCTATCTAAACGTGAGAAAGCTTATCATAAAATGAATAACAATGTAATTTACCTCAACTATGGCCGATAACCTTCTTGAGAACTTGGGGTTGAAATAGTTGGACCAAATTTGTGTCAATAGCAGATTCAACCAGTCGCAGTGTTCCAATGGTGTCACTGGCTACAAGTACACGAAGTTGAAGTAAGCCTCACAAAGCTCATTGAGAATGTGAAAGGGATAAATGGAATGAAGAAGGTACCGAAGTGTTGAGTAGGATCCGATTCCATTTTTTATTCAAGTCTTCCTCAAGTAGTTTGCGCTGATACTTCCCATACTGCAAAGAAGAACATGGCGTTGTTGTGTGGCAAGGAATATTGTTTTGGAGATAACCACAGAACCAGGACTAATTGCTTCATTGACTCTTCAAATTCAACAAAGCCCCAACCAACACACAATAGATGGCTATGCTTAGTAGCTTACATAGTAGCATATGTTAACTGCTGCTACCTACTAATTATCTTACTAACTAACCAGTTTGAAGAGAAGAAGAAAGCCAAAAGTCCACCCCATTCCCTTACGTTGATAAAATAACACAATATTTGAAATATTATCGTTCGTAGCATCAGCAAACAAGATAAATATCTAGGAAATTCAAAGCAATGATTGAAAAAGATGAAAAAAAGAGAGAGAAGGATTGCTTACTTGCATAGATGCCCATAGAGCAAGGGCAAGGGGAAACCAATTGGAGAAAGAGAATAACCATCTGTGAATAGCCCAAGCAATCAAAATGAGTGGAAAGAGGAGTGAAATCCAGCCCTTCTTCTCCTTCACTTTCACTACATGGTTCAACAAGTCCACTGCAGTCTCTTCAAGATGAATGAGATTGAACCTTTTCTTACTACTAGTACTACTCATGGCAGAGGGGGAAATAAAACCAACTTTCTGTTTTCCCGAATTTGCATGTTGATTTTACCCCTATGTATGGGTAGTTCTAAGAAAACTCTGTGTTTGGCATGAAGGAAACAGGAAAGGAAATAGAGAACAGCAAGAAATGAATATTCCTGCGAAAATGAGGAGTCAAAAATTTGTGAGAGGATTTGGGAATCTGAGAAACTAACACATAGGAACTATTACTTGGTTGAAAAGTGCAGTGGAGATGAAAACAGAGTCCATCTCAATTCTCACAATTCAGTCACAACACAATAAATATCATCATCAATGACCTTTTGCAACATCTTCAAACACTTTTTGTGGTTCATAATTCAATTGGGATGCAATCTTTTAAGAAAATTTTATCTAGGTCACTTCAAATTTAATATTTAATGCCAATAAGTAAAATAAAATCTATGTAAATGTTAAAGTTGAGATATTTTTTCCAAAGACTGGGGTCCACGCAGGAAGCTATTTATATGGATTGAAGAGTAATGAATAGCCATTCAATATATTTTTTCTTTCTGGCCAAAGAAATAAACCAATCATCTTCATCTGCTCGCCATAACTTCAAATTGATCTGACATGTCAATCTAGAAGCAACTCAGGTCACATCAATAAGAATGACACGTGCGAGTGTTTTTTTTTATAATATTAAATTAAAAAGTATTTTAAATATATGAATTAGATTTTAAATTCTTAACAAATATTTGTTAAATCTAAAAAGTACGCACTGTCTCGTCACGAAAAAGAAAGTTACATGTGGGAGTGTTTTTGGTTTGCGCGTTTCATTTAATATAAAATATTTTGAAAATATAGTTTTAGTTTGAAATAAGAAAAATATTTATTACGAAAATTATCAATTTAATATTTTAATATATGAGATATTATCAATTCAGTATTTGAAAAAGTAAAGATGTAATTCAATCTTAAACTTGTAAAAAATTAAAATTATCTCTCACACTATAGTTTAATTATAAAACACTCTAATTTATATCCAACTTATCATTAAAAACACATCTTAAAAAAAATGTCTTAAGAAATGTAGCAATACGACATTAATGAAAAAAAATGCACATATATATATAATCATTTTATGTAAAGTTATTAGTCATGACTTTTATTGATTTTTTATATATATATTTTTTTCTTCAAAAGTAATTTAGCATAATAAAAAATATAATATGCATATTGAAATATTTTAAACATATTAGAACAAATCTTTTTATTTAATCTTAAATTTGTTGAGATAATATTATTAAAATTAATCATTACATCTTGTATATTATTATTTTTTTAACTTAATATTATTATTATTTTATCTTTAAAAGATATTTTGATAGATAAACATAACTGAATAACAGTAAGAAAGAACTAATTATAAACCTAATTATTTAACCTATAAAAAAATATTATCTAAAAAATAAATGTAATCCTTAAAGAAATAAAAAAATTTGACAAACTATTTAGTGAGATTATTAAACATAATTACCAGAATAATATAAATGAATACATTTTTATAAAGTTAATTTATCTTTAACATAGAAATAAAATGATTAAGTGAATAATAAATCTTCATATTAAATCTCATATTTGAAAATTTTAATTTATTAAATTTATTTCACACATAGTGTATATTTCAATTATTGATCTTCTTTACATGGCATTAAAATTATATTTTCATTAATTTTTGTGTATTTGTTTTTATTAAATTATGATAAGTACATAGGCGAATGCGTTGGTATTGTAACGTCCAAATTTTTATTTATTTATTTATTTAATACATATTTGTTTTGGTAGAAAAAGAAAATCAGATATAATTCAATAATGTTTTAGATAGAGTAATATCATGTTCAGATTAAAACTCGAGTAGTTATATATATAACAGAATTTTATTAATGCTGTTATGTAACTTTAGATAGTTTATTATTGTATTTTAATCTTTTAACTGAATTTATTACTTTCAGAAAAAAGAAAAAATGTTTGTGAAGGAGATTTGGACTCCCAATTAGTTAAAATCATAAACTCGTTTTAATTAGTTGAAACAAGATAGTAATCAGTATGTCAAAACACAGACAAAACTAACTGTTTTCCCAGTTCATTCTTTAGCAGAAGGAAGTTACTGTGTGCCTCTATTAATTTATTTTTCTAGGAGTTACCATATTGTTTAAATCTCCTAATATCTGGTTGATTAGTAATATGTGTCGCTAATTAACAATTTTTTGGAAACAGAAAGAAATATAGAGAAAAATAATGTGACAAATATTTGGCTGATCTTATTTCCCATGAAAGCTTAACAAATGTGGTTGGAGTTAAAGCAGAACTCACACACTCGCATACGTGGACCTTTGTCTACGCTAAACAAGACACCTACTACACATGTGGCATCGCGATTCCACTTTTTCTCAACCAACACCTCCACCTCTAACTTCAACTTTCCTATATATACACTCACACTCTCTTCGTAAATGCTCTTCCCCGTTTAGCTCCAACATTACTTAACTAATCAAGCATTTCAACCACTCGATTACCATTGAAATTAGTTTAACTATCAATGAGTCCAAAGGTGCAAGGTGCACTGAAAATCAACAAGGAATCTCAAACGATTAAGAAATCAACGAGCAAGGCACAGCAGAAGGAGCCTCTGATTATCTACACGCAATCTCCCAGGATCATTCAGACTAACTCTCGTCACTTCATGGAGCTCGTCCAGAAGCTAACCGGAATCTTCCGCTCCGATCCCGACGATACTGCCGACGCCGACGCATGCAAACCGACGACGCCTCTGTTGAAGGAGGATTCGGAGGAGAACGAGGAAGCAGCATCGGTAATCACGGCGGAGGAGGACAACTGCAATATTAGCATGGGTGAGGTGAAGTCCAGTTTCGTGGCATTGGAGCCTCCGCTCATCCCTAATTATGTCAATAATTTTTCAGTATTTGAATCCGATTTCTTCAGCTCCACTGATCCGTTTTTGAATTTTGCGGATCCGTTGTTGTTCTGACGAATCATACGAACAGTAAGTTTTCGTCACTAGCAGAAGTTATTTATTCATTAATTAATTAATTTTCGATTAATAAGTAGTTTTCTACCCATCTCATTATCATTGTTTAAATTTCTTTAATAAGCATAGATTCATATACCTTGATAAGCCCAAATAATAAGCATATGTATTATAGATGTATGTAAATGAATTGATTTGGTATTTCATTTATATAAATGAAGTCAGAATAACAAGAAACATCGTTCTTTTTAGTTTTTAATCTATTCTGTGATTTTATTTTATTTTTGTTTTGTATGACTTGTATTTGAGCATTATATTTTCTTTACATAGAGGAGTCCAAGAATAAATTACACATGCATTTAATATAATTTAACTGAACTAAACAAAAATTAACTCTTACAATTTATTTTTACCTACGTTAAACATACTTTTATTAACTTTATAAACATATATTAATATTTATACAATATTAAATATGATAGTCACTAAATATAATATATTTTTTAAATATATATATATATATTAACGGTTTCGCTTTGAAACAATAAATGATTTTGAAAACCCAAAAGAATTTGAAATTATTTTCTACTTGTCATGAATATATTTAGAAATTTTCTTATAAATTATTTGTTTTAATAAATAATAAACAAATATTATATATATATATATATATATATATATATATATATAATTAAGTTGTGTTATAAGTACTTTTTATTTTATTATAGTTTCGTAATATATTATTTCATTTAAAAACTATGGAATAATATATAAATTAATATAAGTATTCAATTTAACAAATATTTATATTTAGTTAAAGGAGATTATTTATGTTTTGTAGAGAAAAATTATAATTTATAAATTTAAAAAATGGTAAAAATATGAAAAAATAAAATATTTTAAAATAAATTAATTATTATGTTTTCAATAATCTATTGCTATATTAAAGATGCTTTCTTTCATATTTTTTAAATATCATCGAAGAAAAAAATAATAAATATATATATATATATATTTATTTTTTTTTAAAAATAGTAAATATAAAAAGGAAAAAGTAAATATATTTAAAAAATGAAAAATATAATATTTAAATAATTAAAAAAATTATACAAATATGTGGACGAATACAAATAATAATATGAGAAAATATTAGGAGTATTTATAAATTAAAAAATAGAAAAGCGCGAGAGAGCAAGTGTAATAATAAACTTCATCCTATTTGTTAAATGTATGGAAATATCAATCAATAAATTTAAATTTTTGGTAAGAGTGGTAGGTAGTTTGTATTTGATGATAGGTCCCTTCTTGCAAATGAAAAGTTAAATATAATAACAATGAAAAACTATTTTCACTCCTTGTCGCGGATGAAAAACAACTCTTATATACTACATGTAATGGGAATATCAACTCCCATTTAAATAAATAATAAAAAAAATATATTTTTTAATAAAAAAAATTATTTGTTTAGGTCCTACCAATCCTCTCCCTCCGTCACTGCACTCATGCACAAATGCATCTATTATTGGATTAAAGTAAACATTATATACATGATGTAACCTATCAACCTACTTAAAACAAACAATGTAAATATCAAAAGTAATGTTAATTAAAATTTTCATTCTTTAATATGTAGAAACTTTAGAAAATTTAGAGTTGATGAAAATAATAATAGTAAAAATTAAAATATTTAGAGTTGAAACAATTAACAAAATTAAAATTTTTCATTCTTTAATATGTAGAAACTTTAGAAAATTTAGAGTTGATGAAAATAATAATAGTAAAAATTAAAATATTTAGAGTTGAAACAATTAACAAATTAGTTAATGTAACATTCTTAAATTTTTAATTTATTAGGTATTATATAAAATATTTAATTCATAGTTAATATTTTACTCTCGTCTATTATGTTAAATATATAAAATAAATTTAAAAAATATTTTTTATTTATTATAATTTTATATCTTTCGATCGGTTTAACCCACTGACAGTTGAATTAGGTTAATAATTTTAATTGAGTTGATGTAGAGTATCATTATTAAGAGAGAAAAAAATTCCACAACTATAAATTCCCTAATAATAATATTAGTAAGAGAGTGAAGGAAATTAAGAAGATATAAACAGGGATGGTAAATCGCGTCGGACCTACCTACCAGTCTATCGATGTGGTGGGTTGGTGTTTTTAGCCCGTCGACTCGTTCGATCCATCCTTCCAAACCTCGCCAATCTGTGGAGACAGGTCAGCCAGTCCGTGACCCGTTTAATTAATAAAGTTAATTACAAAGATAATATATAAAGTTAAAAATTAAAAAAAAAAAATTAAAAAAATTTCACTCTCACAACAAATATTATTCTTACTTGAAACACAAGTTTCTCTCATGTTCTTCTTGTTTATCCTAAGTACTAATTATTATTATCCTTATGATTTAAATTAAAAGTATAAGAATTACTCAAATGAAAATAATGTGAAATTTTATTAAATAAGAAAGATATATGTATTTGAATTTTTCAATATAAAAAATATAAATTTTATAAGTTTTAACGTTATATATATATATATATATATATTAAATTATTGACAAATAAATAATAATCTTATTATTAAATTTATTGAAAATTTTGATTTAAAAAAATAATTTTTTTTTTTAATTATGATGGTCAGCCGACTAGTCCATCCTACCGCCAAAATTAGACTCACTGGCTGTTTGCCATCCTAAATATAAATATTAATGATGAGAATAAAGGAAGGTGAAGGTAAAATTAGGGTTTAATGATTCGATATTGAAATTTGGGTGTATAAATATTGAATTTATGCCTCGATATGTTGTTGAATTTCAGGTCATTACATGTGATTTGAGAGACAAAAATCTTGGATGTTAACGAATGTTTCACAAGTGGGTAGAGATAATAAACTTGGATGTTGCAACCAAAATACTTAGCTTGATTTTATTTTAATACTTTAATATACGACATTTCTCTTCATTCTTCTTCTTAAACATATTATTTATTGATTTAAAAAAAAAAAACAACGTTGGTACGATAAGATGTTATCTCTTTTTGTTTAGACCTATCCTACATTTATATCAAATAATTTAAAATAGTTGAAAGCAACGAATTTTATTAATTTTTATTTGAAATCCTATAAAATTTCTTCATTTTTGCGCTTTTCTGCACCTGTTGTAACTCTCCATTTCGTTACACCATCATTTTCACTTCAGGATAGAAATGGTTAATGTCTTTTACTCATCCCAATTTCTATGAAAGGTGGACAGGATCTGAAAATGTAACTTTAAAAAAATAAAAAATAAAATTACATCTCTGAAACATTTAATTGGAAAATATATTATGAATTAATTATTTTAGTCCTTATTTTTAAATAGAATATTTTGAAAATTTATTTTAAATTAGGTTTCCAAAAATAATTTCCAAAAATAATAATCCAAAATATATTTCAAGAAAATTTTCAGAATATATTTTTTAAAACACTCAATAAAATATATATATATATATATATATATATATATATATATATATATATATATATATATATATATATATATATATATATATATATATATATATATATATATATATATATATATATATATATATACGTAACGTAAGGGTTATTTTAATGATGAAGATAATTTTTTTTTATAGAAGTGCAGGAAAAAACAGCCACCTGAAATTGGTTTTGGGCCATATACAAACCTATCACTTGCAATGTGGAGAATATGAGCTTCTTATGTTTTTCCCCTTGTATCAATATAGCATGGTTGTGGGCTTTAACCTTAAACTTTACCTAAATTTCAAGGACGAGTCAAAGGTCCAAATATGAGTGTGTTAAAAGAGAAAAAATAAAAAACTTGGAATTAATCCTATGACTAATAAGCGTACTAGATATTAGAATTAATCCTATTATAATAAATATGAGATGAGAGTAACTTATTAGATATAAGAATTAATCCTATATCTCAATATAGTAAGTATTTAAGGTTTAGATTTAGGGTAACAAATATAAAACGGATTCATTAATGTATCGATTTATAATATTTTAATTTAAATTCAAATTGACTCATTATTCTTGTTCGTCTTTATTAACATATTGAAACTAACACCAAAGTAAAATATAACATCAGACAATAAAGGAAAATGTAATTAAAATTGTTGTAGTTTATTTTCAGTATAAAATTTTTTATGTTTCTTTATTATCTTGGTTGAAATAATAAAATTTAAAAAATTGTAAGGAATTATAAGAATAAGAAGAATATTAAAATTTACTCTTTCGATATCTAAAACACTAAAATATAAAAGTTTATCTCAACGTGATATTTTTTCTGATCAATTATTTTCTTATCCTAAATCGTCCTTTAGTTATATAAGTTTGTCCAAATCTATTTCTCTTTGATCTCAACCTTGGAAACATATATTTTTCAATAATGATGAGTTAAACGCATATGGAAAATTTAAGGAAAATTATCGTCCAATAAGAAAAACACGAATAGATACTTTAATTACAATTAGATTAGTTTTATAAAAATAAAAATGAAAATTGAGATGAATTTTACCTTATTAAAACAAATGAATCTAGTAAAAAATAATAATATAAATCGAAAGTAGTTTTCGTAATAATAATAATAATAATAATAATTTGTAACAATAAAAAATATATTTAAGAATAAGACTACGATTAATTACGTTAGAAAATATAATATAATTTTCAGTTCAAAACCTTAATGGAAATATACTTTAAGGTATTAAGTTTATAAAAATTTCCTATTACTCATTTTTTATTTATTTCAATCTAAAATTAGATTTCACTGTTAAACTCTAACCCTAATAATAATTAACATACATGATATTTTATTTTTTAATAGAATTTCCTTTTTAGATGTAAAATTTTTTATTTGTTACTTATTAATTATCAATATTTTATTTCTTATATTTACTAATTTTACTATTTAATTTAATGTAAACTTATAAAAAATATCTCAAATTTTGATGGGATTCAAACTTCTTTTTATATAATATGATTGACTATTTAAAATATATAAAAAAAAACTATCTATAATTTTTTTTTCAATTAGTTATATCACAGAAAAATAATCTTTTGCTAACACTGGATTTTAGTAATATGTTGGAATTAAAAAACATTAACAAATGGAGATGGAGGAAGAATAGAAAAGCTGAAAGGCTTCAGAATGCATATTTTAGTTTGAGGGGGGTAAAGTAAAGCAACGTGTTATGTTTTTGAAAGGAAAGAAAGTAACGTGTCGAAAACAAATAGTAAAAGATGAATATACATATATATAGTTTGAAACGTGTTATGCTTTATGACACAGAACTAGTTTAATCAATTTTAAAACCAATACTTAATAGTGGGAGCTTTTGAGAAGATGGTGACAAAATGGGGTGACACTGTCTCAGTTCTTGAGTCATCACCATCACCACCTTTCTCAGTTCATGATGCATATACATGCACTTATAAATAACTGTGATATCATTTTGGCTAATTAATTAGGTTGGTTTATAATATTCAACCCATCAACAAGTTCCACTTTCACTTGAAAAGCTTGATAGTGAGAACACAGTGGTTGAGTCCTTGAACTTGCCCTAGTTAATCACAAGCCTCCCTTCAACCACTACCTCCAAAATATGTCCCCAAATCTAAATCAATATTGGGAAGGTATGATATGCCCTCTATCAACTTAACTTTGGGACCCTTCAACTCTTTATTCCTCCTTGTTCATGTATACTAGTTGACAAATGAAGACCTGGGTCAAAAGTGGTCAAATAATAAAAAAAAAAACAGGGTTGTTGCGAAGAATAGCAGAAGTGGCTTCAAAAGGTTCAAGTGTGATGATTTTGGTTAAGTCACAAGCCCTCGTTGCCCATCCCCTTTGATCATGCCATGGCCCATTCAAACTGTCCTCTTCTCCTAATTTCATGAATGCATTGCATCCAACCCCTTTCACTTTCCATTAAACAACGACACCAAATATGTTGTAATATTCTCATCAACATCTCCCCCTCTCAATCATTAACTTGACGAATTTTGCAACATGTACAAGATCTTATGAATTTATTACTCTAAGTGCGTGCCATGAGTCGTTCCTACACTTGGATCTTGCTTATTCAAAAATGAATTAAAGTCTCACATCGGATATAAATGATAAAATTAAATACTATATAAGAATGACCCATAAATTGAGTTGTGTACATATTCTCTTGTTATAGCCTCTTTCTAAAAGGAACAAACCCTAACCCTAATTTGTTGAAAGAGTGATATGGTATGATATTAATTACACCGTCGGAATGGATAATGAGTTATCTTACTAACAGGCAAAGGGGGTCTGTGAAAAGTAGGTCGAGAACATTGTTGTTGCTGTGGTGGGTCCCTACAAAAGATGGACCTCGAGTTGGTCCATGACGGCAACCAATGACTCTGGTTCCATGTGTGGAACTTGGTTGAACAATGCAATCACGTGAATAGATTTGTATGCGAAATATTTCCCAAGATTTGTAGCAAGATCATTGCAATAACAGTGTGGGGTTTATGCTAGATTTATCAATCTCAACAACAAAATATATACAAGATTCAACTCAATCTTCAAATTTGATATGAAAGATCAAACAGACAAAATAATAACTAACTTTGTTTTTTAATGGAACAACTAACTTTATCTATCATAAGATAGTTAAGTTTTTTCATTAATAATCACCTATGGAAAATATTTATACAAATAATCTAATTTTTATTACAATTAATTTAACTTTACATAAATTTAATTTATATAATAATCTAACCAAAGACTTTTAAATAATTTTCGGAACTTTAATCATGACACTTGATTCATTGTTTTTATTCACAAGGTGCATATTCTTTTCTCCTTAAAAATTTTTATGGAAAAAAAAATTCTATGAACATTTCTTTTATAATATGCTTCCTCACTCAAATTTCTATGATCATATTTTTTTTTGTTGGTGATCTTGTAAGTTATTTTTCTATGCTCTTGTACATACACATTTTGCTATGATTATAGGTAAAAACACTTGTAAGAAAAGAAAATTAAACAAATCATTCTTAAGTTATGCATGCATTACTCTTAAAATTGATCATTTCTATCTCCCTTCAAATATTATCGAAATTAACTCTTAATCTGTAACACAAACAACTGCAGTAAAATAAATGCAACTAGGTTTTATTTAAAACTTGCATTGCATTTCTTCACGTTCTTTGATGGGATTGTACAAACGAGATTAACGTCTACTTGTGCTTATACAAATTATGATCCTTCTGAATTTGTAGAAATTAAGTAAGAAGAAGGGCATGCAATGGAGCTTCTTCAGTTCATGACATGTGTGGTTCGATTTAAAACATCCAAAACCCAAGTTACAGAGACCAAGGCCATGCTGCTTCAAAGCAAGAAACTCCTTCACTTCCTTCTCTTACATAATTCCCTAACTCTTTTGCCTCGGATGCCTTTGCTCTCTGCAACAATAAATAAACAAAATCAATATCCTTCTACTTTTCACAATCAACTATTTCATTCATGAATCATGGCCTTATCTAACTTACATAATCACTACTAAACCTTCATGTTGCTTCCTGCATTATTCACTTTGATTCCTAAATCTGTATATAAAACTATTACTTTAGTCTTGAATTCGCAAAATGTGACAAATTTTCATTTAGTCCATACAATATTTTATAAGTCGGGACAATAGTGAAGATGTACTAAATCTCATAAAGTGGAAGGGTACCCATATGTTATGTTACCAGCTGTTATCAATATGTTATCCATATCACAAGTACCAGTTGTTTGGTCACCACACATAATGGACAACACTAAAAAGAGCATATGAGGCTGAAGAAACATTTAGCAGTAGGCACCTGTATTGTTTCTAAAGCATCTGACTCTGAATTGAAGTCATAATAGGTACTTGCTGCACTAAGCTTCATAGAGAGGAACTACATATAAAACAAAAACATTGATGTGTATTAGTGTTACGTTTCAAGTATATTTTTCGCTAGAAATAAACTGATCCAATGCTATTTTTTTAAGCAATTACCTCCACTTGATGCTGCAAGGACTGCACATAATTTATGATCTCGTCTAACATTATTGCCATACCCATGGTCTGCAAAATCAGAGATTAAAGTAAGACACATACTAATTCGGAATAATAATAATAAATAAGTAAATGAATCATCGAAAATCTTTACCTTGTAACATCCTGGGACAATGTTCTGTAAGCACCTAAGTTTTTCATTGATTTTCCCTCTTCTAACCTGAATAACAGTTAATTTAAAATAAAAATTAGTCCACATTCATGTTAATCCACATAAAAATTAGAGTATAAATTTTTTAATATTGTCATTTAATTGTAAATTACTACAGTTTGTTAGTTTCAGAAAAATTATTTTAAAAATGGTATGTATGGCGAATGAGATTTAGAAAATATACCCTTTCTGCTAAACTGTGACTATCTGTAGCTTGACCTCTTTTGGCTCTAACATGAACTACTTGGTTTGGTTTCTTGTCTTCTACAACATTCCTCTTTACTCTCTTGTTTCTTCCTGTACTCTGAAAACATGCAGAACAAGTAAATCATCAATATATCTATCTTGCATATAAGTAAAAAACGTGCATGAAGAATACAATATACTGAACTAGTGGAAGAAAATTTACATTTTTTGTCTTGCTTCCACTCTCAGAAATATCAGGGGTTGAGTTACCAGAACTGGGATCACACATATCAGTTGCTTCCCTCTTTTTATATTCATGGACTTCATTTTTTTCTGAACTAATAGGAACTAACACTGGAGCTACATTGTGATCCACACATTGAAAAAGACCCGGAAAAAATTCTTCCAAGTTTCCTGGAAATTCAGGTTCTGGAGAGCCCAATAAGCTGTCAAATGGCACCAAGTTCTGAATTTCCATGTTATCGATGTCTAAGAAAGGAAAGGAGGGTCTAAAGCTTTGCAAATCTGCAGTGAATTCGGCCATGTAATTTATAAGAGAGGTTTTGAAGGGTTTAAAGTGGTATCTGGATAATGTGCCTGGCACTGGTATTTATAACGTAGGATTGCAGCTATGTTAACCAATAGGAATAGTGTAACTAAGCCACGTGGCAGCTGAAGCTTGAGCAGTTGTGTTCCATGGTTGGCCCCACATACAGAGAAATGACTTATTACAATATGGGCCCATGCTTTGTGAGACAAGCACTGTAATATTGGTCAATGCCTTTGTGAGGAAAGCAGGGTCTATTCTTTGGAGCTTTTGGAACTTTTGATTTGATGACAAAAAAAGAAACCTTTAATTGGGATCCCTACCTTTGAGATCTTTCATTAACTGTAGTGGGAAAAGGGTAGTTGTTTGTAGGAGCACATAGTTTAGGTTCAAACTCTTCCCACCCACATAATATGAACATTATGTTTTCTAGAGTGGAACTTAATCTTCTAGCTTTTAGTGCTGAAAGATTTAGTCTCTTGTTTCTGCAATTATTTCAACAAACATTTTAAAAAGCAAGAGCCTATTTCCTAATTTTTACTTCTAACTTCTTACTCAACCTACAACAATAACAAAAGTCTTTTCCACTGGTGAAGTCAACCAAATGGATTACACATCATTCCAGTTAGTTAAAGCCTAGATTTTCATATCTATTCATTTTAAGATAGATAAATAATTTATATTACAGCATTAATATATCACTTAATCTTTTGTTTTCAAACAAGTAATTGATAATATTCATATACCACCAAAGATTTTTAATTTTAAACCACAAAAAAGTAATTAAAGGGACTAAGGCTATAAATCACTTATTTTATACTAACAATTAAGTCTAATTTTTTATCATGAGATTTCTGTAAATAACTTTTCTGATCTAGTCCCAAGACCAAAAATCACATGGATATTTCCTTATACATAGTCATTTATATCCTCTCCATTTTTGCTCAACCATAATTTAAACGTTTATTGCCTATACTATTTGTTTCCCATTCTGATAATTTTTACCTGTTAGGAGTTACTCTGCACTAACCTGCATCATTATCACAGTAATAAGGATATGTAATTGGAGCCATAGAACTTAGAAAATAGTCCAAATGATCATCCTGAAAGTTGATGCCATATCATCATGGAGCTTTAAGGTTGATACTGAGAACCTTACTTGTTCTGCCTCTTCAAAAAGTGTTGTGCTGAATGCACAACTTTAAAATTGAGCATGCAAGTAGTGAGAAAAGGCCCTGCAGAATTTCTTGGGAAGCAAGTTTGATTTGATTAAGCTATTCAAACAAACCTTTCAATTGCAACTGTTTAAATCAAGCACTTCATTTTCTTTTGTTTGGTGACTTGCCTCTGATTTGGACTGACATTTGAGGAGTGAGTGAACCAAACTTTAGAATAGAAGGGCCTTGTGACATGTGGAGTGTACCTTTGGCGTATGGCACTTCATTGAATTCTGATTTAAGGGGTAGATTCCTAGGTCTCCAATGTCTAAAGAAACCATATGGGCAAACAGCAATAGTGGTTGGTTGCCCTATGTACCCAATTGTGGTTGTAGCCCTTGCAAAAGTGGACATGGTTTGAACATTTTTAAGAAGCATTGGGGATTGGTATACAAAGACAAACTGTTAACTTCTGGGACAAGCTTCCCTATAGAAGTAAGGCCTCACTGCCCCTTTTCAAAGCCTTATAGAAGGCACTGCCTAATTTGACAACTTGAATGTAAGACCTTATGAGATCACAAGAGATTTTGTGGCATGTTATAAACGTGTGATGAAGTTGCCCATGCACATGCATTTAATCCTTAGCAAATAATAAGGTACTACAGCCAAACAAGTTGGAGTTTAGATGAGGATACCATTTACAAAGATGGCCTATGGTTGGGTATTAGTTAGGTTGGATTCACCTAACACATAACTGCTCTTCACCTTTCCTACAACCTACGTACTTTCTCCACCTTGCTCCCTATTCTCCTTCTTTCTCTTCTTCCTTTCTTTTTACTCCAATTTTGCTCTAAATTCTCATCATTCCTATCATATAATATATTAGGAGACTAAATTACTCATACTTACAAAAGAAGTTTTTTTTTTTACTATAAATGTTAATACATATAGCAAGAAAAAAAAGTGGCCTTCTATAACCCAACCCAACCCATTCCAACTTTTATTGGGCCAGTATACATCTTTCAGTTGGGCTTTACTACTTTCACTACATTTTGTGTTAAGTTCACCTTAACTTTTTACTGTGCCGTTGAAAAGCTCGTGTCTTCTTCTTGGAACATTTCAAATGTGAAAATAACCATTTTAAATATATAATAAAAAACATTATCCTTCGTCATATCTATTCAAACTTGGCTAGATTTGTATGTTGAACGAAGTAACACATAATATTGTATATTCGTCATCCTTATTCCTACGAGTTTCTTTTGTCCTTTTTAAGTTGATTATATATATTAGTATATTAAAACAACTTATTGTATATTTAATTAAAGATATATTTAGATAACTTCATATCTGTTAAAAATATATTATTTGCTATCATTTTGTTAAAATTGTATTTGCTGATACATTCGTTTTTTTTTCATCTTTAGTCTGAGTCAACACAATTAAATAGATAAAAATTAAAAAAACATTTTAAATTACACTTATTATCTGAAACTGAAACCACTATTATAAAGGTTCCAGATTATAACTCAATCACAAAAATTTAGAACCCCCGCATATACACGTGTTCATTGGTGTAATTACTATATAAACATAACACAATAATTAATATTGTCTAAAATGTTTTTTTTTTTACAATTCAATATTAACTTAAATTTATTAAAATAATACCAGAAATGTTTTGTGTCATGTACCAATTATTTTAGATACATAAATTATATTTTAGATTTGTTGTGAGTCTCACATGGTTATAAATATTAGGTTATTTTTCGGTTGTATTTTAGAATTTTAATATGATATGATAATTAAAATATAATTTTTTTCTCCGTTTGTCTTTTTATTAAAAGTTGCCTTATAAATTAAAAGTATCTTTTATCTAGTTCCAAAACAAGAATATATTAAAAGTTTCACATTGCTTAGTTTATGAGGTGTAATATAATTTAAATACTTATTAGACTATTTTCCATGATGTTAATTAATTTTTATGGTGTAATTTTAATAAAATTAAAAATTATTAATTAGTGATTTAAATTTTTTAAGATTATTTTAAAATATTATTAATTTTCTTAGCAAATATTAAAATTCAATTTATAAAGGATAGATTAAATAGAAGTTGATAAGAAAAAAATTGGAATAATTTGAGATTATTCAAAGAATTTTGTTGACTAATCGTAACAATAATGCATTTCTGAAGAAGAAAGGAGAAAAATATATTAAAAAAATATACAAATCAAGAAGAGAGAGTCTAAGAAAAGAAAATTTCAGTGTCTTGAAATCTAAATTCCGTGTTTTAATTTATAATATATATATATATATATATATATATATATATATATATATACTAGATATTTAATAAATAACTCAAATTACATACATTTTTCATATGTACCAATTAATCTCAGAAAAAAAAATATAAAAAATAATTTAACTATTTTCTGTCCCAGTTTAATTGACTTATTAACCTTTCATGTTAAAACTTTTAATTTGAAAACTTGATGAGTAATTTTACATTATGTTTAAAACTCAAATGATCAAGAGTAATTTTTAATTAGATAAATAAATTAAAGAATCATATAAAACTTTATTTTATTCTCTTTCGTCTATCTAACTTAAATTAAATTTCCTTAAAGTTTTGTTTGAACTTATGAAGATTATATATATATTGGAAATACAAGTGTGAAACGTTTTCATGTCTCTATTTTTTTAATTATTTTTTAAAATTTTACTTTGTTTCTTTTTTTCCTTTTTAAATATATATCCACTAATTATGTATTATATTTTTGTCTTTCCTATATTTTTATTATTTTTAAAATATATAAATCATAATAGTTATTTTTTCTTTAAACTATAACATTTTAATTTTTCTCACTCTGATGATACTAAAAGAGGGATTATTAAAAGAAGAAACCTTTATAGTATAATAATAATAATAATAACACGACATAAATATTAGTAGTATAAATGAAGTAACTTAGTATTGGAATTATGGTAGTACTACTTTAGGGATGAAATAAATTATTTTGAAAAGAAAACATGTATATATTTTATGTGTTTAAAGAGTAGGTTAGTACTACGACTAATTCATGGTTTAAAGAAAGTGTAAGATTGGAGATAGGAGAGAAAATAAATTTAAAATGTGGCGGTGGATTTATTGTACTAATTATTAGAGATGTATGGACCCATGTATGATCAAAGGTCAATTTTCTTCTCCACTCCATTGGTTGTGTTTTTTGTGAATACTTGTACAACTTTGTCACTCAACCTGTCTTGTCTATCGTCTCTTCTAGATCTATAACAATTACAAATCTAATCGAAAACATTAACATCATCAAAGTTATGGAAGTTCACACCATGAAAATGCCTTGGATTTGTTCTTTTAATTGCCATTTCAACTCTCCGCTGGTTCTATCCCAATCCTTTAGTAGATTCATTCATCATATATTTTGTTGGCTCCTTCTAACAATTCAGTGTTATAAACATAAATAGTTTTTGTCTTTATAGGACCTATACCCATGACATTAACTCCAATTCTAATAGTAAGAATTTGATCCAAGATCCTTAGACCTATATATTGAACTAGATTATTGACACAACTTTTACCAGTGGTGAGTGATTAGATTGATGGAGTGCAACCAAACGAATCAGATGAAATTCATCACACATGTTAAGAACCCTCATTGACAAACATATCCCATTGAATTTGAATACAAGGAAATAATTTGATCTAACATTCCTACAGTTTTCATCAATTTTAATAAACCTTACCTTGTATACCGTTCTTCTGTGGTTGTCTAGAACTTAAAAATCAACAACAGAAAATGCAGAAAGTTAATAACACATGTGCATAAGTCAAAGATAGCAGCAGTGAAAAATCCTAGCATGACTTTTCAAATGTTGTGATGCGAAGTTCCTCTTTTTTGGAGAAGACGAATGGAAAATGAAGGACTAACATGAACCACGTATTGAAACCAATTCTTAAGCAAAGGCCGACATCATGCGACAAGTGACAACCAATTAACGTAGAATGTGGTCCTGTTCTAAGATTCCTAGCAGGCTTTCCATGCCGCCCCTTATTTTGCCAACACCAATTACCACACGTTTTGAGTAAGTTTATTATTAAATTTTGTTATGTTCGGTCAAGCACGTTTCTGTCACTGTTATTATGACCAATCAACATTTACTTCATCCAATTTCCAATGCCTTAATCTCATGTCATGACTCATGATTATAATGGCTTCATCAGATAAGGCTGCAGCACCATCAAGTGTTTCTCACGTTGGGAATATTCACTTTGAAAAGAACCAGTCTTGGATTGGATGAACATGTAATGTTATTCACGTTTGGGATCTTGGCATTGCGCAGATGAACTACATGAAAACTATAATTATTATTGTTGCCATATAAATGTGAATGCGAAATCCTGAGTTAAAACTTTCCAGTTTATTATGGTGTAATGTGTTCTTATGAAGAAAAAGTAACGAAAGAAAAAAAAAACAAAAACAAAACTTTTTGTTCTTTTATGTGAGAAAATATTACTTTCTCTGCAGTAGAAAGAAATTACTGGATTTCTATTTGTTTATTTCTGTCGTTTCTTCTATCCTTGTATCTTTTGTCGGCCAGAGAGTGTAAGAAATTTTATTTTCAAACGGTTTGTAATGAGTAAACCAGAACCACGTTCAGAATAAAAAGTTAGTCACAGCCTCGTCATTCTTTAACTCAATAGTACCAAAGTTAACAGCTTAACTCTTACCTACTTAGATTGATTGATGAAACTTGAGAATACATAAAACCACTGACAAAGAATAGAAAGAAGGTAGAGTCCAAAACAATTCAAAGGTGAACGTTGAAATCACTGCAGCAACGCCATCATTGATCCTACACTGCCAATTAAATAACAGAAAGAATGCGACATAACACTCATTTTCTATCCTTGTTTAGAATTGTGGGGACTTTTATCGATGCCTGCATGGGAAATTGAGTGGTAAATTTGGTATACAATTCATTTCAGTCTGTTCTTTGACCCAGAACAATTTAATGTAGCTCTAGGCATAATCTTGCAACGTTAATTTCATAGCTATGTGCCTAGTGTGACTCTATGGACTATAAAATAAATAAAAAACTGTCGTTTTGTCAAGAAATAAAAGTAAGATGCCAAGCAATGAACCTATCTACCTTTCAATGCTTCCTGTAGCAAAGACTATGGAAGGTGAATGGAAGGTGTCGTATGGAATTTAGAGCATGAGTATGTTCAATCTTTTGGAAAAGTATTGAACTGTATAGTAATTCACTTTGACCTGAACTCACCTCCCAAAATGAGATACAGACATACAGTGTACAGTGATAGTATATCATACACTATGCATCTTGCGTAGAACAATTTGCTTTGTAACTCTAGTTTCTCCTTTGACCCCATTTAAGTCCTGCACCATATATATAAGCATATATAGTGTTTATAGTTTTAGTGAGTGAGAATGGCCATGTCTACTTCAAAGAGCGTCAGCAGTTCTAGTGAAGATGACAATGAACTTAGAAGAGGGCCTTGGACTCTTGAAGAGGATAATTTGCTCTCCCAATACATTTCTGATCATGGGGAAGGGCGATGGAACTTTCTGGCGAAACGTTCAGGTAACTTGACAAGAGCATAAAAAAGTTGAATGTGTAAATGAAAGACTACTCTACTCTTTTTTATCAGTTTTCATGCTTATTCTGATTTACTTCCTTTCCTTTATCTGAGACAGGATTAAAGAGAACTGGAAAAAGTTGCAGATTAAGGTGGCTAAATTATCTAAAACCAGATGTAAAACGGGGAAATTTAACCCCACAAGAGCAACTTTTAATTCTTGAACTCCATTCAAAGTGGGGAAACAGGTATTTGTCTTGTGCATTTGATTCTTGAGCTCTATAGATTTTAAATAACTGTTATGGTTGCGGTTATGGTCACTATTTTATTGTGAAAAATTGTAGACAAATGTGACCAATGCAATGCCCATTGCATTTGCGATACAATCACAAAAGCTGTCGAAACCTTGATCTCATTGCCGAAATTGCAATTGTAGACTTTTTTTTTTTTTTTCAAACTTACCTCTACTTGTAGAAGCAAATATTGCCACTATCAACATGCTTGCCTACTACAAAATCTTATTTTTTATTTGTGTTTTTTTTCTTAAATAACTGTAGGTGGTCAAAAATTGCACAACATTTGCCAGGAAGAACAGACAATGAGATCAAGAACTATTGGAGAACTAGGATTCAGAAACAAGCAAGACATTTGAAAATAGACACTGACAGCAGAGAGTTTCAAGAACTTGTAAGGCGTTTCTGGATGCCAAGGTTGCTTCAGAAAGCAAAAGAGTCATCTTCTTCCTCAGCCATGTCAATTGAAAACCAAGAAATTCCTTTGCCGCTTGTTGATGGTGCTTCACAACATTCAACTGTTGGGACCATACCATGGCAGGGACCTTGTATGAGTATGAATGAAGCTGGTCCCACTCATATGGACCAACATGAGCAGAACTCAGACTCTGAGCACAACAATGGTTCATGCATCTCCTTTTCTGAGTCAGCAAATATTGCAAAAGTGTCTCAGCAATTTGGACACACCATCAACCAATTCCATTCTTCAAGCAACGATGACTTTGGCACCTTCACATATGATGGTCATCATGTAAACAACAATGCCTTTGAGATGAACACCTTTAAAACAACAACTGCAAGGGTGGCTGAGGATGTGCAATACCTAATTGGTGATTGTCAAATGGAAGGAAGCAATTGGGTAAGCAACGATTTTGCATGTAACATGTGGAACATGGATGAATTGTGGCACTTTAGCAAGTTACAAAAAAAAGATTTTTAGGGTTTAGATTTTTGGAATAACCCAAACACTATCTTTGATGATATTATTGTTATCATGAACAGTGGAATAGCTACGGAATTAATTAATTCAGAGATGGTGATTGTTTTCTGTACATCTTGTATTCCTCTGTTTAAATTAGAGTGCTTTCTAATTTGTATTGATTGAGATTGAATCCTTGAGTAGAGAAAAGTCAATAGCCACTAGCTAGTGAAAACACACTAGTTAATTAGTGCTAATAAAGGTTTCGCAAATTTTAGAAGTAATCCCTTTTAGAAACTTTGGTGTTTTTGTAGTTGAACTCAGATTGGAACCACTATGGTGTTTACATGAAGAGGGTCCATGATAATGAAGATTTTTAATTGGAGAAGAAACATGAAAGCTGCAAAATGTCTACAAAAACCTGTACTCTGTTTTTGTTTTTGGAAAAAATGCTTACAATTTTTTATTTATTTTTTGTTTAGAAGAGAATATCTTTTTTTTTTCTTTCTTGCGAAGAATAGATTCATAATAATCAAATTCATGTTTAAGAATGTTAACTAAAAAGTTTGGTAAATGTTACTGCCTTATAATTATTATAAAAAAAAGTAATGGTTATGTGACAAAACAGTGAAAGAGAAAATGTTACTTTGGATTAATTGGATTTATATCAGGGCTTAAAATATTCTTTGAATTAAATATTCCCAATAATAATTTTAACTTTAAAATAATTTTTAATATAATATTTAAATTTATACAATGTTAGACACATACAATTAAAATAAACAATCCTAGATATTACTCTTTTATCAAAGTTGTTGTTCTCATTCCCACCAATAATTACGTACACTCCGTGGTTTATAGAGTGAACTCATGTAAAATGTGGTGCAATTGGAATTCGTGTCACAGTTTGTGAAGAACGTGAAAACACGAGTTGCCAGCTATGGTGTCACCGGGAACACCATGGATGGTTTTGTTGACTCCATCATTTTTCTCAACTCATCTACAGTTCACACCTCTCACACATTCACAACCTTATTTTCTCACCTCCACAGATCTGGACCACCCATATTCTTATCTCTTCCTAAACTTCCTGTTTAGAGCAAAGATAAAGGAAATCATCATAATCTTTTTTTTTTTTTTTTCATTGCCCATTTTTTGTGTGGAGAGAAAACTGCAACTTGGTGCATTTCCCTTCTTAACAATATTTCAGTTTTTTTTGAGAATCGTAATAAACAGTGTTAGATAGTTATGCATAAATTACATCCTAATTCTTGTTTTCTTCGTTCTTACTTTTCATCGAAACGAAAGAGTTTGATTAGAAAACTACTTAAGAGTGTGTGAGTGAGAATTTTAATTTGTGGAAGGAAATGGATGTGGCATCGTCCTACATCTCTCAGCAGAGCTTCAACCCATCGCCACTCCTTTCTTCCTCAAACTCCATCTCCGTCCATCGCCCCGCCGTTATTCTGCCTGGTTTAGGGAACAACTCCGGGGACTACCAGAGCTTGAAGCAAACGCTGAATGACAAGTACGGCATCTCCGCCGTGGTGGCCAAGGTCTCCAGGCTGGATTGGCTCCGCAACGCCGCCGGTTTGGTGGACCCCAATTACTGGCGCGGCACTCTTCAACCCAAGCCCGTCCTCGATTGGTATCTGGAGAGGGTTGAGGAGGCTGTTCAAGAAGCCAAGGAAAGTGCAAATGGATTTGAAACTGTGTCGTTGGTCGGACACTCTGCAGGAGGATGGCTTGCACGCGTGTACATGCAAGAATTTGGGTATTCCCATGTGTCCCTCTTATTGACTCTTGGAACCCCTCACCTTCCACCTCCAAAAGGTGTGCAAGGGGTTATTGATCAAACAAGGGGTCTTCTTCACTATGTTCAACAACATTGCTCCAAACCTGTTTACACCCCCCAACTCAAGTATGTATGTGTAGCAGGAAGGTACATCAAAGGGGCTCGGCTTTTTGGCAATTCAGATGTTGAGCCTGTGGTTTCTACTGACACCTCTCAGCTTGTATCCGAAGCTGCTGTTTTGAACACTACTGCCACCACCTCTCCACCTAATGCAACATTACGTGCTCGCTTTGTTGGCCAGGGATACAAGCAGGTTTGTGGGCAAGCTGATGTATGGGGTGATGGTGTTGTGCCGGAAGTATCAGCTCATCTTGAGGGTGCACTTAACATTTGCTTTGATGGAGTTTATCACTCACCAGTTGGTGCTGATGATGCTACCAGACCATGGTATGGTTCACCTCATGTATTGGAGCAATGGGTACAACACCTCCTTGATTGACTTTAACATGTTTCAGCACTTCATCTAAGTAGTGCCATTTTATCCGTGTATTGGTTACTGTCTAATCTGTTAGAAAGTCATTATTTGAACATTTTAATATAGTATATATTATATACTCTCCCTCTCCCTCTCCTGTACCTTGTGTAATTTATTGTTATTTTTGTCTTTAGATGAGGGAAATTATTAATTGAAGCTGATTAATGTTAAAAAAAAAAAAGTTTGAGAGACAGGAATGAATGACTCTGTTGATAAGGTTTGAGAAACAATGAGTTTGTCCTAATTACACCATGGATAAGGTTGTCGGTAAAGATTAATTATAAACAAATGGGTTTGCAAAGAGCTACTAATGATGTTCTGCTATCCCCTTCAACTTCAAATAATTCTGTCATTTATCATATTGAACAAGTCAGCTGCCTGAAGTAAACTCGGTCTATGTAGGTGGAAAAATAAGTGAGTTCACATTTGATAAATATTGTTATGGCAAAGGATAACATAAGAAAACAATAGAAAGATGCTCCTATTAGGATTGAGAAATTTAAGGACAAACTATTTGTGGTTAGAGTTTATTGTTAAATCAGCTAATTGATTCTCTTGTAATCAAGGATCTAACCACAAACTATTGGATAGTATTGGATCTTTTCAGGGAAAAATAACATTAATTAGTGAGTCTAATTCATATAAGATTAAGAAATTGATATTATCTTTAACCAAAACTGAAGAGATTAAGTTATGATTTTTTTTTTTAATGCTGCTAAACTTCTTTGTTCTAACCTTATTTAAGTCAAAAGCTGCTACAATTTAGAGTGTTATCTCATGATCAATCTGTCATCACTTAAAGACTGAAACAGTACATACAAGAGCTGGAAGACATGATGCTGATCTTTCACCAGTCACTCAGGTTGTTCAGAGGAGATGGAAATTACAATAACCAAAAATAAGATCAGTTCCTGAGGATGAAACCTACTTCCACATGAAACAGAGTGCATTTTTGTACAAACTTAATGTTCAGAAAATGCCAAAGAGACTTCACTGCCTCTGCCTAAATGGATAGTCTACCACACACAATTTCAATGCCTAAGGAATGGTATACCCAAGGGTGGTGCTTTTATATATATTGCTCTAGAAATTGTTTATCTGGTGTTGAGGACTGATACGATAAGTAAAATATAACTTGTTTGTAAAATTTTTCTCAAGGCATCAATCATATAATCCCTCAGCACATGTATTGATGTCATAATACATTAAAATATCATATCAATATTTCAATTAAGATTATATGCTAAACTAGTAAATAAATAAATAAATCAAAATTAGATAATTAAAATAGTGATAAATAAATTCATGAAAAATTAATAAAATAAAATTTACATAACTAAGAACATAGGAAGTTCAGAAGTGTAGTTTGGTGAAAAATAAATGATCAATTAGTTAAATTAGGTGAGGAATAAGCATTTATTCAAACCCAATATATGCAGTTTGCATTTATTAAGATTAGGATGAAGCAATTGTTTCATAAATATGAAGACTAAATGATAAATAATTAAAATTAAAATTTCTGAGTGAAATGAGTAGAAAAATCCATAGACTTCATGCACAGCACTTGATAGAAGAAGTTAATTTCCACAAGTTAGTGTTTGATGCATCATTTTAGTGGACAGTAGACTCTACATGTTGGATCAGCCCATATAAAAGGCGTTGTTGTTTGCACCGTCCCCTTTCTTATCAATATATTTTTTAGGATTTTTTACCATAATGTTGTAATCTTTTAAAATATACTTGGTTAATTTTTAAAAATTACAAATTTAGATAAATTGTTATTTCAAATAGCATGATTTATATATATATTTTTTAGATTTAATAATTTTTATATATTTATATAATTATTATAAATAATAATAATATATTTTATGTCATAAATAAATAAATAAATAATAATAAAATAATAAAATTTGTACTAATTTAATTATTATATTGTAATAATTATTATAATTATAATATAAAATAATTTAATATTATAATAATAACTATATATATATTCAATAAAATTATATATTCTAATCGGGTTTCGCATACAAAATATAAAGTTATTCTATATTAAAAAAAAGAAAACATAGGAATCAAACCAAAATCCTTATTATCAATTTATAGAATAAATTAATTCTAAAATCCTAAGTCTATTTTTTAAACACTCAAAATTAATTTTTAGAAGAACATGACATACCAATTTATTTTATTTATATTATTTTAATTATAATTAATAATAAAATAAATAATGTTTATATTTATTAATATAATAAATAATATTATTCTATTACTAATAATAAGATGATAATATTAATACTTGTATTAATATTACTAATAATAAAAAATTAAATTTATTAATAATATAAATTTAATTATAATTTTTTATTTACTAATATTACTAATGATAAAATAGTATAATTTTTATTTTTAATAATATTATAAATTTAATTATTGTTATTTATTTTATCAATAATATAAAAATATTATTATTAATTATAATAATACAATAAAAATTATTATAATATAATAAATAAAAGTCATAGTAGTATGGTTTTTTTTTAATAAATAAAAGTCGTACTTTCTAAATTAAAAAACAATAAAATAAAATTTAAAATCGTATTATGAACACAAAATTTTTTATTTTGAAGTTGTATTTTATTATCTATATTTTTTAAAAATTTATTATATTGGTAAATAAAAAAAAAATTGTATCATTCTAGTAAAAAAAAAAAACTGATTTTTTTACTATGTTGTGTTTGTCAGCGTGGAAACAAACCAGAAGATAAAAAAAAAAAAAAAAGAAAGAAAGTAAAGAAACAGGAAAAATTGGTTATCTGATAGGGTCAAATTGTTTATATAATGTGCACCCCTGCAAATTTTCTCTTCTTGTTAAGAAATAGAATGTAAAAAATAATAATATTTTTTACTTAATAATAATATTATTATAATAAAATAATTAATTAAATAAATAAAGTTAATAATTAAAATTTTAAAAATTTATAAAATATTTTATATTTTTCTCTAACATAAATTAACATGCTGTAATCTTTGACACCCAACAATACAGAAACCATATGATAAACTGATTTTTTTTTGTTAAAATATTTTGCTTAGATATTTAATAGAAACACGAATTTTGATTTTGATAATATGCATAATCAAAATTGTTATGCAAGAATCAAGGATATGTTAATAAAAAACAAAGTTCTAAGAAAGGATTTCAATAGTAAACTGGGTGCAAATAGTAACGATTAAAAATATAAAAAATTGTGAACCCATCTGCAAAAATGTTTGAGGCCCAAACCCATTGCTTTATTAAGTTTATAAGCGCGTTTCCTCTTGTAACCTAGGTTTTCATTTCACTGGGAAATTCGCACGGCTTAGCACTCCTCCTCTTAGCCGCAGATCTGTGAGGTTTGCATAAACTTCAATAAGGTATGTCTCTCGATGTCCATTGCCAGAATCAATAATTGAGAAACGGAGAAAAAATATCATTTTTATTTTAGTGTTTTAATTCATTTTATTCCTTGTATCATTTCTCTTAATGTATAAAATGTGTTAATTCTGAGTTCGTGCCTTTGTTGAAGATTACTGATTGGGATTAGGATTTTTTAGCTATAAGGGGTTTTTTAGGGGTTAAGGTTTTTTTAGATATAAGTTTTTTTTTAGGGGTTAAGAAACCTTCACCCGACTTCTGTAACGGCTATTCAGATAATGTTCCATTTGAAGTTTACACTTTTGCGTTCTATCTTTGTTTTTTATGCTTTGTATTAGATTCTAAGTATGAAATTGAAGGACCATTAATTTTGTTTTGCCATATTTGTATGGTTGTGAAGATGTACACATCGAGGAAGAAAATCCACAAGGATAAGGATGCTGAGCCAACTGAGTTTGAAGAGACAGTTGGACAGGTAATATATTAATCGTTATCTAATACTGCTGTTTAATTGCACTTATTTCCGGTTGTTTAACTTGGGTGTTTTGCAGGCATTGTTTGATTTGGAAAACACCAATCAGGAGCTTAAAAGTGATCTGAAGGATCTATACATTAACTCGGCAATGTAAGCATGCCTATTATATATCTCTGTGTTTGTGAGCAAGGTTGATTAGTTTTGTCTCTGACTTGGAGTGGCGTTTAATTATTTGTAGCCAAATTGATGTTTCTGGGAACCGCAAGGCTGTTGTTATTCACGTCCCATACAGATTAAGGAAAGGTTTTCGCAAGATTCATGTTAGGCTTGTCAGGGAGCTCGAGAAGAAATTTAGTGGGAAGGTATGTGAAGTATATAATTTATTTATATTATATTGATTTGTTTTTGCATGATTTTAGTATTTCAAAATTTGAATTCATTTGATATTTTTTACGTGGTCTTTCTTTACTGAATTGCGCAAGAGCATCTAATAAAATACGAGGAATAAAATTTTAAAATATCCGTATGACCATTTATCATTACCAATTATCATCTTCTCAGCGTTAATTAATCATCGTCAAGAGTTGAGTGCAATTTATTTTTTAGTATAACAGTTTTAATTGTTCTTTGTGAAATCTTTATGTCATTAAGTTTTTTCTCGCCATTTAGATTGTATTGTTGAACTCTTATTTGTTTTTTCAATCTTAAATATGTTTTGTAATCTTTGTTGAGACACTTTAAGTTATATGTTTTGTGATCTTTGTTGAGACACTTTAATTTGTTTAAACTTTTAGGATGTTGTTTTGGTTGCCACCCGAAGGATATTGAGGCCACCAAAGAAGGGTTCTGCTGTTCAACGCCCCCGCAGCCGAACTCTCACTGCTGTCCATGAAGCAATACTTGAGGATGTTGTATTACCTGCTGAAATTGTTGGGAAGCGTGTGAGATATAGAATTGATGGATCTAAGATTATGAAGGTATAATAGCTATTATTTTCACTTCTGTTTTTTATATTATTGGTGCCTTTTTAATTTGTATCTTTTTTATTGGTTTGTTTAGGTTTTCTTGGACCCAAAGGAGAGAAACAACACTGAGTACAAGTTGGAGACATTTGCTGCAGTGTACAGGAAGCTTTCCGGCAAAGATGTTGTGTTTGAGTATCCTGTCGCAGAGGCTTAGTTGTATTTCTTTTATTAGCTTTGAATTTATTTGGAGAATTGCATATGATAGAGTATGCGGGTTAAAATTTTGGTGACAAATTGACTTTCGTTTTCTGATTTTTAAAGTACTATGGTCTTTTCGATTTAGTACTTGAGCCTTATTATAATTATAAATCTTATTTTTCTTTTATTTGCAATAGTCAATTATGGTTGTCATCTATAAGGGCTCAAAAACTGGATGCATAAATATTGTTTAATGACGCTTTACATAGTATTTCATAAATGAATTTTATAATTTGAAATAACAATTTTAGCTGATTCTAAAATTAGTTGCATTATGACTGTCATAAATGACTTCTAAAATTGTTTTTTTTTAAATTAAATGATTATATATATATATATATATATATATATATTATAAGTTTAGGATAGAGATGAAGAAAGAAAATTATTTTTTCTGTATTATCATCGATATTATCATTTATTTAATAATAATATATAATTTTTTTAATAAAAAGTTAATTTAATGAAATGCGAATTTCATAATCATGATGTATCTCTTAATAAAAAATTAATTTGATGAAATACATTGAGTTATTCTTGATTAAAAAATTAATTTGATGAAATGTATCGAGTTAATGTATACAATTTGAAAGTAACGAAAGATATGATGTAATTTTTTTCTTTCAAATTAGATGTTGGTTTTTATGGATAGGATTATTCATATAATATAAAAAAGGAATTTTAGATATTAAATATTTTTCTTTGAGATCTTAATTTCGGTCATGGTAATTAGAATTACTTTTTTCTTTTCTATTCAATTCTCCACCGCCGTGGATCCAGGTCCAATAGAATTCCTAAATATAAGAAAAAGTCTTCTCAAATAAGAATTTTTTCTTTCGACTATTTTTCGATCCTTAATACGATATACAAGGACTCTTACTACAAAGAGACTAAATACTTGATCGTGAAATATCGATTGTTTATTGAATCTTGTGAATTGCATAAAAGTAGGATACTCGAAATTCGAGAGTCTAAGAGTTTTATAAAATTCTTTTGATGGAAAAAATATAAATGAACAATTAAATCCTGTGAATTGTATAAAAGTATGATACTCGAAATTCAGGAGTCTAAGAGTTTTATAAAACTCTCTTGATGGAAAAAATATAAATGAATAATCCCACTAAATTGAATTGGGTCCATGAATATAAGAAATAGCGAGAATTGTTAATTTTTTTCAATATCTCTCTCAATTCAAAAATCCAAGATTTGAATTGATGTCCTTTCATCGTATCCTCCTAATTATATTGATTTATCTGAAAGATTTCACTTCAATTTGAATTTGGTTATTCACCATGTACGAGATCCTCGCTAAGCATCAACTCATAATTGTGTTATATCACCTTATCTCAATTTTTGATAAATAAAAGTAACTAATATATCTCTTTCAGAAAATATTTCTCCATTATAGCCATGAACAATTATTCTAGGAGTCGTCAAATAAGAGTTAATCAATCTTACTCTTACATAATCTATTTGAACAATTAGAATTTGACCCAATTTGAGGTGTGGTGCATTTTTAGTTTGAACTATACATAAATTTTCGCAAATAAATTGATCATGACTTATTATAGGAAACTTTTTTTTTTTCACACTAATTATGATGAAAAAAATTCTAATTCAAATATAATAGATTTAAAATGATGTTACTAGATAAATCAGATTTATAAATTCTCTCGTTTTCTTCTATTAAATAATATTATAATATTTGAAAAGTTTTTTTTAATTTATCAAGTTGCAATTTTTTTATTATCAAGATCCAATTATGAATAATTAAATAGTAAAAATAAAAATGAGTTATTAAATGATAAAAATAAAAATATGCAATTTGAAAGACTGTTATTAAAGGACCTAACAAAGTCTTAATTAGAATATTAGATACCTTTGAATTTGATTAATTCTTTTTTCTAAATACTTTTGTAATTTTTTTCTCCAAATTAGATGTAATGACAAATTTTTACTTTAATTACCTTGTATTATAAGGGTTTAATAATATATATATATATATATATATATATTTATATTATTTTTTTATGTATTCTATAAATAATTTTTATAATTATATAATATTTTTTTAAATAAATTTTTGAAATTATTATTATACTGTAATATAATTATTTTAAATATAATATATTATTATATTATTACAATATATTATTTTATTATATTGGAGTTCAAATTGAGTCTTTAAATTCTAAACTCATATGTTGGACAATGTTTAATAATTATGTATCTAAAAAAATTATTAGTATAAAATACATATAAATATATTTATTAAAATCGATTAAAATTTTATTTGATTAAATGTGTTAAATAATAAGATATATTTAAGTGGTGATGATATCATGATGTATATAATGTTATTTCTTAGTTTTTTCACGAATTTAGCAGGAAATTTTGAATGCTAAAAAATATAATATTCTTTCTATAAATTTGAAATAAAGGTTATATACGAAGTGAAGGAGAGGGGTACGAGGAGATGAGTTTACTTATATATATATAGAACCTCATTTATCAAATTATCATAGAGCGGGTTAGAGAAGTTTTTATATATATTTTTTAAATTACACTTAATTATACTAATATTATTCATTAATTTGTATATTTATTAGATTTATAAAAAAATTTATTAGATTTGCATATTACAATTTTAAACTTATTTTATTAATATTTATAATTTAAATTATATATATATATATATATATTTATAATTCTAATAATATATAAAAATTATATTATTTTAAATTATAATTTATTTTATCTTTAATATATAAATATATTTTAAAAAGTGAATCAACCCATAATATTTCCTTTTTTTATCTATTAGTGGAGTAAAATTATTAATCTAATTCTCTAATTAAAGATTGTATCCATTTATTATTATTATTATTAAATTTCTTATTTATTTACTATATTTTAAATTTATAAATATATTAATTAAAATGGACATAAATTTTTATTTGATTATGATTTTTTAACAATAAAAATATTAAAATAATGATGACATGAATTATAAAGATATATGTAAAGAAAATTATTTATACTCATGAATAAAATTTTTATTTTATTATGAATATTTTATGTAAGAGTTACTTAAATTTAGATAAAATTATTTATATAAAATTGTATATATAAATATATTCTACTTTTTCAAGTAATTTATGTGTACTATTTATAATAAAATAATATATTTTATTCTTAAATAATTTTTCCTATAGGATTATTTCTTTAGTTTTTCAATAATTTAAAAAGAAATTTTAAAAACTAAAAAAATAGTATTTATTTTATAAATTGAAATAAAAATTGAAAACATGCAAAATTCATTTCAAGTTCACTATTTTTTATCCATATTTTAGTTATATAATCTAATTTACATTAGGTATTATTTATGATCGACTTTTATACATTATTGAATCTTTCAAGAAGGATTGAGCAGAAAAAATTAGTCGAGAAAGAATTTACTAAAAAGAAACAATATGAATACAACTCAAATAAGATATTTAAATCCCACTCAACCCATAACTACAAATAATTAGGTTCTCATCTTTCACTTTTAGCCCGGCAAAGAACACTGCCAACTCCTCATTCATATTTTATATCATTAAAAAGTGTACATGAGTAGTTTGGTTCTTAAGCTTTTACTTGGACGAGGGTGAGAAAAAAACCAAGGTAATGAAAATTGTAGAAAGTTATAGTAGGAAATTGAAAGAGATTGTGCCTCCTTATAAATGGCATGACAGATGGATTGAATCTCATTTCAATGGTCATAGAACTTGAAGCAGAATTTTCTTCCTGCATTCATCATTATCAATTCAAAAAGGATTAAAATGGAATGCATGCCATTTGTTACTTACCAACCAATGACAAGAACACAGGAAGAAAATGAAGCTACTTTGTGAGTTAAGACAAGATTACAGCACCCAGATACACAGCTCCGCAAAGAAAGACAAAAGATATTAAACCCCTGCAGATAGAGTTAATAATTGGTCAAAGAAACACAACTATGTAAATGTGATTTCAGTTTAATAAAACACCTTTTGCAGAAACGCCAAAGTAAACTTTTTCTATTAAGATATCCTCACCAAATAACACCCCATCCATAACCAGTACAAGGACAAGGGCACACTTCTGCAAATTTTTCTGCATCACTGGAACTTACTCTTCGGGAGATCAAATCATCGTAGATATCTGCAATGCCGTATTAAGTGGATTTTAATATTTCATACAAGATAGATGTCACACCAATCATCTTGATTCTATATTTCCAAAAACATACCATACACTGAAAACACGCTATTCATTACACCTGCATTTCAATTTTGAAAAAGACGTATATGTTTTTCAGTGAAAATGAATAGTATCAACAGAGAGGCCAAAGAGTGTTCAAAAGAAAAGGTTGTTACAGTATTTACCTATGAACAGAATAATGTACCGCAGAATTCGAACTTTGGTTGTCTCTTGCAGAATCCATATTACCCCAAGGAAAATGATAAATCCTGAGACCGCAACATCCCAACATAAAATATGTTGAAGAAAAACATGATGCATTATCAGTTACTAGGAAAATTTAAGCATGAAAACACATAACATACCGATACAAAGTCCTCGAAGAGTCCACTGCATGAAGAATTGAAGATTAAGAATAAAGGTTCAGTCATAATTCAAGGCAGAGATAGCATAATGGATCAAAATCATCTCACTATCTCAGAAAATGCAGATATATTTCACTCAGAAAATAGTTCCACTTCCACACACTGGCTTTTATAACAGTGATAAAAAAATTATATTCCATGTTATCAACAGTCTGAATCTTCATAGTGACACGGAAGCTTGAAACAGTTCAATCTGTTTCTAAGTATTCGTATTCTCAACAGACATTGTAGCATCAGAGGAGAAGGATGGAAGTTAAAATAAATGGCTAGTGGTCATCACCTACATTTTTGGCAACGAGGAGGACAATAAGAAGAGCAGCAATAAAGCAACCAGCAGCTATTCTGGCAGTACGAAGTTTTGTTGATGCAAGTATCAATACCATGCCCCAGAAAGATGAACCAAGATCTGAATGTCAAACACAATGGTAAAAAACAAATAAGATCAAATGAACCCAAATATTTACAGAAAATAATAGCAATGATGACAGTATATATATACACATTAACTGCTACATGTTAGATGGAAGGCAATAGGAACAGAAATTATCACAATTATGAGAATAGATTTGATAATATAGAATGCTATATGTTGCATGAGAACTGCAAATTAAATTAACATGTAAAGGTTAAAAATGTAAAATGCATAAGCACAAATTGTAGACAGTACATCCAGCTGGCAAGATTAACCAGTATACGCCTCCACGTGTTTGGGTCGTTCCACCTTCATCTGCATGAACCTGTATCCCTTCTACCTGCCATTACATGTCAAGTCAAGGGTGCTCAGTTATTCTTTACTGAAAGCTGTATACTTTTCTGATTTTCATAAGCAGAAGAGAATTAATTACATAGGTATAGATCCATAGTTAGGATTTTAGATACCTAACAACACCGAACACTGCAACAGAATGTGCGTCTAAATTATTGCAAATTGTATATACACTAATGCACAATCCTATCTCTTACAAGTATATTTTTGGCACTTAGCAGATGTGTTTAGCCATTCATACAAAAATAGTACAGATTTAACGCATCTTCCATAAATGAGAAGAATCATCCTGCCCTTCCTTGTTTTGTGGTTTTCAAATAAATGATAGAGTGAAGATTAAGAATGCAAGTTCATCACTGTTAGGATAAGTATGGTAACATCTGACGAAGGAAAGCAAAATAATGGAACACACAAGAAATATTGAGATAGATTGATCAAAATATACAATCAAACTCTTGTAAAATGACAAACCAAAACAAAATTTATGTTCTCTTTCAATACTTAATCAACACAGAAACGTTAATCGAATAAACAAAAGCACAAGTATTAAGCTCTTACATGACCGCAAGTGAGTTTACAAGCAATTGCATGACTTGCCTCATGAAGAAATACGGTAACAAGCTTAAAGGGTCTGAGTAACACTGTTCTCCATAGCTGCAAAATGCAGGGGTATCATACTGTTTATACACAACATTTCTAACAATACTAACATATCAAGAGTTTTATATAATTACAAAATCGATCCAATAGATGGATGAAACCTTAGTGAACATTAAATTAATAAATGCACATAACCAACCATTCAGATTCGGGCATTGCAATAGCCATAAACATTCAGAATTAGGAGAATTTATCCATAACAAATCTTATGCTTAGCTGAAGCAACAGGATAGAAGGGAAAAGAACATTTCATGGGAAGTTTGAATAGTTGACTTTGTAAATACCAATTTAAAGTTAGAAAGTTAGCACCAGAATATACCCATTTGCAAAATGACATTGCAGTTTGTTTTAACAGCCAAACGTCACAAAAGATCTTTACCCAGAAGAAGTAAAGTTCCCAACTTGACTCCTACGAGGAGTTGGGTATGTTTATGGATCCAATGCAAATAGAAAAAGAAAAGGTGGGAGAGGAGAGAGGTACATACTGCGAGTATAACGACAGTGCAGACACCAACAGTGACCAAAAACACCACCTGTTCGTGGTTGCAGCAGTTATTGAGCTCCCAGTTCGGTTTCATGTGCTAGAATGATTGAATGAGATTCTTTAGCTTCTTGGGATCTGCAAAATGACAATGCAGTCATCAAAGAGATGATTGGTTTGCTTTCATCAGTCTTCAAAATTTGAAATTTATAACGCTCTCAATCATTGTTGCTTTTCTCTGCTCAAAGTATTGGGAGATGGTAGATATATAGCACTGTGCAACAGTGTTTGTGTCAGACTACTTCCAGTTTTAAGATCACTTTTCTTACTGGAGCTCTGTGTAAGAGAAATGATTAGATTAAAGTTCTTCTAATTTTTCATTTTCATGTTACCTGGGATATATAATATAAGATAAGTCACCCAGGTCTTATTTAAAAATTTAAAATAACCTGTTTTTAGGTCACAAGGATCTCAAAATATAATATTTATTTAAAACTTATTTAAAAATATTAATTAATTAGGAACAAAATTATCAAAAGTATATATTGGTTTCAAAATTTTTGTAGATTCTAAAAAAAATAATTTGTATACTGAATATCATACTTTTTTTAGTATATATTTTTATAATATAAATTTTATGATTAAGAATCATCACTAAAGATGTTATTAGATAACTGTATATCACAATCTATTTAAATTCCAATTAATATTTTTAAACATATTTAATTTTTAATAAAAATAATTACTAATATATAATTATATATTATGAGAATAATGTTAATATATTAATGATTCGTTTTTCTACTCTTTTCAAAATCATTTTTTAGTATCCTAATTTTTTAAAAATTAGAATTTTTTTTATAATTATTTTATTAAAATAATTATTTAAAATTTAAAAAATAAAACAAATAATTTTTTTTATATTTTTATTTAAAATATTCACATTTTTATATGATCTGACTTTATCATTATGAAATTAATAATTTTTTAATTTTTATTACAATCTTTTATTAATACTTGTGATATTTTCTTTTATTTGAAATAGTTTTTAAACAAAAATTATTAAATAAATTTTCCAATAAAATTTTAATAGCTAAAACTATTTTTAAACTCTAAAAAATAAAATAAAATCAAAGAAATCGTTGTAAACTTTAATTATTGGTGATTTGTATAATTAAATATATTTTATCTCCTTATAAAATAGTTATTTCATGTAAATTGAATATATATATATATATATATATATAATTTATCATATCAATTAATTAAGTTTATATTGTTGAAAATTAAGGCAATGAATGAGCACAGCATATTAAATATATAAATAAATACTTTATTTTGAGTATGTTTGAACGTGAGCCTAGTAAAATGTTGACTACTCAATTCATTGTAACTGCTTTTATAAACCTTCAAATTTTATAATTAATACTATTGTTATTATATAATTAAAATAATTATTGAATAATTGAGTAAATGTTTTCTTATTTGACTATAATTAATTTAATAATTTAAATATAAAATAAAATTTCAAATAAGGTAAATTACAATGTATATTTACTATTAACACCATATTTTCACTAGAGAAAATAACTTTTCATTGATTTGTACCACCACAACATAATATAGTTTCAGTTTTTAAAATAAGGATATTTTCCAATTATATTTATCTTACAAATTAGTATATGCTTAGATTAATTTATATAATGTCTATAGTGTAAAAAATAATTAAACGACTTAAGATGTTTTCAATCAAATTCAAAATAAACACAATGCACTTTATTAACTTTAGCAAAAAAGAAATTTTAATTTTTCAAAATTCTAAATATATAAGTGGACAATCATATAAACAATGCTGTGTGATATATTTTTTGAGTTAAATTAAAAAAGTTACACTGATTAAAAAAATAATACTAGTTTTATTACATTATTTAACGTGTCAAATAATCAAATTTTCTGGTAAAAAAAATTAAGTTAATTTTTTAATAAAATTTATAATCATTAAAACTAATTTTAGTTATACTATTGTTTATCAAACATTAAACAATATTTTCAGTATTGAATAAAAAGTTTAAATTTATATTTTTATATCTTCTCCAACATGGTGTTTATCTAAAAGCTTGATAATTAAATGCAATCCTTTTGCATATATCATCATATAAAATTTCATTTTTTAATTAAAAATGGTACAATAACAAAATTTTAAAACCTGTTGTAAGTTTTATACTAATAAAAGAGTCCAGCTAAAAATGCTAAATGAAATTTTTATTTATGTTTATATGTCAGTTTCAAAATTCAATATAATATTAATTACATTTATATTTAATTTATAATAAATTTATTAAAAATATTTTAAAACGAATAAAATAGAAAATGTTTTTTTCCAATTTGTATAAGAATTATAAAAACTATTTCATTAAAATGAAGAAAACTTATTATATTCGTTTCTTTCTCTAAAAACAATTAGAATATTTTTCTCTAAAAAAATTAATCGGCATATAAAAGAAAATGGAGAAGAATTAATAAAAAATAAATGCGGACAATATCTTAAAAATGTAAAAATAATTTATATAGACTGGATTTAGTAATTAGAAGACTTCAAACAAAAACAAATAAGAAGATATAAATTCATTCCTGAAAAAAGTCAAACCAATTAAATGAGTAATCTTGAAAACAAAAAACAGTAAATAAATAAATATGCTACTTATGCATGGTGTTATGGTAAGGTGAAGATTCGAAAACGCTGAAATTAACCGACATTGAAAGCATAAATTTACGCGTTATAATATTACCTAATCGGGTGAACGTTGAACACATAATTGAATTTAACTTCGCGTGGTACGATGAAGGAAACTTCAAAGAAGAACTACACAAATTCCGCGTAATTTTACCATCAATTACTTTGTTCATCGTTGAAGACATTGATTCCTATAATTACCCGTGATATTCACATTGTCGTTTCATCTTCAAGTCCTTGAATCTCACTTTTGAGTTATTTTCTCAGAATCACAGTACTTTTTTGCTGTCACATCAAATATTTTCATAAACTTTTCTGTTCCAAGTCTCGTAGCAGAGTTCATACATACACATACGGCACTTGTTTTTTCTTCTTTGACCACAGTCTTGTGATCATCGTGAAACCCTACATGTACCCCATGACATGCAAGAAGAGGTGGAGAAGGGCTTTGAATGCCATCTCTTTCGTCAAGGCTCTTCTCCACGTCTCCAACAAAGCTCTCAACATTGAAACCCCAAGGCTCTTGCGCTCATTCTCTTATCTGGCCATTGATGTTGAACAAGATCACGTGCATTCTCCACGTGTTAAAACCTTCAACTTTGATTCCAAACTCCTGGGTGACATGGTGAGGGACAAGACGCTCGAGTCTCTCACCCAATTTGGAGGCGTCAAAGAACTCGCTGCAATTCTTGAAACCGATCTCAAGCGTGGCATTGGCGACAACAAGGATGATATTGATCACCGAAAACGTGTCTTCGGTGTTAACATGTTCACCAAACCTCCATCCAAAGGTTTTCTTTCGTTTGTTCTTGAATCTTTTAAGGACACCACTATTATCATCCTTTTGGTTTGTGCTGTGCTTTCTCTTGGCTTTGGTATCAAGCAGCATGGATGGAAGGAGGGATGGTACGATGGAGGAAGCATCATATTGGCGGTTATTCTCGTCATTCTTGTCTCTTCCGTGAGCAACTTCAACCAATCTAGACAGTTCCAGAAGCTTTCTGCGAAGAGTGGGAACATAGGAGTCGAAGTAGTACGAGGTGGTCGACGCCAAAGCGTGTCAATCTTTGAGGTGGTGGTTGGTGACATTGTGTGCTTGAAGATCGGTGATCAGGTTCCAGCTGATGGAGTGTTTTTGGAGGGGCATTCGTTGAAGGTGGACGAATCTAGCATGACGGGAGAGAGTGAACACGTGCACGTGAACGGTGACACAAACCCTTTCTTGTTATCTGGCACAAAGATCAGTGATGGTTTTGCACACATGGTCGTCACTTCTGTGGGTATGAACACTGCATGGGGTGAAATGATGGGTTCGATAGCGAGAGAGGTTAATGAGGAGACACCTTTGCAAGTGCGTCTCAATAAATTGACTTCTGCTATTGGCAAGGTTGGGTTGCTGGTGGCTGCACTTGTTTTGGCGGTGTCTATGATACGTTACTTCACGGGAAGTACAAGAGATGATTTTGGAAACCGCGAATTCGTTGGGAGGAAGACAAACTTTGATGATGTTATGAATGCGGTTGTGGGAATTATTGCTGCGGCTGTGACAATTGTGGTGGTGGCCATTCCAGAAGGGTTGCCATTGGCTGTTACTTTGACTTTGGCTTATTCCATGAAGAAAATGATCAGGGATAATGCTATGGTTAGGAGAATCTCTGCTTGTGAGACAATGGGGTCGGCAACAATAATCTGTACGGATAAAACAGGTACTCTTACAATGAATGAGATGCAGGTGACTGAGGTTTGGGTGGGGAAAAGGGAAATAGAAGAAGGTGTGTATTTGGCGCCGGGTTTAGTACAATTATTGAAGGAAGGAATTGGGTTGAACACCACTGGAAGCGTTTACCAGCCCCTACAAACCTCTTTGGCAGAAATTTCAGGTAGTCCAACTGAGAAAGCGTTGCTTTCTTGGGCTGTAGTGGATTTGGGGATGGACATTGATGAAGTGAAGCAGCATTGTGAAATCATTCATGTGGAGACGTTTAACTCGGAGAAAAAGAGAAGTGGGATTTTGATGAGGGAGAAGAGAGGGAGCAACAGGATCGATACACATTGGAAGGGTGCTGCTGAGATGATATTGTCTATGTGTTCAAATTATTATGACCATACAGGGAAAATCATGATCTTGGATGATGAAGAGAGGGTTCAGATCGAGAACATTGTGACGGGCATGGCTACCAAAAGTTTACGATGCATTGCCTTTGCCCAAAAGCGCTCCAACGGCCAGGTCTGCGGAAAACTTGAAGAGACAGAACTAACATTGTTGGGGATACTTGGGTTGAAAGATCCTTGTAGGCCAGAAGTTGAAGCAGCAGTTGAATCATGCAGGAATGCTGGAGTGAAGATCAAGATGATCACAGGAGATAATGTGCACACAGCGAAGGCCATAGCCGCTGAGTGCGGGATTCTTGATCCTAGTGAAGGATTGGATGAAGAAGCTGTGGTTGAAGGGTTTCAATTCAGAAATTACTCACATGAGGAAAGAATGGATAAGATTGACAGAATCAGAGTCATGGCCAGATCATCTCCATTTGACAAGCTTCTGATGGTTCAATGTTTAAAGCAGAAGGGTCATGTTGTGGCAGTCACAGGTGATGGCACAAATGATGCACCTGCTCTAAAAGAAGCAGACATTGGACTTTCCATGGGAATAGAAGGCACTGAAGTGGCAAAGGAGAGCTCAGATATTGTTATCCTTGATGACAACTTCTCTTCTGTGGTTACAGTAATAAGGTGGGGAAGATGTGTGTATACAAACATTCAGAAGTTCATTCAGTTTCAGCTAACAGTTAATGTTGCTGCGCTGGTCATCAACTTTGTAGCTGCAGTTTCTTCTGGTAAAGTGCCTCTTACAGCTGTCCAGCTTTTGTGGGTAAACCTGATAATGGATACTCTTGGAGCTTTGGCCTTAGCCACTGAGGAACCGACTAATGATCTCATGAAGATGCCACCTGTAGGTAGAGTTAAGCCACTTATAACTAGAGTTATGTGGAGGAACCTCATTTCACAAGCATTGTACCAAGTTCTTGTATTGCTGGTTTTACAGTTCAAGGGAAGATCAATATTTGATGTCAGTGAGAAGGTGAAGAACACCCTTATTTTCAATGCTTTTGTTCTCTGCCAAGTCTTCAATGAGTTCAACGCGAGGAAGCTGGAGAAGAAGAATATATTTGAGGGACTTGGTAAGAATTGGTTGTTCATTGTAATTGTGGGCCTAACTATTGCTCTTCAGTTAGTGATGGTTGAGTTTCTGAAGGAGTTTGCCAATACTGAGAGATTGACTTGGGAGCAATGGGGTGTTTGTGTTGGCATTGGAGCTTTGTCTTGGCCAATTGGTCTGCTGGTGAAGTATATCCCAGTTGTTCGTAACGAGTAGTAGGCCAAGAAAGCACATTATTTCGATTTATCATTTTCTTTTTCTTTTCCATAGCACATTGCAGTGCTATTTATTGCTTGTTTTCTTACTTTCTGTATATATATAGTTCTCTTAAATATAAAGGACCTACGTGTGGAGAAACTATACCACTTTCATTCATGCAGTTGATTTGTGCTGTTAATGGAGTAGAAATAATGGATTTTTATCTAAATTTATCAGTTCCTAGTGAACCCTTGGACTCTAACTAGTTTTTATGAACTATTTTTTAATGAAACAAATTTCATTTGAAAATGATCTTTATTAGTTTCTTTGGTAATATTTCTGAATATTTACTCAAATAAACAGTTCACAAAAGATCAAAGAAATTGAATGTTCTGTCAAAGACTCTGATATGGATGAGCTAACTTAGAATGTGCATAGCATGACTACAAAATTCGTCTTGGAGTGAAACCAGCGGGGTTTCAAAGTTTATAGGTCTATTTGTAGCTAAACGATTGCTTCCAATGCATGAACAACCAGAGCTTCCCTGTCTTACCTTGTAATATAGGACCAAGTCTATTTGATTTACATTTACTGTGGAAAATCTCAAATGAGTTGTCATTCATTCCGAGTTTGGCATTGAAATGATTCAGTTTAGTGTTTTCTGATTTTATATAGAAATCTAAAATCTGCATATATTGAGCTTATACCAACTCAAAAAAGAGTGATTCTAGCTACTAAAACCAAATCTGAATTAGTTTCATGTACCAAACTTTCAGCTCTTAATTTAGAACAGTTTGAAAATGGTGCACATACAAATTTAAGAGGTTGTATTGTATTACACCAAGTTGCGTGACTGAATCGATTAGCTGTGGAACCGAGTGTTTTGTTTCTTTGAACTAAAATGGACGGAAAACTTAATCATTTAACTATTTTTTTTATTATGAAAAACTCCTTTAAAAAATTACTAGGAAATAACTAAGTATTTTATATTTTTTTTGAGAGATTATAATCTTAACCTAAGTCAACATCTTGTTTAAGCCTTGAAAATATGTATTTCATTTTCAAAAATCAAAAACAGTAATTATTTATTTAAATTTAATGTTAACCAACCAAATATGATATATCTATATATCTATACTATCATATATATATATATATATATATATATATATATCAGTACTTCAACAATGTTTATTCTATAAATTTGAATTATGTTCATTTTTTATAATTTGAAATAACTTACTTATGATCACTATTTTGTATTTATCATTCCCTAATCAAAATGAAAAATATCACAGTTTAATTATTAAAAATTATTTTATAATTTAAGGAAAAAAAAACTTTCATTAGAATAGTAGTTGGGCTTTATCAAATCATATTAAAAAAGATAAAAAAACAGTAACTAGCAAATACCATTTTTGCCCTCGTGAGAAACCAAAATGACATGGCATCGTCTGATCTGTTTTTGTGTTCCGAAGCCGCCATTAACGACGACTCAGCGAAGCTAAACTGAGAGTGGAGCTGCGTCCACAGTGGAACGCATAGCATCAGCAACAACGTATTCAATTCATATTCTTCAGGAGAACAAAAGAGATGTGTTCTTCGAAGACAATCAACATCGCTGCGAGTACGCAGAAACTCGATGTGGATAATCGTATTGCTCTCCGATTCTACTACAGGATCGCTGATAATATCCTCAAACAGGTATTTCTCCTCTACACTGCGTATGATATGAACACCAACGAATTCGGTAGGATTTCATTTGCTTTTGTAAGATTATACGTGAAGAGGACGAGACAAAGATAGGGTTCTCTGAGATATTGCAATTTTCACCGGCTTATGTAGAATTTTCATTTATGATATATTATTGCATTGAAATTTATAAGAATGTTAGGTTATATTCATGAGACTCAACATCATGTTCTTGCTTTTATTTGTTTATAGAGAGATGTGAAAGTGAAACCAACTTCATATGGCCACACATCCTAGAGCTCAAATTTGAGGAGATGGTTTTCATAGAAATAGAAGCTCATTGTTATTATTGATTTAATTGAATGAAAAGGTTTTTTATACGGTTCAAAATGAGGGAGGGATAGGGGAAGAGAGAAAGTTACAGGAGAAGCATATACCTAACACATTTAAGCCTATCTTATTCCTAGTCAATGCCTACAATTACAACTAACCACCCAGTATGCATGATGATGTAGCATGTGTGGAAACCTCAGCTGATAAACTCTGTTAGTTGGAGAACTAACAAACCCCAGTGCCCAAAGGCTTATTTTTGAACGAAGGTAATGGAGAGTATCATTGTACAATATCTTCCCCTTGCTTATGCAAAGAGGTTGTTTTCAGATTCAAACCCATGACCAACTGGTCACAAAGGACAACGTTACTGTTGTACAAGGAATCGCCTTTGCATAAATATGGATAAATTAAAAATATTAATATTTACCATTTTTTATATGATTTTGAATATAAAAGTATTAGATAGTGAGTTAGGATCTTAATTGTGAGTGATATGAACAAATTGCATGTATGGATTTTGATGGGAATTTGTAGGGTTTATGTGTATGTGTATTTACGATATATGAAATATATCTCCCATGGGGTATATCTCCATCTTTTTATTCATGGACTCGTATATATATATAGAGTAAAAATATAACAAAATATCAAATATTAACTATATTTCAATCATAATTACCTAATTCAAATTAATAACCTAATATCTTTTTCTCTTATTCTAAAGAATAATAAAAATCTCACAATATCTAATTTAAATAAAAGATAATAATAAAGTAATATTCTTAACATTACTCCTTGTTTTAATATCTCGTTTATTTTAATTTAATATTTTTTCTTTGTATTTTTATTTTCTTTCCCCTCTTGTATTTGTAATTCTTGTCATTTTCTTTATTATATGTAATCATCACTTCATTCAATTTTGTTATTGTACTATCGTATTTTTCCTTTTTGTAAATAATTTTGACAGTCTTCCATTTAACTCCATTTAACTCCGAACGTGTTGAATTTGTTTTCTTGATCTTTCATTGATCTTTTATCCACAAAATGTATTGTGAAGAAAACATTTTCCTCTCAGAGCACCAATTCTTCTTGCCTTTTTTTGTTTTATTATCTTTCAACACAAACAAATAGTCGATTTAAACTCCTTCAACTTAGTTTATTTCATCCTAACCTTAAGCTTCTCAATTTCACGACCACGTTTTTTAAGCTTTTCGTCCTTTTGTTTAAGAGTCTCATTTTTGGCCTTTAAGATCTTTCTTGTCTTCTCCTTCTCGAGGTGCATATGTTGTAGTATTTCCTGCATCTCTAGCAATTCTTTCTCGAGCGATTATTGTTTCTTGGAGTCTTGTTTTCCAACAATGATGTTGACCGATTGGTTGTTTTAGTTTCTCTTTCATAACTCTTCTATCCTTCTTTGTGGGTACTTCATATTCTTCTTTGAAATAATTCACTTTATGGTTATGATTCTGATGAGAATTATTTGTGAAATACCTTGCATATTGTTGAATATAGGAAAAACTGTATAGGGTTAATTTCCCTTATGTATTTACCACACATAGGACAGTGTATTTATAATAAAGAAAGGTACTCCTCAAAAGAGTAACAGAATACAAAATAGGGTAAATAAAAGATATTATTTGATATTGTGATTAACAATATCTAACAATATCTCAACAATATCAAATAATATCAACTAATATCTAATCATATCTAACACTCCCCCTCAAGCTGGAGCATACAAATCGTATGTGCCTAGCTTGGTACAAAGATAATCCATCCTAGGTCCCACGTAAAGACTTAGTGAAAATATCTCGCTAATTGATCACATGAGTTAACGAACTCGGTCTTGATGTCTCCGGACATAATCTTTTCCCGAATAAAATGGCGATCAATCTCAATGTGTTTAGTCCTCTCATGAAAGACGGGATTAGAGCTTATATGGAGAGCAACTCTGATTGTCACACACTAGTGTCATTTTAGTGACATCTCCAAATTGTAGCTCTTTAAGCAATTGCTTGAGCCAAATAAGTTCACGGGTAGGCTGAGGCCATAGCTCTATACTCGCTTCGCACTGGATCTTGCCACAACACTTTGTTTCTTACTTTTCCATGAGATCAAGTTACCACCAATGGAAACACAATACCCGGATGTAGATCTTCTATCGAGAGGAGATCTCGCCTAATCAGCATCCGAATAGCGAGACAACTCTTGTATGATTATGGGAGTCATACACCAAACCTTTTCCAGGAGACTTTTTGATGTACTTCAATATACGGATGATCTGCATTCCAATGATCTTGACAAGGAGAATTGAGGAATTGACTCACCACACTGATCGCAAAGGAAATGTCGGGCGAGTAAGCTGTAAGATAATTTAATTTTCCAACTAATCTTCTATACTTGTTCGGGATCCGACATTGGCTCCCCCGATTTGGCAAGAGTTTGGTATTAGGATCCATGGGTGTGTCAACGAGCTTTGAATTCATCAACCCAGTTTCCTCCAAAATATCCAATGCATACTTTCTTTGAGATATAACAATGCCATCGGTAGATTGTGCTACCTCAATACCCAAGAAATATCCGAGTTTGCCAAGATCTTTGGTTTGAAAATGGTGACAAAGGTGTTGTTTCATCCGAGAGATGCCATGATGGTCACTACCTGTAAGAACAATGTCATCGACATACACTATCAAATAGATACATCCGAGCATTCGAGTGACTGGTAAAAGACTGAGTGGTCCGCTTCACTTCTAGTCATGCCAAATTGTTGAACAACGGCTGCTAAATTTGCCAAACCAGGCCCTAGGAGACTGTTTTAGGCCATATAAAGATTTGCGAAGTCGACATACCAATCCGGAAGACTCCCCCGAGCAACAAATCCGGGAGGTTGCTCCATATAAATCTCTTCTTGCAAATCGCCATTCAAGAAAGCATTTTTGACATCCGAGTTGATAAAGAGGCCATTGTTGAATAGCGGCCATGGCAATGAATAAACGAACGTAAGCCATCTTTGCCACTTGGAGAGAAAGTATCACCATAATCCAACCCAAAAATTTGGGTATAGCCTTTGGCTACAAGGCGAGCTTTGAGGCGATCAATAGTACCATCGGGACCAACCTTGATAGCGAAGACCCACCTGCAACCAACAACAGATTTTCCGGATGGTAATGGGACAAGCATCCAGGTTCCACTAGTCCGAAGAGCACCGAGTTCATCTAGCATGGCCTGACGCCAACCGGGGTGGGCTAAGGCTTCGAGAGACAGATTTAGGAATAGACACGAAGAAATAGACGAGAGACAGGTATAAAATGGTGAAGAAATTCGATGATAACTTAAAGCGAGTATAATGTGGAGAAGGATTATGAGTAGAACGCGTATCTTTACGAAGGGCAATAGGAAGGTCGGACTACGTGGACGGAGCCGGAGGAGGCAGAGTATTTGGCACTGGGAGTGAGTCATGTGGCGTCTGTTGTGGGCGAGGTCTGCGACTATAAACCCGAAGGGGTGGTGGAGGAGGAGGGGCTAATGGTGGATGGTCCTCGACATAAGGATCAATGAGAACAGGGAATGGGAACCGTAGCGAGATGGAGACTCGACGGGTAGGGAAGGGTCCTTAAAGTAAAAGGAAAACTCATTGAAGGTGACATCGGCAGACACAAAATAGCGATTAAGAGAAGGAGAAAAACACTTGTATCCTTTTTGGGATCGAGTAAATCCTAAGAAAACACATTTGTGTGACCGAGGAGATAACTTATCATGGCCAGGGATCAAAATTGTGGACAAAACAGGTAGACCCAAAAACCTTCGAGAGGTAAAGGATGGAGAGTGTCATGAGGAAATAAAATAGAATGGGGAATTTTGTTATCTAAAACCGAAGAGGGCATACGATTAATAAGATAACAGGCAGTAAGAACAGCATCACCCCAAAAATGTTGAGGAACCTCACCATGAATTAAAAGGGTACGGGTTGTTTCAATAAGGTGTCTATTCTTGCGTTCAGCTACCCCATTTTGTTGAGGGGTATAAGCACAGGAAGTTTGATGAAGAATGCCATGAGAAGCCATAAATTGTTTAGACGAGTTTGAAAGATATTCACGGCCATTATCACTTCGAAAAGTTTGAATAGAGACACCAAATTGATTTTTAATTTCATGATAAAAGTTTTGGAATATAGAAAACAACTCAGAACGATTTTTCATTAGAAATAACCAAGTACAACGAGAGAAATCATCAATAAAAGTAACAAAATATTGAAAACCTAAATTAGACTTAACATGACTGGGTCCCCAAATGTCAGAGTGAACTAAGGCAAAGGGGGATGAAGCACGCTGGGAAACACTACGAGAAAAGGAAGTACGACTATGTTTGCCTAACTGACAGGACTCACACACCAAATTGGACAACTGGGATAAGCTGGGAACAAGTTGTTGTAATTTTCGCAGACTGGGGTGACCAAGCTGAGCATGAAGGAGAGAAGGAGACTCCATAACTGTGCCAACATGTGGAGAGGGTTGAAGATAATAAAGTCCATGTGACTCACATCCGGTGCCAATCACTCTTTGCGAGCTCCGGTCCTGTAGGGAAACAGAAGTTTTGGTAATAACTCATTAAATTCATGGAGAAGAGCATGGATCTTACCCACATAATCCGCCACAGGATCCTTATCTCGAGGAGCAATAACATCAAGAAGATTGTAACAAACACCATAAAGACGTTGAGTGTCATTGGTGTATAATAATTTGGCTTGTTCCCAAATGTCATAACATGTGCCATACGATCTAAAAATTTGTTTTAAAGAAGATTGGATGGTATTCTTGAGAACCATACATATATGAGCATCAACTTTCTTCCAACGGACACGATCATTGGAAGGAACATCATCTACCTTGGTAGTAAGATGATCAACATACCCCTGACTCTCAAGCCAAAGTCTAATATCAGATGCCCAAGTTGCATAATTCGTACCATCTAATTTATCAATGGGTAAATTCACATTGACATAATTAGTAAAAACAGATTGCTCGGACCCACCGGAGTCGACAGAGGTAACTTCGAATTGGAAGTGGCGGCGGAAGATGCCATGGAGGAAGGGAGAGAAAAACCCTAAAACACCAAAGAGGTCCGATTGGAGCAGCGAGGACAGATCCAGAGAGAGGAGAAGGAGGGGACGCCGGCGCAAAGAGTGGCGGCCTGAACGGCGGCGAGACGCGCGTGGGGGAGCGTGGTTGCTCCGATGACCGCGAAACTTCCACGGTGGAGGTCGCACGGAGGAGGCGAGCAAAACCCTGTGCTCGGCGGTCCGAACTGCTACTCCGGCGACGGCGGTGGCGGCGGCAGCGGACGGCGGTGGCGACGGTGGCGGCGATGGCTGCAGGTTCAGTGGCAGAGCCGAAAAAAAATTCCCAAGAGACCTTAAGCTCATGATACCATGTTGAATATAGGAAAAACTGTATAGGGTTAATTTCCCTTATGTATTTACCACACATAGGGCATTGTATTTATAATAAAGAAAGGTACTCCTCAAAAGAGTAACAGAATACAAAATAGGGTAAATAAAAGATATTATTTGATATTGTGATTAACAATATCTAACAATATCTCAACAATATCAAATAATATCAACTAATATCTAATCATATCTAACACACATAAACATGATTTCGCTTTTGTCTTCCTTGTTTTTCTTTTCTTGTAGATTTTGATTTGGCCTATAGTGGGATTTTCAAACAATGGATCAATGGTGTAATCTTCTTCCACAACTTTTCATAAATCTAGTACTTCTAGATATGATTGCATTCTCATAGCCTATAGGTCATACCTTTCGCCATCGAAAATTGAAATAGCAACTTGAGAAAAATTTCTTTCTCTTCCCATTCTTTTCGTAAGAACCAAAGTTCTTGATACCACTCATGAGAATTTTTAGAATTTTTGTGTATGTGATTTCACTATCCAACTATTATGCTATAATGTTCCCGTTTTTCCTAACAGTCATGTTATATTTTCCAGCATAGCAAGTAATAGTTTCAGTCTTTGACTATACATATTTTTTTCTTCTAGTGCTAATTGCTTGTACTCACATTTCAGATTTTATTCTCTGCTTCCGAATTAATTGTCCTGCTTTAATACCCTTTTTATATTTGAAAAATGTGGTAATATTTTCCTTTTATGATAGAATTTTCAAAACTTGCTTTGCATGACCTCTCAACTCATTGGTTTTGATATTGCAGGCTGATATCTTTCGCGCAGAGAAAAATATTGTCGATCTATATATCATGCTCCTAAGATTTTCTAGGTAATACTAGATGCCCCCTTTATATTTTTGACTTATAAATGGCTTGTACTGTCTTCAGATAATTAGTTTGGAATAGTTGGATATTATTATATTTTATTTCTTATCTTTGTCATCAAACTGAATTGAGGGTCTTTCCCTTGGTTGGTGTTAGTTTGGTCTCTGAGACAATACCAAATCACCGAGATTATAGGTCCTCTCCCCGAAGCAAAAAAGAAATTCTGAGAAAGGTTATCTTTCATCTTGTCTTCCAATTATAACCTGTTGCACATTCTTGTGTGTAATTTAATTTTAAGGTTCCTGTTATAGAAATTGTTAAATGCTGTGAATGAGCTGGAGACATTGAAACCAAAGGTGCAACAGAAGATCGATGAGTTCAATAGCAGGCGAGCATACCACCGCCACAATGGGCGGGAAAAATGTCATTCGAATAGTTTGTTGGTTTCTCCTGTGAAAAAGCAAACTTTGGCTAGATATGATCAAACAAAGGTACAATTTTCTTGAAATATTTGTAGTCTTTTGCCTGAGAATTTTCTTTGGAGGTTGTAGCTCATCAAGGATAATCATTCCTTACAATTACATCTATTCTTTTAGTTGAATTCTTTTTGGCCATTTGTATGCTCCCCAACTCCTCTTTCAAAGTATCTTTGTATCCTTATGTTTTTGTATATGTGACCAGGCAGTCATACCAACCACTGGAGAGTTTGTTTACCAAGGATCAAGGGGCCAGCAGTTTTCTAGTGTAAGGCCTGTGGAAGAGAATATGAGGAGACTGTAAGTATTGAGAATTTGGACTTTTCCTTCATGTATGTTTTGCCTCCTGATGGTGATCAATACCGCATAAATTATTGTACTCACTTTCTCTGTGGTCATGAAGTTATGTGGTAGTTTTGTAACCTATTTGGTTACTTTGACTGTCATACTAGACTTTGCATATGGAAGTTGATAGTGCTGGATGGTTTTTTTTTTTGTTTGATACCCACCCTTTATGCGTGCTTTCCGTAGATCTCTAGGTCTCCTACGGCCAAAGGAGGAAACTCTCTCCAAACATTCAATTCTAGGTCCCAATGGGCTGAAAGGTCAACGGCAACAACATGCGAGTGATAAAGGGGTATGCTTAGTTTTTATCTCTTTTTCAATTCTGTTCAAAGATCATTCTGAATGTTCTATCTGGATGTAGGTCTTGTATCCAACCATCACAGATCTGTCTCCAGTTGAAATTCCAAGGTTATGGCCTATTTTTCTGCAGTTTTTTATGTTGTTGGCCTTTCTAAATGATGGTACTTTTTAAAAAAAAATTATTAAAAAGAATGTTTGATTTGATGATTAGTATAATGCTCTCAAGTTATCATCCTTGATGTCCCTTGATTTAGTTCAGTTGGTTAAGCTGTGGGACATCCACCCTTTTTCCCATTCGCTTATTCACTCCCCCTTCCTCTAGTAAGGCCTACCTTGAGCCCCCATTGGATCAAAAAAGAAATATTATTTCCCATGATGCACCTTGAGCTGGTTTATCTATTTATTTATTTACATTAACTAAATCCATCCTGTTGGATTTCTGTGTGAACAAACAGCCTTCACAAACCCTTGGAAGATGGATCTCTGAATGAGAAAGATAATAGCATTTCAGAACAATATAGATCAGATTTAGAGTCAATTCTTACCCAGAGTGACAACTGCCAGGACAAGCATGCTGATGAAGCTCCTTCTCTTATCTCTTTTGAAGCAACAGAAATCCCTACTCAAATAGAGATTATCAGACAGCCTTCTCCTCCACCTGTACTTGCTGAAGTACAAGATTTGATTCCAGCAGCGTCACCTCATGTTATTGAAGAAGGATGTAAAACAGAAATTCCAACATCGGATGGTATTGTTCATGGCGAGTCTCCTCTTCAACTACACATTGTAAGAATTAGTAACATACACTGATGATTTCTTCTTGTTCTCTACTCTCATTATAGTAATAATAATGTAAATGGGGAAGGTTTTATGTTCTCTAATTATGCTACTTATAGTAACTATCTTCGTGTAATTATTTGTATTTATGTTTTATATTTATGCCCTAATATACATATATGTTCAACTTTTAAACACACCGAATTTATCAAGTGGTAACCATAACCTGGGCTTGCCTGGTGTACCCACTATAGTGTTTGGCCCTATCTCCTTGAATCTCGATTGCCCTATGTTTTTTGTGGTTTCTAGCAATCATTGTTACTGTTTTGTGTCATGCTACATGTTTTACATTAGTTCATTTTGAGGTTTGGGGTCCTAGTTATATCTTGACACGGGTCAAAACATTGTGACTTTTTTGGATGTATTCTTCATGAAAAATCATTGTGAGCTTTATATATATATATATATATATATATATATATATATATATATATATATATATATATATATATATATATATATATTGAAATCAAGGCACAATTTGGAGTTCCCTTTTACACTACGATGTTTTAATGCCTCTAAATATCTATCTTAACAATTTCAATATTTTATGTCTTCACATTACATTGTTTTCAAACATCTTGTGCTCATATTCCTGAACAATATGAGGTTGCTTAACATAAAAACAGACACCAAATCAAAACAATTTTGGTGCTTTTATTTCATAGTGGGTTATGTTCCTCTTCCTCATCATCTTTGGGGTGATATTATTCTTATGGCTTGTTATGTCATTATTAGGAGTCCTCCATTCTTGGCAACAAAATCCTCACGATATATTATACTTCATAAGAGATGTCATTTTATTACAGAAAAGATATTGTTGGGAGAATCACAACTAGCTTTGTCAATTCAAATAATCATCTGGCGAATATTCTCACCAAGTCATTGAGAGGTCGATTAGTCAGTTATATATGTTATAATGTAGGAGCATATGATTATGTTTTTCAACATACTGGGAAGTTTTACCAATAATTTAATTTGAATAATATTATAAACAGGGTTGATTATTTGTTATAAGAGAAACTATATGTTCATGTATTTATGACCCTTAATGTAAATATACGCTCTGGTGTGTAATTTTAACACAGAATTCATCACATGCCATTTCCTCTTTTTCTCAGCACTTTCTTTTTTGGCACATTTCTGGGGAGGAATAACTATGCTCATTTTTAGCATTCCCTATTTTCCTGATTATTGTTTCTATTCACAGTCAACTTCTATAATGAAGAGTTTTATGGAGCTTGCCAAGTCAAACACTGACAAAAATTTGGAGACTTGTGGTATTCTTGCAGGTTTGCTTGTAAGTGATTTTACCCTCTTTTTTTGGGTCTTGAAGCAACATGCAAGGATAAATCCAAGATGAGCTCGGGACCTATCAACTCCATATTCTTTTCCATATATATTAAAAGCTGTCCATTTACCATCTTAGAAACAAATTAACCTATTTTTGGATTTCCAGCAGCCAAAAAAAGAAATTTTTTATCATGTGTTATAATTTCGTTTTATGTCCATAGCAACAACAATTTGTGGACTGTCTTTTAGTCATGTGTGTTTGGGCATGAAATTGCTACACACAAGTACACAACATGTTTTATATACTGGGTTTGTAAAATTTTAGCCAATGTGGTTTTAACTTTGGATCCATCTACTAGTTGAAATTGTGAGATATTGGTTGATATTTTGCTACAACTGATCTGCAGAAAAACAGAAAATTTTATATTACCGCTCTAATAATCCCAAAGCAGGAGGCAACATCCAGTTCTGTAAGAAATATTCATCTCAATCCTTTTGAGTAAATATCTTTTACAATTATTTGTTTTAAATTTGTTACATTTATTGTACTGCTTGAGCAGTGTCAAGCTACAAATGAAGAGGAGATATTTGAAGTACAGGATAAGCAATCTCTTTTCCCCCTTGGCTGGATCCACGTGAGTTCAGTTTGCTATATATTCTTCACATAATTTAATTTGCTAGTCTTCCCTTGTTGCTACACTGATGCATATAATTCTGCATTTCCAGACACATCCTACACAGTCTTGTTTCATGTCATCTATTGATGTACACACCCATTACTCATATCAGGTGAGTTCAAGCGAGGTTTCTTAAATTTTAGTTGAGATTGTTATTTTGTTTGCCTTAGTCTTTGAAGTATGTTTCTGCTATTTGCAATGACTAAATGGTAGAAAAAGAAAGATCTTCAAATGGAATGGTTTATATGATACCCATATTAAATTTCCCGCAGAATTTTATAACATGAAAACTTGCAAGTTGCAACTACTCATTCTAGATCAGTTTTACATCTTTATTATCAAACATAGTTTGAGAGTATAAATGTATAATTTCATACACACTGTATAATTTACTATACACCTGAAAAATATGTTTCTAGTGTACCTTGCTTTGATGCCGATCTTTTAGAAATTTGGTGATTTTGCTAAAATTTACTCTTTTATCGTTTCTGTTAAACACGGGACTATTTGTAGTGCCCTAGAGGCCTGTGTCTCACATATTTATTGTGCTTTCAATTACTAATCAAGCTAAGTACATTTTATTTTTCTGGTGTTTTCTTAGATTTTTTATTTGTATCTTATCCAAATGCTTGTCTCTATAGATTATGTTGCCAGAAGCTGTTGCAATAGTTATGGCACCAACAGACAGTTCCAGGTAACATCGTGTCTCAAAATGTGTCTATCGTGATGTGGGAAAATGGCAAAGAAAGCATATGCAATAAAAAATTAAGTTTGTTGGACTAAATTTGATATATAACTACCAAGCATAACACTACCTTGACAGTTAAGAGTAAGGGCTTTATGTACTGGGAACTTGATCTTTTATTCATATTAACTGCATGACTTGGCTTCAAATCCTAGGATCCCTAAGTGATCAGTAATCCCATATGGAAATGTTTATAGAACTCAATACGATAATCTAAATTTTTTTCAATCGGTTAACCTAATCATTTGGTCTTGTAGATGACAGTCATCTAGGAACTTGCCTCATTCTATATATAAAATAAAACTTAGTTTTAGTCCTTATATGCCCTATTGGTACATATTGGTCCATGTTGTTACTATGTTAAGTTTTTGTCCCTATACGTCTTTATAGGCACTGTAAATTTTTTCATTAAGGGGTTGATTCCTAAATGAATATCACCTACAGTGACCAAATGACTAGTTTAATCTTTTCAATAAAATCCTTATTCGGAAATAAGGCCCAAAGTTTCAAAGATGTTATTACTTAGCGATTCTTCTTCGCAACTTTTTCCAATACCTTCATTGTTTCCTTTCTTTTCCTCTTCACAAGACTAAAAATCATTCAATCTATCCTACACTCTTCATTAGGGCCTTCTTTATACGTGGCCAAATCACCTTAATTGTTTTTCTGTCATATTTTCCTCAATTGGTGTTAGACTAATCTCTTCATGTATACAATCAATTTGTATAATGTCTTGCATAACCACGCATCCGTTTTAACATTCCCATTTTTTCTACTACTACATTTTTCTCTTGTCCTTTTAATGGCTATCATTCACTATCATAGCCTTTGAATTTAGTAGGTACTTTGTGATGATAAATAATTCTTAAAGCCTTTTTCCACTTTAGCTGCTATGAAAAATATATGAAAAAATAAAAATGAATCAGCAATATAATGGCTTCCCTCTTGGCTGAGCTTCTCACTTGTCAGCTGTTTAATATTCTTTCCCCATTTAAGGAAATTAGCTGTAATCTCTATCTTGAAATGACTCTTATCTATTTACATGTACAGAACCCATGGAATTTTTAGGTTGACAACCCCCGGTGGAATGTCGGTTATAAGACAATGCCCGCAACGTGGCTTTCATTCACATAATCAGCCTCCAGATGGTGGTCCCATTTATGATACATGCACAGATGTTTACATGAACCCAGATTTAAAATTTGATGTCATTGATCTTCGATAATCAGCAGTTTGTTGTTTCTTGACGAGTAAACAACAATTTGATTTCTTGATGGGTAAATAAAATCGTCATCTAATTGTTCATATTTCCATAATCTCACAAGATTCATAAGTTTTACCATTAAACCAGCCATGGACATCATAAAGCATGTCTTGTCTGGCAGTGTCTGTAAAAAGATTGGAACTATTCACCAAAGGATGCCTACATGGTCATTATTTTTTGTGTTGCATTCAGGATATTTATGATTGTTACTCCTCATACTGTATTTAATTATACCCGCATCAACCAAAAGTGCCTTGTAGCACCAATATATGGGGTGAATCAACTATAGTGTTCCTGCTTTCAAGTGTTGCGTGTATTTGTGTGTTAGATTAAACTCGCTTCTCTAGCAATATCAGATATTGCACTTATTTTTTAGGTCTTAAATAATCGTGATTGAAAATCTATACTGAATAAGTTTTCAACACTCCCCTAGTAATTATAAGACTTTATCTTGAAACTCACTTCTGTATTGAAATTTTCTATCATATAGAATCGACACTTCTGTGTAAACTAAATTATTTGATAACTTATTCCTATAAATCAAAATTAATATATATTATATAATTTGGTTAACATTTTAATATTGTTTAATTTTAACTAATTCCATACCATATAAAGGTAATATAATGTTTTAATTTGGTGATCAAATTCATAGATTTAATCTTTTTAATAGTATAATAATTGCTGAAATTAAATTATAATCAATTTTGCTCCATTTTAGTAAAATATTTGACTTGAAGTTTATATTTAAAATCCAAAAACAAAAATAAAAATTATAACTAATCCGAACAATGCTTTCAGATAAAGATTATATTCTTTATGGACATGAAAAATTAATGTGCCATCTGAAGCATGTAATTGAGGCTTAGAATTGGAATTAGACCTTGTAACTAGAGAAATGTTCCAGTCATTGATGGAATTACTGTTGTGTGCTTCTACTTTTTTTTTTTTTTTTTCTTTTCAGAGAAAGAAACTTGTCTTTGAGCAAATGTTGTGGTTTAGAATACATCTTAGAAATTTATTCAACCCTTGATTTTGAGGGATTTATGTACCTCCATAACGAAAAAAACTTTTTATAAATTTTACATTTTCTGAAAAGTATATAATCCATAATGTATTAATACGCATTTCAAAAGCATTTTGAAAAATATATTTCGTAATGAATAAATCCAAAATACGTAATCTAATATTGATTTTTAACTATTTTGAAATGTTTTATACAGAAATATAAATCTTAAAACCTTTTAAATGTTTTTCATCAGTGGTGCAGAAGTGGGTAACAAAACAATTTCTCAACGAGGCAACGATTCAGGTTAAGGCAGTTGGTCTTCAGGAATCACATGGAGATTTGTGAAGTGATTATGAATGGGAAGACTCATTAATTGAATTTCTTGATTTTCATGTACTCTCGTGTTTACAAGAAGGGTCATGGGTCTATACAGGGATCACAATTAATCCAAAATTGCGGTAATAGATCCGCTACCGCTGCACAAGAACGGGAATGAATTCGATTTTTTTATTTTTTTTTAAGTCCGAAACGAAGGCGGAAACAAGACGCACGGTCCCGTCTTTTCTCATGTCTGATTTTTGGAAGGATTGAGAAAGTATGATTTCTAACTGTAATTTCTCCTTTTAACAAGTAATGTTTTTTTTAAGCATGTTTTTCAAATGCATATTTTATTTATAAAATATTATTAACATTAAAAATAATCAAATATATTGAATGAATTAGTTATATTATATATTGAAAGTGAGATATTAAAATCATTTGATGACAAAGTTTTAATAAATAAGTTCACAGCCAAAAAACCTAGAAAAAAGAAATCAATTTATATGAATTCGATTACTATTTGAGCATTTTACAGAAGGTCCAAAATCATTAAATATGACCTAAATACGGAGTGTTTTGCTTTCGTCACGAATGCAGAGGCAAATTTAGGGGCACCCCCACGACCTATCTTTATGGAAGAATCCATGGGACTGATTTATTTGGTGCAGTGATGACATTTTACTTTCTCTTCGGGTCCACTAAACCAATCACGTCCAAGTCTCTACATCATTTATTTATCAAATGAAGATCCGTCACACTCAACTAGGGTTATCGTTTCTGTAAAAAGAAAAACACTGTAGAAATTGTATACAAATAACATCTGTTGGGATGAAGAAAGTGTAGGTGATTTATGGGGCAGATTATGATTTTGGTTACATCTTTTGGTGCCCCAAACAATGGCCTGTATTATGGCCAATTCAGGGTTGACAGATGCTTCGTGGGGTCCTTCAAACAAGTACTATTTTGTCATCCTCATTCGTTCTTCTTTCCTTTCATCATCTTCATCTTTTTAATAACACAATTATGGAAATATCCAGCTTTCAAATTTCAAAGATATTGAAGTAACCAAACTTCTTGTTCTCCTTTTTCAAATTTCTAGGTCTACAGAAACTCTAATTTCACTATGAATCTTCAATTAACCTTGACATGTTATTTTTTTAACATATAATGATATACTTATTGTTATATTTAAGGATAACACATAACATGATTAGCTTAGAGTGAAATTAACTTTGAATCTTTTAAATAAAATTTTAAATTCGACTCTTATAATAATACTAATAATAAAAAAGACAAATTGTGAATATATAAAATACAAGCTTCTAATTAGTTAATTAGTTGATTGTTCGGTGAAGATTCTTTCTTCTTAATTAAAATTAAGAAAACGAATTTAGTATATTTCTAATTATGAGGCGATTAACCCATAAAAATTGCAGTTTGGTGGATACACGTGTTATTTGATTATTCATATTTAATTTTATTATGCATGCAGATAGATAAACATTAACTAACGTCTTCTATCATATTAAATAGAGATTATGTTCCTCTCACTTTGAAATTATTTATAAACATGACGGTGGAAAAGATTATAGGACTCGATCGATGGTTGAGAGATAAGATCGTGAAAAGTCTATAATTATGGAACAAGTGTTGCTTGCTGACTATTTTACAGACCAAAACTCCAAACATTATTCCTTCAGTTCAGCAGAATTAGATCTTGGTTTCAGTCACATACCTTTAACCTTCTCTGACTTTGCACCTTACATCCGTTTTTTACAATTTCCAAATTGTCACACACAACATTTTCTCTTTTTTTAAGTCATTTTCTCTGTCTTCCTCTTTTGTTTCTATTCACCAACAATAATAGACAAAAAAAATCCCTTGTGCCTCTTTTTCAGCGAAGAACATTGAATCTCCTTTGATCTTCCAGTTTTCATAGAATATCTCCATCCCTTGAAAACAAAATAGTCACATACGCTCTTCCTTTTGTGCACTGTATCTGGATGCCTTCTGTTTCCGTGTATTACTGACTTGTAAATCAAAAGTAACCCCATATTTTCAAATTTCAACCCTTAAATCTCTCCCCCCTTGTTTTGCTTTTCACGTTTGAATTCTTTTCCTTGCTTTTCTTTGAACCTGGAAGTCCACCTTGGCTTTTGTTTTTGTTTCACACTTCAACTTTGGTGGCAAACAACGGTGTGACTATGTGTTCTGAAATAGTTCCCTCTCGTTTCTCTTTTTCCCATGATGTCTCTGAGCTACCAAGGAAACAAGATGTGTCACGCAAAGACACTATGCTTCTTGAGTCAAATCCTGACTTCGAGTTCATCACTTGCAGAAGCCTTGAGTTTGAGTCATCTTCTGCTGATGAACTTTTCTCCAATGGGGTGATACTTCCCATTCAGATGCAACAAAAAAGAAACACTACTCGGAAACACACCCTTTATGGGGAAGCTCCATACATGAGACTTCCTCCACTTCCATGTTCCCCTAGGGTTGACAAAATGAAGAAAGAGAGCTTTAGAGAAGTTGTAGATGTGAGTGCTGGTTGTTGTGATAAGAAAACTCACTCCACCTCTTTCTGGGGGTTCAGTAGAAGCAAAAGTCTTAGTTGTGATACAAAGAAAAGCTTCATGTGTTATTCTCCTCCTTTGTCAAGGAGCAATTCAACTGGTTCAGTGTCACCACTTCCAAAGAGAGTGAGTTCAACCAGGCAGCATTCAGCTGCTAAACCTCAATCATCGTCAAGTTCTTCTACCTTAAATTTGTATCCTGTGCAGAGGTCTCGTTCTGGTAAGAGTTATGGTGGATCTTATGCCAATGGACTTAGGATTAGTCCTGTTTTGAACCTACCAACTCCTTGCATTTCTAAAGCAAGTGCTAGTCTCTTTGGTTTGGGTTCTTTTTTACGTATTGGAAGGGCCAAGAAAAGCAAGAAGTGATTGTTCGTATTAGCTCATTTCATGGGCTAGTTATGCTAATTAGCATGCTAATTATGTTTTTAAACCAAAATGATTTGGAGGGATAAAAGAAATCTATGATGGCCATGCAGTTAATAGGGTACAAGCTTGGGGGGGGGGGCAGAACAATGGGAATCTGTCCATCTTTAATGCTTTGTCCCCCGTCTTGTTTCTGTGATGATTCCTCTAATAATAAATGGAAGCTTTTGTGGCTGGTGCTTTCTCAGATTAGCACTTGTTTATTTATCAGAAATGCTCTTTTGTTCAGCTAACATTTTGTCTTTAATTGCAAGACATTTGACATCTAGCTCTGGCAGTTTCATGGACAAGCAAATTCTTGATGAAACTTTTACTTTTGGAAAGTTTGTTGTCACAGTCTTCGTTAGATACTAACTCAGCTAATCATGGACCATCCTTTGATTTATCTAGTCACATGTTTTGGTTTGGAAACATATTGAATCCTCCAAATTAGGTTATTTATTGGACAACCTGCATTGTGTCACAATTAATAATATTGTTTCACAACAATGATCCAATGAGTTTGTTCAGTTTCAAAGTTCGATATTTTAATTTAATCTTATAAAAATTTAAATGATAAAAAAAATACTAAGTTGTATTATCGAGTGAAAAGAAAAGAAAAAAATAACTACTTAAAATCTAATATATATATATATATATATATATATATATATATATATATATATATATATATATATATAAAACATCAAAACATTTAAAATGTATTAGATTTTTTAATATCATAAATAATTGTTTTTTTTTTTACTTTTTTTAACACATCTTGTCTTTTTTTAAGTAACATAAACACATTCTCTTGATTTCTAATTTTGCATTCCAAGATCAATCATATATCTACCTGAACTCCTGCAACAAATGCTATATTGAAAAAAACAAATAATAATAAGACTGTTAGATTCTCATTTACATAAACATATTATAAGTATTTTCATTACAAAAATAATACCATTAACCAAGAATATATGAATTTTGATAAACAGAAAACGTATCATTAATGAAAACAAATCTAAATTTATTCAAACAAAAAATAGAAATCATCATGGAGCTTACATGAATGTAAAAAAAAAAATTATGCTCAAAAAAAGTTGTAAGTTTTTCACTGGTTTAGATAGAAATAAACAAATAGAGAAGTATGAAATAAAAATCCTGACGCTATAAATTATAATGATGATGGACTTCAATGGAAATGAATTTCTGACCACAAATTTGTGTGTGTGCTGAATTTTTATTAGAACTAAATGTGCGTAGAGTGTGTTTTTTCTGGGACCAAAGAATGGCTTGTGTCTATGTGGTGGCCTTCTCCACCAAATGGACTCTGAAAAAATATAAAATTCCAGAAAGACATGGAAAGGACATAAATACAATTAATTCACATGCATGGTGCTGTCTCTTTTAACTTCACATGCATTAATGGTGCTGATTGTGACCTTTGCTTTGTCCTTGGCTTGAAATTGTATTAGATTTTCTCCACCAATTATAACCCAAAAATCTTGGCTTCAAAATATATTGCACGATCCCCTTCCTATTCCTAAGTTCAAGAATTGACAGGAAATTATTTCTATGACAGTTAAAATATTGAAAGACATAAAATATCTTCAAATAAAGCATCCAACTTTAATACAAATATTTATAATGTGTGAAATACATTACTTAAATTCATTTACTTTTACATCAAAAGTAAATTGATGCAAAAGTTACATGCAAATGTTAAAATGTTGATCAAACGCTGAATCAGTTAAACCTGAAAACAAACAAGAACAGCAATAATTTAATAATTAGTTTTAGCATGTTTGGTTTCACAAAAAGCATATTCATCCTATATAAAAGAAAGTTTGAACTTTAGATAATAGCGTTTTTCTTTTTTAGCGTTTAAGGTGTAGAAGGAAAATTTGAATTGAATCATTTGCAATTTTAATTATATTAAAAGTAAAACTGTATCTCAAACTTACCTTTGTGGCGGAAGAGTTACTTGAGATCATTGTGGAATGAAAGAGTGCTTCAGAATATAGCTCTGATAACGAGTTAGTACTTGAGCCACTAAACAAGAGAAAAAAAAAAGTAACTAGACATGATGATGAATCTAAATTACATTGTCATTTTTCTCTTATTCCAAATTACTCTTTCCATTATCACTACCAGGAAGCACACCTTAAGTCCTGCAATTGGTTGTGCTTTCTACTTTATTCCACCCTCAATGTCCAAGCCTCTCTACTTGTTAATCACAGTACTTATCTATGTAATGTATGTGTTTCCCATGCAAATGATAGCAGATAACTCCACAAACTATCACATTGCTAATATAAATGCAACACAATTTGTATGATACATGAACCGAGGAATTCTACCTACCAGAGTTGGCGAGGGTCAGAGACATTGAATAAGTTTATGGTGTGAGAATCCTTAACTAGTTACCACTATTGTTTCACATTCACAAAATGCTACAATTTCACTAGCGAAAAACTTTTGCTTCAGATATTGGTTGCGTTATTCTCTAGTAACAGATGCATTCAACAGCTAGAAATACCCAGAGCCAAGCATAGAAGAAAATGTAAAATATGCTTTCTTACTGTTCTGTCTCAGCTAACAGTTTCTCTAAAGCAATTCCATCAGATTTACATCACTGAGGTTAGTTCTAGAATGACAACAGTTACAGCAGGTATATTGTGAATGAATTTCACACTATATACTCCATCTATAAACAGCATCAACAAATTTTACTTGTGCCTTTTAGGGAAATTGATCTTGTCCCCAATGGAAAAGACTGCCTTAGTTCACCTCAATAATGGCTAAGACTCCATAGCTTTCCTAATTGGAAAAGCCAACCAATGTAAAATTTACTTTCCTTTTTAGTTTTTATTTTTTTGTTCTGAAGATGCATTTTGCTTTAATATAGTTAAAAACTAATATTTCTGGCAAAATTTCAATGTTAAATCATCTGAGTAGGATAAGATATTCGTAACAATAATGGAGAATTTCATGCATGTGATTTATTCCATCAGTTGGCATTTATTGCAAGTCAAACAAATAATCTATATATTTTCACTCCATTTTCTGAAATATTGATGAAAAAGAATAATTTTTCACCATTCTATTCAATACCTGTTAACAGAAATATAGAAGATTCCATTAATGCTTAAAGTTTGAACACGTAAATTTTACTCTTCATGTCATAACTACTAAACCTTGCACCACAATCCACAATTCCATGAACAGCTTGTAGTACCATATTAACAGAGGACAAGATTACATTCTTAGAATCCAAGGAAAATACAATTTAGCAATTAAAACTGCTGCATCCAGTACGTTATTGGGATTCTACCAAATTGATAAAATAAAAGAGAACCAAAGGTTTTTAAAAAGTAGCAGTAGCAATATTAACGTATGGAATGTACACACTGCTACAATTCGGATACCAGAGGCAGAGTTCCACAATCTTCACTATTATTTGATCAAGTATTCGATTAACATGGTTGATTTGGCAATTACCATTATTTATATCACAGGGTGAAAAAGTAAGAAGTCAGGAAGCACCCGTAATTGGTCTCATTCAGGAACTTCAGGCACTTCGTAAGATTCTGCAGTAACCTCGGAGAGCCACAAACCAGGAAAAAGTGTCTGTAAAAATGAAACAAAAACAAACCACAAATTAACAAAATTACAAGAAAGAAAGCATGAATTTACTTGATAATCGATGGGGTTATGTTATTGTTACATCCAAATTCTTCTGGACAGTTTTGGGCCTCTTCTTCGGCCTCCTGGGAGGTCTGGTTCCGAGCAAGGCCCAGAAATCGTGTTCCACCTCCTCCTTCGAGAGTGAAATGGAAAACTTGGTTTTTTCTTCAATCTTCATCTTCTTCTTCTTCTTCATCATCTCTTGAGTGAGTGAATTGAGTCGGTTAGTGTGATGCGGTGCCTTGCAGGCGGCTCTTCTGGTTCGCAAATTCCAGTTTTTGGAATTGGGTTCTTGGAACATGGAAACTTTGAGGTTGTCGGCGGCGACTCTAAGATCGAGCATGAGCTTCCGGCGAACGGCGGAGATGTCGCTAGGATCATCGGTGGCGGCAACTTTAACGCACCTGAGGAATCTCTGGTTGCCCCATTTGAGACAGGGCATAGGGAAGTTGTGGAGAGGTTTGGATCTTTCTGGACCCATAGCCATGGTCGTGTTTCTCCTGCGTGATGATCAACTTCTCCCGTTCCTCGTATTCTGTTCAATGAGTAGTTGTTGTCTCAGAAACTTGGAGGCATGGAAAGGAAGTTTAGTTGATATGAATAACTACAAAACAATGATTTGATGGAGAACTCCGTTGCAGCTGCAGTTGCCAAACTACAACTTTTCTATTCTCAACATTTTTCATTTTATAATTATTAAGCATTATTAATGGAGACTTATTGATGCTGAAAACAAGTTAATATGTCTGTCTATACTTACTAATATATAAAATGATACTAATTGATAATTACTTTTGCTTTATTTTTACTTTTATTGTTTTCTCAATTACCTTTTTCTATGATAATTGTTATTTTATTGTAATAATTATTTTTGTTATTTTAAAAAATTAAATATTACCTGAAATAAGTAGGGTCATGGATGGAAACTGCAAATATTTCTTAATTAACATAAAAGATATTTATGACTCATAACAAAAAGTGTAAAGATAATGTAGAAGTATAAAAAAATACAGAGAAACTAATGTGTATTTAATTGTATTTTGGTTCTTTAGTTCTAAAATCTAATTTATAAAATAATTGATTTGAAGAGAGCAAGTATTAGAAAAAACATGAAGAATAGAAAACAAAAAGAACTATATGTTTTCATCTTCTGGTTTCAAAACTAAAATACAGATATTAGTTTTGGAAAAAGTTCTCTAAATCCACTGTTATTAAAAGTTTTTCTAGTTTTCAGTTTTTTAAGACAGGAAACAACAGATTCTAGTAGCATACCTCAACATCTATCTAATAGGAAAGAAGATTACGTATTGGTTGTTGAACTAGAGTTATACTGAGCATAAGAGCATGAACCTTCATGTTATGCATGCCAGTAATAGGTAAATTAAATCCACCAGCAATTCTCTGGACTTTCTCAACTGTCACTGCATTATACAGGAGAAATACTGAAAAATATATGTGAAAATAAAATGGTTATTAATGGAATTTTTCAATGTCAACACACTGAATATAGGGTCATACCTAGAAGAAAATGAATAGTATCGAATGAAAAAGAAAATACGAAAATATAATACATAAAGTTGTATGTGTTATTTTTTATTTATTGAAAAATTACAAGAAGACCCTTGTATAATAGAAGAAACTAAGATAGAAAGGATAAAAGACATAAAATGATAAAATTGAAAAATTAGAAAACTTAAATAGAAAGAAAACGTAAACTAAAAACCGAAAAAAGAAGCTCATCGCGAGCCAAGAAAAAAAAGCTTGGAAAAGTCAATAAAACCAACTGTCCCGTCGAGCTTTATCATGGATATCGAGAACGTTAAGCTTGGAAACAATACCCTTGAAGTTCCCAGGTTTAAGTGATTTCGTAAAAGGATCAATCAGTTGGTGTTTGGTAGAAGTAGGAAGCAACTAGAACAAATTTGCTTAAAGCTTTTCATGAATAATATTACAATCAAATCAATTTTAATGTGTTTAATTCTTTTAATGTACCTTACAAAATTATTCTCACAATAGAGAGTAGCTGAACCAAGTTTTGAACATCCAAAGTAAATAAGTCATTAATGAGATTTAGACATAGTGATTTGTTTCTTTCATCTCTAACTAATGAGAGAAGACCTAAGAAAAATATAATAATCAGTAGTAGAATGACAAGTTTCATTACATGCAAGCTAGTGCCAATCACTAAAGGTCTTTAATTAAGAATTGGAATCTTTTGGAAAGAAAAGACTTTACATAGAAACAACTTTTACATATTTAATGATACATTGAACACTATTAAAGTGATGAATATTGAGAATCTTTAAGAATTAAATGAAGAATTGTAAAACATAATTAATGTTGGACCTTGTTTTCTGGTGTGAAGTGTCATCATAAAGAGATACTTGTTTATCAAAGAAATACTTAGTATCTATTATCATGAGTGTTAGCTTGGTTTCGCTCCGAGAATACCAATTTTCTCTTAGACGTCGAGTGCCTATTTACATTGGTAAAGATGTATTCCAGCCTTTGATCGAAGAACTTTGAGTCCCAAGAAAAACTTCAAGTCTCCCATATCCTTCACGTTAAAAGCCTAATCAAGGTTAGATGTAATATATTGAATTTCAAAAAGAGAACTATCTATTAAGATAAAATCGTCAACATAAACGAGCAAAACTATGAAGGTACTATAATTTTTCTTAATGAATAGGGAATATCAACACTAGATTGAACAAAACCAACACTTTTAAGGAAGTAAGAAAACTTGGCAAACCATTATCTGCTAGTTTCCCTCAACCCATAGAGAGATCTTTTGAGTTTTCAAACTTTGTTCTCACCTTTTGCACTTAATAGTGGAGAAAGCATCATATAAACTTCTTCTTCAAGATTCCCGTGAAGAAAAACATTATATCAACATGAAGTTGTCTTAGAAACCAATTTTGAGTGGCTACTAAGGCAAGAAGAGTTCTAATCATGGTCATCTTGGTCACCGGTAAGAAGGTTTTAGAACAATCAATTCCTTCAAGTTGGTTGTTCCCGTTGGCAACCAATCTTACCTTGTACCATTTAATGGTCCCATCAGCCTTATATTTGATTTTGTAAACCCATTGACATTGAGTTTCTTTCCATCAGGAACTGTTATGTCCCAAGTATTATTTAAAGTCCTAAGTATTATTTAAATCTAGGGATAATATTTCCTTTTTCATAGTATTGCGCCATTTGGGTGATTGAGCAACTTCATTGTAGCTTTCTGGTTCTTTATTAGTGGACAAAGCAAAAATGTACTATATATATTTTTCAGATAATTTGTTATAACTTAAACCAGATAATAAAGGAAATCTTACCTCTTCGTCATTATTGTGTATAACATTGACAGTATTATGATGATAATCCTTCAAGAAGGAACTTTTCTACTTCGTGTAGATTTTCTTACATGTTTATCATCATCCATGTGTTGTTCCCTTTGATTATCAATAAGAATACTTTGAACCTACTGTCTGATGGGTAACTCAAAATTGAAATCAAAATAATTTTACTTAATAGTTTCAGTGTTAATATCATCAATTTTATTTTTAAAGGGAAAAACACTTTCATTAAATATAACATTTCTTAGGACAAATATTTCTGTAGTTTTAATATCAAGAGTAATATATCATTTAGTGCCATGTTTGTAGCCTAAGAAAATGGATTTCTTTGATCTAGGATCAAACTTTTTCCTTCCTTTGTTGAGGGTGAAAATATAGCATAAACATCCAAAGATTTTAAGATCTTGTCAATCAGGATGTTTTTTGTAATCTAATTCTTATGGAATTTTGTTATTAATAACAGTAGAGAGAATTTTACTAATCAAATGAATGGCATGAGAAACAACATAAGACTAGTAAACAATAAACAAATCAGACTCAAATAAAAGACTTTGAGCAACATTAGCAATGTGTTGATGTTTGTGTTTGACCACAACATTTTGCTAAGGTGTCTCAACATAGCTGGTTTGGTGTATGATATCAAGTTTATTATAATCATCAATGCAACTAAATTCCAAGTCATTATCGAACCTAACAATTTTAACCTTTACATTAAATTGATTATGCACCATGGTGATAAAATTTAGCAAAGTAATTTCGACTTCATTCTTGATTCTCATTATAAATATCCATGTTCGTCTACTAAAATCATCCAAAATAGTGAGGAAGAATTTATGATCATGTAAAGAACGTGTAGCAATTGAACCACATATGTCCACATGAATGAACTCAGACTTAGATTCACTTTGATTGAAAGGTAATTTGTGCAATTTAGCAAGATGGCAAGGATCACAAATGTTATTTTTATCAAAATGTATATATGAAAACTATCACAAAGTGTTTCAAAACATTATCAAAAGGATGCCCAAATCTATAATGTCAAATATCAAGATTCTTGTTAACAATTTGTTGTTGATTTTTTTAAGTAATAAAGACCATTATAGAGTTCAGCATGTTCAATCACTCTACGAGATTGTGAATCCTGAATCTGGCACATCTTAGAATATAAAATCAGTGTATAATTCAAAAGCTCAATCATTTTTTGAATAGATATGATGTTGAAAGTAAATTCAGAAAAATATAGAGCATTACAAATGTAGAGAGAATGAGAAAATTTTATCATTCCAGAAAACTGTCTTATGAAAAATGATCCATTTGACAATTTAATACAAACGAGTTTTATTTTCTTGGAAACTAACAAATTGAGATAAATGCAAGCTACATTATCAATAACACCTATATCGAGAATCCATGAGTTCTTGGTTTGATTACCTTTTTGAGCAATGTCACGAGAAGACTCACCAATGTAACTATTTGCTTTATGTGTAATGTCTATCTTGGAATCTTGCAAAAACTTGATAATTTGTTGCATTTGTTATTGATTAAATTGCATCACCTAATTTTCAAAATTGTTGTTCTTTTTATCCTTATTATTAGAATTATCTTCAACAACCATATTGTTAGTGGCGCACTAATTTTTTTGTTTATACCAGGGAGGATACCCATGCTTAGAGTAACACTTCTATGTTGTATGATTCATTTTTTTACAAAAGCTACATTATTTTTCATGATTTGGGTTCCTCCTTATTCCTCTTCCTTGAGATTTCTAGTTGTTGTTATTGCCTTTTTTTGGTTGCTTATAGTTATTTTGATTCCAATTGTTTTGATTGCTGCAGATATTCGCAAGAGCTTTGCTATCAACATGGAAACCTCTAATTAACTATTTTTCCTGTTATTGAACAAGAGAAAAGACCCGATTCATGTTTGGTAGAGACTCCATCAATAATATCTTACTTTTCACAGTGACATAAATATCATTAAGGTCTTTCAAGAAACATGTAATTTGCTTGAACTCTTTATGTCTCATAATAGTGCTAATGAGATCATAACTGCATCTAATATCACAAACACAGTTATGTGTAGGACATAATAATTAAGTTCTTCCCATAAGGTTTTTAGATTTGTAAAAAACTTTGAAATATCC